GGGGGTTGAAAACGCGCGGAACGTGACTGGCAGGCCGAGCAGAGCAGGTTTCGTTCGCGTCGACAGGATGGCGGTGAAGCCCGGCAAGGAAGCTAGGCTATCTGCTGTGCGGGCGGGTGGGGAAGAAGAGCGAGAGGACAAGAAACTGGTGGACGCTGAAGAGGTTGGCAGAATGGTTGGTTGTTTGCTGCAATTGGTGTTTAATAGAGAAAGGGGAGTCGGCCAAACTGGAATCAGTCCCTCTGTGGCACGGGCGTGCGCGTTTGTTGTTTGAAGTTGGTTGGATGGCGCTCCGCCGCGACTGCTTCGCGCGGGCGGCCACCACGCCAGTCACATCCCCATATGGGATCAAAAGGTCAGGACGCGCGGGCCTGTGCTCCCTCACTTTCTCCCGGTGGTCTGTGTGTTGACCCCGCCGGCGCAACGCGCGTCAGCGATCAAGACCAAGTTCGATGGAGTGCGGCAGTGCACACGTTATGTGGAACGTACGCCTCGAGAGGTAAGCGGAATGCTGGGCAGCAGCACTGTAGGCAGCATTCAACTCAATTCGAATGAGTCAAGTTAGCGAAGAGCTGTTTCGATCGCAACCGCCAGTCGCCAGCGGAACCGACACACACCTTACACAGCCCGAAAACGCAAAGAACGGTTCAGGCCAGGGACGGCGATGGAATCGCGGCGACATTGCACTTATTCATCTCCAACAGGACCCATTTCGCTAACGTAGGTAGCATCCATCACCTGGTGATGATGACGGATCCCATTTTACACTTCTGGAGCGAGGAACAAGTGATCTTGTGAGGAGGTGCTTGTCACTGTGGAGGCCCAAGAATCATGGAATACACGATCGACCACAGTGTCCACTATACACTCTTATTACCGGCGATAGCTCTTCGAGCTTTCGTCGGCTCTCTCAAGACCGAGACCTCCAACGCGCGTAGTCGCCTCTGGCTCTGTCCGGCGTTGCAAGAGCTAACAACCTTGGAGCTTGAGCCTCGGGAAGAAGAGCAGCGCGAAAGCTGAGAGGACCTCTACTTCGCGCATATGGCGCGTTCCGCAAAGTAGGCGAACCTCTGCCCAACGGCTATGGCTAATAGTTCATGTAACGGACAAGGACCTACCTTGCAGAGCCACTTCCAAAGGAAGAGAGTAACCGTGTATGCCTTCAGGGTAGAGATGGCTTAAGAGGCCCAATCTGCAGCCCTGTTAGAGATTCAGGCCATCTCAGTCAGGTAGACAGATGGATAAAGCTGGGGACAGCGAGACAGGGCGCCAAGGTTGACTTTCACATGCATAGGATAATACATGCCGGCAAATGCTAGAAGAATCCAGTTCCTCAGCTCATTCGGCGGAAGATGTTGGATGTCAGTGCCAATAGAGATCAAATAGATCTTTAATGCGAGAAATTATTCATCAGTATCGGTATTGCGGGATTTGGTGATGGATCTGGCGTCTAAAGGGACCGGCAGTGCCGAGAACCGGCTACTATGAGTCTGAAATTCGAGATCAAAGACATTGAAATCAGAGTGATGGTGCCACCCCCATCAGCTGTAGGCACTACCTGCGACCCAGCATACCATATGTCCCAGGGTGGATGAATGGATAGCCAGTCGATGAATGGATGATGGAACATGGAACCCATGACGGCTCGACAAAATGGAGGAAGTTCGTAGAATCAAGCTGAGAGCTGTGGCAAAATATCTCAAAAACGTGAATGCAATAAGAAATGTGGTTGTATGTATGCGGAGCTCCTGTGTGTCTTCAACGTTACGCCAACTTCGATTTGCTGTGCGAATATCGTGTCATACATGTCATGCAGAGTAAGATTGGGTTACAACCTTGCTGTGTACGCCTTCCTCAGTTACTCCAACATGGTCGCGGTATTCGGATTGTACTGAGATTCGGTATTCCACTTGCAGGCACAGCGAGCATCCTCAATGCTAGACGATTGTGACGCTTACGCCCGCAAAGTTACGTTTGCCGTAACTTGCACCGTCTATATGGTCGCCGTTCCGTGCAGTTTTGCTCATCAACACCCGCAACTCTGAGCCGACGGGCAACGCCCCGACGTACTACGGTCGCATGAGGACGCATGGGGGGATTGGCAAGGCAACAGGGGGTCTGCATGTACGCCGACTCGTTTGGCGACTGTAACCGAGTAAGGCAAAGGCAGGTGAGCTATGTAAAATACTCTCGGTTGTTCGAGGGGAATTCCTTCGAATTGGCCTACATGGCTTCGAAGGCGTGTGGTTCGGCTTGTACTGTGCGTGCGATAAAGCCACTCTGCGCGTGTTATTGTCGACCATCCATCGCACCTTGGCCCCCGTTTTGAAGCCTCACAATAAGTTCCCGTCGACCAGCCGTGCCTCTGTAGCAACCGCCTTTGCCTCACTCAGACACAACAGCCAACGCGGGGTCGCTGTGCAAACGGCCAGGGCGGACTGTGGTCTCCAGCGTCGTCTGGAAGTTCCGATTTTCACTCTTGGCTTGTGCTGCGATCAAAAGCTAATCTGACAACCCATGTCTTCGCATCTACGACTTTCTGCAGCCTGCAATTCTGCATGCCGCACGAGGCAGCAAGAAGCATCCCCGCAAACATGTGCTGTAAACAGCATGTATAATTGGGAGCGGTAGTGGTGAATGGTGAGTATATCTGTGGGTTCTATGGAGGATCAGAAGAGAGGGTGCAGACCGGCCGAGTTGGGCGAATCATATATGAGCACGATAGGAATCCTAACCGCGCTGGGAGCGAAATAGACGCTACTAGACGATCCCAGCTCTGGAGGAAGAATGTAAACTAGATAGCCCTTGAAAGGCACGATCAGCCGAAGTGGAACTAGGATCTACCGCTGAGAGATGCAATGGAGACGAGGATACAAGGCTACGTAGCGGACAGAAGGATTCGCTTGAGGTTCTAGACTTCGGATTCGCATAAGAATCAAGTTTAAATGGACCGAGCTTCTCTGGGGTGTTCGTGGAGGCAGTCTTGATGAGGTAGGTCGTTGCTGAAAGGATCACCGTAGAAGCTTGTAGAAACGTGGCTCGCAGAGAACACCGAAGAAGCCCTCAGGCTCGATTGGACCCTGTCACGGAATGTGACAGGGTACGGTCACCGAGACCCCCGATGCGCCAAATTTTCCGCGATCCCCCCAATATCCCATCAGGACGAAATGTTAGTATTTTTTATTGCTGGAGCTCTCCCGAACACAAGATGACTTTTCCTATACTCTCACTATCCTAGAATTTCACGATAGAAAGTACAGGGCGGCGAGTCGATGACGTGTGATCGTATACCTTCTGCCTTATGCCTACTGCCTGCAGGCTTCCAGAGTCCAGTGAGTTTCCAGTTTGCCACAGCTTGTCAAAGCCTGCTAGTCCACTGGCCTGCAAGTTGCCAGGGTTCAGAATCGCCCAGATACAAGGGTATCAGCCACCCTTAAAATTATCCACGCTCGCGAAAGCGATGCAATTGCGCTTGAGCCCCGAAGAACAACAGGAAGATTATAATCTCTCCGAAATGCAAATATACACTGACTACCAGAAAAAGCATCTAATTTCAGGTCGGGATCAGACTGAGAATGGGGCCGAGCCGCTCCAGCGCCCCGGGCCAGCTATAGACCAGCTATAGACTGAGACACGGAGGGAAATTGCGGTAGCTGTGGAAAGTGAGGAATTGCGCCCGCCAGTGAGAGCTGGACTCTGGGGAAAATGAAACTAGGCGGGAAGTCACCTGGTTGCAACAAAGACGCAGTCAATGGGCACACATGTACCATGGTCCATACTCCATTCATCCCAGGTCAAGCATGACCTTCACCTTCTTATCAAAGGAATCCAGTTTAGCCTGCTGCGAGAGCCAGCTGTAATTCTCGCAGCAGGCCAAGGGGCTTCGCATTGCTCGTTGCACAGTACGCCAGCTCGAGCGTAGCAAGCAGTAATCTACCCTTGCGCATTGTCTTCTATCGTGCACCGTCCCAGGCGCCGGGTCAAGCAAGGTGCTTGATTTGTGTCGTTGCCCAAACGGGATTCCAACCCCTGGCATCTCGCTCCAAAGAAACATCCACAAACTTCGAGAAGGGACACGCCAGCTTGCCTGGCCAAGGTCGATCCTGCTTTTCACGAGGGGCGCATATTCGCCTCGTTCGCCAGCATCAGCTTCAGCGACAGGAGTGGGCGGCAAGAGGTGGGAGGATATAACCAAGACCTACCGCAGGCTCAGGCATCAGAGGAGGAGGGAAGAAGAAAGGCTCAAATTAGAGCCAAGAAGAGAGTCAGAAGTTCCCTTCCTTCGGGCTCTGGCAGCATTGACAGAGGAAACTCCTTGATCCTTGGTTCAGGGGCCGCAGAGCGGGGCCAGGGAGGCTGATATGCTCCCGCTGGGAAAGGCCTGGACGAAGAATACACCAAACTTTCCATTTCAACTGTCAAGCAAACTACAAGCTAGCATGAACACTGTCACCCTGTTTACTTGAGGCAAGGGGGTAAGAGGCGCAGGCATATATGCAGTGACGGCGTTCAAGCTCTCATCACCAAAAGCAGCGCCACTGGTGCTGTTAACCTCAACCACTCCGAGTAGTGCCAACAGCAGAAGCAGAAGAGAGAGTCTATCCAGATCCCACCTGCGCATTGGAACCCACCCCTTCCGATGTTTCCGACCCGCACAGGCAGGGAAACTCTTTCATCACCAACGGCATTGCATCATTTGAAATATCTTCCAAGAACGAAAGCAAGAGCCCATCTAGTCGCGGGCATTGCTCACCTTGCATCGGCGTCGGGATTTACTCTAGAGAAAGGAATCGCCTCGAACTCTGAGCTGGGCCCATCGTCCACCTTGGTGAGGCAGACTGCGCAAGGGCAGACGCGCAACGCAAGCATCGACACGGACGCCGAGGTGTGGACACCATCGATTGCGAAATAGACAGTGCTGATCTATCGTCATTGCCACACGTTGCGTCACGGGCTTCTACATTCAACACTCGCTCATACACGCTCGTAAACGCAGCCTCAGATTGGCTTAGAATCACCGGCACGATGCTAGATCTAGACGAGTCGCTCCGAGCGCTCTATTTCGCTCCATTTCCGCTCCTTGTCCTCGACCATACACGATGCATTCGCATGATCAACAAACCTGCCGAGACTGTACTTGGGACGACGGGCCCGACAGCACTGGGCATGTTGTTCGAAAGGTTCATCGCGCCTAGTTCGAAGCAGAACTACACGGCGAGCCTGAACGAAGCTGTGAGTGCGTCGCGCCTATCCACATCGAATTCTCGCTCTGCTCTCTCTTTTATTGATGCTCCTTTCTTACTTCCCAAAGGCCGAATCAAACAGAACATCGCGGGTTTCGGCGGTGCCCTCCACCACGCGGCTGGGTATCGTCGAGGCGGATTCGACAGTGGTGACTGTGGCAGATTTGGCTGTGAATGCTTGGTACCCGACTAGCGAGATGTACGACACGCACCTATCCATGGGGTGCCTCAAGCACAGCAGCTCCGCCACCTTCTCATCGATGACCTCTTCGACTGACTTGATCAGTGGCTCCTCCGGTGATGCTGTTGGTACTGGCACTGCCGGAAGACGATTGCAGCCTGCGCACGAAGCATTCTACACTGTCTCCCTGACCCCTGCACGATCAGGAACGTCAGAACGTTCCGACACGCCGGAAGTTGAGCAGTCCAGCTCGTCCCTGCGCAATGCAATCATCGACGCGCTCGACGTCGCTTGCATGGCGCTCTCGAAAGATGGCAAGAGGATCGTTCGTAACCGCAAAGCCGATGAGCTCCTGTCCGAGTACGTCAAGGAGCTGGCCATGGACAACGAAGGCTTCCCAATGAGATCAAGCGCAAGTGGCATCCGAGGAGAGACAACTTTTGCTTGGTTGGAAAAGATGATGACATGCTATGTCGGAGAAAATTGGGACGAACTCCTCGTTAGCGAATGTTTCCCCATCTACAGGGCGGCTATCAAAGGAGAACATGTGCTTCCAATGGAAATTGACTGTGTCAGCCAGGTGACAGGCCGTCGAAAGCGCTTCGAGGTGGAGGCCAAGCCAGTGCGGGACATGGGTGGCCTGGGCCAGCATGTGAGTTGCTCGGCATGCTGCTAGGTTTAATGTTCGATATTCATGTTAACATTCGTCCATTTGTACAGGTCGGAGGTATGGTCATCTTCAGGGACATGACAGAGACGAAGAATGACCTGGAAGCAGAGGTCACAGCACTCGGCGAGCAATACGTAAGTGAAGCCTCTGCAACCGGTCTGACCTACGACCCGCTGACGCCTGCTCGATGCAAACGAATCTTAGTTCAAGACCGTTGCAGACAGCCTTCCGATCTTTGTGTGGACCACCTATCCGGACGGCGCGGTCGAATGGTTCAACAAGCAATGGTATGACTTCACTGGTGTCAAGAGCCGGGAGTCTCTTGGTCTTGCTTGGTCCTCTTTATTTCACGAGGAGGATCGCCCTGCGACTTTCCGCGCATGGAGTCATTGCCTTCGAACTGGAGAGAGGTACAACGTGGAATATCGATGTAGGAGGAAGGATGGCCAGTGGCGTTGGTTCCTCGGCCAAGCACAGCCTATGCGCAACAGTCGTGGCGAAATCACAAAGTGGTTTGGCACCTGCACAGACATTCACGACCAGATCGAGGCGCTTGCTAGCTCGCGGCAATCACAAGCTCAGCTCGAAAGTGTCATCAACCATGCAGCCGTCACGCTCTGGGCTGTCGATCAAAACGCCATCATCACCGTTGCCGAAGGCCCAGGTGTAAGACAGCTGCGTCTTGCACCATCGACGCCCACAGGGAGCGGAACAGAACCGGGCTCAAATAGCTTGAGAGAAGCAGCTCGAAAGGCGCAAGGCAACGCGAGTGCGTGGGGCATCGAACGCGATCCCAGCACGACATCCATGGATGCCGACAACCCAGTACATCCGGGGTACAAGCTCGAACGCGCTGACAAGAGTGTGGACCTTCACAGCGAATCGAATTCAAGCAATGGGACACCCAGTCACAGCCATCGCTCGCGCGGCAAGAGCATGATTGGCCGCTCCCTGTACGAAGTTTGGGACTCGCCCAACTTCCGACAAGCTTTGCGGAGAGCTCTTGATGGCGAAGAGGTTGTAGAGGATATGGAGCTGGAGGGACGTTGGTTCCGCACTCAATACACGCCGCTCAAGCAGCTGTCAGATGGGACTACGCGGACCTACAATCCAGAGATGCATGAGGAGGCTCCCATCAATGATGCCCCCGTTGTAGGCGTCGTTGGCGCTTCTATGGAAATTACAGAGCGGCGAAGGTTGGAGAGCCTTCGACCTGTAGTAGGAGTCGTCGGTGCGTCTATGGACATTACAGAGCGGCGACGGGCGGAAGCAAAGCTGGAGGAGTCTCGCAAGGAGCGTATACGAGCGCTAGCATCCGAAACAGCTGCGAAAGAAGCCAGCCGACTTAAATCAGAGTTCCTGGCGAACATGTCGCATGAAATCCGAACGCCTATCGCAGGGGTCATTGGCTTGGCAGAGCTTCTGCTGGACACTACGCTATCGCGTGAACAGCGCGATTATGCAGAGAACATTCAGCGCTCCGCCGACGCTCTGCTGACAGTCATCAACGATGTCCTTGATTTTAGCAAGATCGAGGTCGGCAAGCTCGACATTGACAACGGGCCTTTCAATCTGAATGTTCTCACGATGGATATGCGCAAGATGCTTTCGTTTGCCACCGCCAGGAAAGGGCTGGAGCTGCTCGCAGACTGCGAGCTGCAGTATTCGGGAACGGTCATTGGCGATGCGGGGCGCTTACGGCAGGTGCTCACCAATTTACTCACCAACGCCATCAAATTTACAAGCACGGGATCTATTGCACTGAAGGTGTACGCCCTCTGCGAAGACGCGGAGTCAATCGAGGTCCGCTTTGATGTGGAGGATACTGGATGCGGCATTTCAGAAAAAGTCCTTCAACATCTCTTTCAACCCTTCCGGCAAGCAGATTCGTCTACCGCCCGCAAATTCGGCGGTAGCGGGTTGGGCCTGTCAATCTCAAAGAATCTGGTCGAGCTTATGGGCGGCAAGATTGGCCTGACATCCAAAGAAGGAGTTGGCTCCGTCGCATGGTTCTCAGTACCTTTCAAGAAGCAACTTGCAATTGTCTCGAACGTGACCGTGGATGAAGAGGGGGCTTCTACCACTTCTTCCGTAACAGCGCCTGCTTCCAGCTCAGACAGCCTGTCTGGCGTCAGCAGTGATCCCTTGCAGCGACCGCGCAAGGATGTCTGGATCGTGAGTTCACCTTCTCTCAACGCGAAAGGCCACGGTGTATGATGGATGACATACCTTTTTGCAGCTGGTGGCGGAGGACAACCTCATAAATCAACAGATCGCAATGAAGACCCTGAAAATGATGGGCTTCAGCTGCAAGGCGGCCAGCAATGGCAAAGAGGCTATAAAGCTGATGAATTCCAATCCGTTAGATCTCATCTTGATGGACTGCCAGATGCCCGAGATGGACGGATACGAAGCGACCATGCGACTTCGGGCAAGCAACAGTCTGGAGATCCGCAGCGTGCCGATCATCGCGCTCACGGCTTCAGCCATCCGTGGCGACAAGGAACGTTGCCTTGAAGCAGGCATGTCCGACTATCTCTCCAAACCCGTGAAGCGACCAGCGTTGGAGAACATGCTCGTGCGGTGGCTTTTCGATGCTGGCACCCGGCAAACTTTGTCCAAATGGGCGGCCTCGCCAACTCGGTCATCGCCCGGAATAATATCAGCGGAGCGCATCGATTTTGGGTGCTCTACAATCTCATCATTGGCAAACGGCCCTGGTACCCAAGCTCTTACCGTGAATTTGCCTCTTCCGTTGGAACACAGTGCGGATGAGGGCAATGCACCTGGTACTGATGTCAGCCCCAAGACGGCGCCGCAGCCGCTCGCGAACGACCAGAAGGTGCAAGGCGAGGCGAGCGAGCTGGCGCGGTCATCGGACAACACGAGCGCAAGCAGCATCATGACGGGTGTCTCTCTGACAAATGACATGGAGCTACGCAAGGCAAACCTGCTGGCGAATCCGGGGCTGGGGGCTCTGCCACGTGCGTCAGCGGAGGACACTCGCTCATACCACATGCAACAGGCCGATCACACATCGTACCTGTGCAGCACGAGCGCTCTGGAGTCGCCCTCGACTCTTATGCGAGTGGATACCAACCTGGTCGCCGAAGCGGAGACTTCGAGGGTTCGCAGAGCGTCCCGCGAGCAGGCAGGCCTCGGCCGAGATCTTGCGGGAGAGTTCGAGCGAGCTTCCAGCAGAGAGCCGGAAGTAAGACTGGGCGTGGCGCTAGAGTCGCCACTGGCCGAGGTCCTTCCTCCGACGTAAACATTCTCCTTTTCACGGAAAGAAAGTCGAAGTGTTGTGTATCTGCATTGATCTGTCAACTTGTATCCTACTCCTCACAACGAACGCATTATTAGCGCATCCTGTCCAACACGGCTGACTTTTTTTTCTTTGCATGCATTCAAGAGTTAACCTGCTAGGTACATACACAAAGTCTGCGTTCATTACAGCTAGTTGGGGTCGTTAGTGGGGAAGTTTGACAGAAAGTTTAGAGCAAGGGTTGTTTGGTAAGGGTTGTTTGGTTGGTAAGGGTTGTTTGGTTGGTAAGGGTGAATGATGTAGAGGGCGCAGCCCCCCGTTCGCACATGATGACACTCCGGAGTGTTGTCTGCTGTTGATGTGTTGCTGGTCTCTCCTTCCTTCCGTTCTTCGTTATCAGAAGCCGAGATCAAATCAGAGCGAGATGGAGAACAAGGGAAGCCTGTTTGTCGGTCGTTTGTTCGCTCAAAAGGGTCGGGTGATGGACGCCTGTCTTGAGTTGAGTCGGGAGGGATTGGAGTTGAGTTGTTCGTCCTGCGAAGTAAAAGAATCGTTGCATCCGGCATCCGGTCTGTGGGGTTTGACGATCCACGTCCACCCATCTTAATCCGTTTACGCATGCGAGGCAAGGTCAGTCCAACGTCTGTCGCTCTGCATGCATGGCCTCCGCCTCAGCTTGTTCGGTGTGCCGCTTGTCACCTCGACGCCTTCCGGATCGCGGCTGCAGCTGGCCCAAGCCGACGGCGACGAGGATGCTCGCTGCCGGCTCGGTGTCGTTGGCGTCGCCAGTCGCAGCCGGCGAAAGACGTCCGGAGATTGACTGAAAGCCGTCCGTTGTTGTATGCCGCCCGAGCGTATTCAGAGGGCAGCCCAGACGAGCACGGCACCCAAGGCGCCGCCAAGCGTGAGGACGGTGGGAGCCTTGACGCCACCAGACGCAGCGTTGTAGGTGCCATTGTCGATCTGCTGTTCGATGCGGTGCGCCTGCGGGGTGAAGCTGGCCTGCGCGACCGAGTATGCCGAAGCGATCGAAACGAACTGCGAAGCCGACTTGGTCATGGCGGACACTCCACCGTCGGCGATCTTGCTTGCTTGAGAGATGCGGCTAGACTGCTCCTTCAGGTAGGACGAGACGGGGCGCGGGACCTGACCACTCATGGACTCGCGGAGGACGGAGGCGGCGTTGTTGAGCGAAGAAGCAGCGTCGTTGATGTAGTTGTGCACGTCTTGCATGTTGGCGCCGCTGCCGTCCTCGCAATCCGAGCCGCTGCCGCTGTTGTCGCCGCTGTCATCGCCATTGCTGTTGTTCTGGTTGCCACAGTTACCTTTGCCGTTGTAGACGGAACCTGTCAAACCGTTGACAAGCTGTTGGGCCTCGTTGGGGTCCATGTCGCGAGCAGCGAGCATGACGGGAACACGGCGAAGCACGGGTGCGGCGGTGACCATGGCGGCGGGCGCAGGAGCAGGAGCAGCCATGACGGAAGTGAAGCCGACCACGCCGGCGAGCGCGAGCACAGAGCTGAACTTCATGGTGGTTACGGTAGACTAGTTTTCGGTACAGGACAAGCGTGTCAGCAACTGTAGATGTGCATGGAAGAGAGCACGATGACTCACGGGGTGAGAAGTGTGGGCAGTGGATGCGCGGATGTAGGATTCTTTTTTGCAAGGAGTACGAGAGATACTAGCTCGATAGGATACTGTCTGTGGTCGATGAGAGTTTGGTGGAGTTGGCGGTTTGGGGTGGGGGGTCTTCTCTGAGCCGGTCAGTTGTTGATTTGTGGGTGCTACAATGGAATCAATCCTAAAGGTCTTACGAGGGTCGAACGGGTCGTCAAGATCGTTAGAATTCGTAAGGATCAAAGCGTTAGAGTTCGTGTGCGAAGGGGGGGTTTACGTTGCGTTAGCTTGCGTCTGAAAGTTCTGTGAGGAGAGAAAAAGGAATGGAAATGGAATATTCAAGCGCCAGGGTTGGTATTTATGTTGTCGGACTGTCGCCATGACGATCTGACTCCGTCATGCTGTAGTTAGATGTCCTTCAACAAGGCCCGGAACGCTTGGGCGCGCGATGTCTTGGCGGCAGCTACAGCTGCGCTACTTTGCGCTCGAAGCACTGCCCTCATCGCCAAAGCGCGGTCGGCCGTGATCTCCGCATCCTAATTAGGACAGGACAAAAAGCGTTTGTTAGTTGATTGGACGGCCGCTCCTGTGCCGTGGCCGTCCAACGTGCCGAACCGAATACCTAGACGCTGTGGCCGGCGTAGAACGACGACTACGTTGACGGACCTGGATTGAGTAAAGAAACTCGCAGACGCGGCTCAGGCCCGGCTTGTTATGCATGCAGAACCTCGAACGATTGGAACGGGAACGAGGGAGCCAGTGTAAGCAAAAGGTCCAGGAAGCAGCAGTGAAGGCCGGGTCTCGCATTGGGTCTGTACTCTGACGTAGTCGAGCTGGATCTGGATGCTCCGCACAAGAGCACACCCACGACGCTGGACGCTCTCCTCCTCCTATAGGATTCCTGCCTACACACGCTCGTCTCCTACCTGCACACGGACGAAGAGCAGCTCCTCGCCGAGAGAGAGTTTGTCGATGGTGTCGACGGGTAGCTAACGGTCGTTGCGAGAGCGGAAGCGAGGGAAAGAGGCGGGACGTCGCTGTGCTGCCTGCGCGCCGCTACACCCACTCAATGCCACACGAGAGCAACCCCCTCCCCCCCCCCAAAGCCACTTTATCTATACAGGACATTTGGTTCATTTCACTATTGGATCCGTTCAATCCTTGTTTGCCTATGGTCGTCAAGGCTCGCCGCTCGGGTGATCCGCTGGAACGCACTGGCTTGGGAAGTGAATCAGATCAGGCGACCTTGCATTCATCGTGAAGCTGGTGCGTTTTACATACCTGGGCCCCAAGCCCTGCCGAGGAGGGTGTTCAGTGAACCTTTTTCGTTTTCGCCAGTCGCGGCGACGTAGCGGCTCGATCCTTGGGACCCAGGTACCCCGTGATGACACCTGGGCCTTAGCGCTCGGCATGAACGGCATCCCGCATCCTCCGACCTACATTTCTCACAACCGCTCCATATACACTGCTCACCGCCAAGAAAGCACCTCATGACACTGATAGGCGATATCCATCCCCTGAATTGGGAGAGTTGAACTTGAATGTATAGTGTGTAATGTGCAAGGGCCTAGTAATACAGAGGGTAGCGAGCCCGGCCTGGACGAGAGGACAAGACCGGGGAAGATGCAGCGGCGCTTGCGAACGATGAGCCCCGGAAGGCGCCCTGAGCGCTCCTTGTCGGACGAGCCGGATAAATGCCAGGTGACCAATGATGACAGGGTACCGAAAAGGGCAGCAACAAGCGACGCATGAGCTGCAGACGGTGTGCGCCTGTATCTGCTCTTTTGGGGAATTGGGGCGGGGAGGGCAGATGCTTGCGTCTCAGGCGGAAGGAATTGGTGCCGAGTTGGGCGCATTGAGCATCTGTCCAACGCAGCAGCAGAGCGAGGAAAAGAGAGTCAGCAACACAAATCCCTATAGCACACACCTACAATAAAGCCATGTTTGGAACTGAAACTCACTGGATGCACCAGCTGCTCATGCAGCGCCTTGCCCGCTGCGACCATGGGGAAGACATGCTCGTTCTTGACGACGCGTGCCTCGAACAGAATCGGACGGTCGCCGCGGTACTCGATGAATTCCTTCATCTTGGCTGGCAGCTCGTCCAGCGTGTCGCATCGGATCGCCTTGACGCCCATCGACTCGGCCAGCTTGACAAAATTCGGGTTAGTCATCGCGGTGTGGCTGTAGCGCTGGTCGTAGAAGAGGTCTGTGTTTGTCGAGGAGCAGTAGAAGTAGCGGCAGCGGCGAAGGGAAAAAAAGAGAGAGCGTCAATACATGTCGAACTCGGTCGTGTGCAACAACAGAAGTGTTCTCGCTCACCTTGCCACTGCAGGACCATCCCCTGGAACTCGTTATTAAGAACGAGGATCTTGACACCGATGTTGAACTGTGAGGCCGTCGCGAGCTCCATGGCGGTCATGGAGAAGGATGCGTCGCCGTCGACGTCAATGACGACCTTCTCGGGGGCAGCGACTTTGGCACCGATGGCGGCCGGCACGCCGTAGCCCATCGTGCCGAGGCCGCCCGAGGAAACCCACGAGCGCGGCTGCGTCCAGCGGTAGTGCTGCGCGGCCCACATCTGGTGCTGGCCGACGCCGGTGGCGATGATCGTGTCCTTCTTCTTGCCGAGGTTCGTCACGACGCGGTCCATTTCCTCGATCACCTCCTGCGGCTTCATCAGCTCCCCCTTGTCAGGCTTGCTTGGCACGAAAGTGAACGGGAATCTTTCCTTCCACTCGCGGATCGTCGCATGCCACTCCTTGCGCGCGCTCTTGCTGGCTGGGTCGACGTGCTTCAGCACACGGCCGAGGTTCTCGATGACGTCGCCCTCGATGGCGCACGTCGCCTGCACGACCTTGTTGATGTTCTTCGGCATGATCTCAAAGTGCACGATCCCGCCACGGCCCTCTAGTGCCGCCGCGCGCGCTTGCGGTGCAAACTTGTCCACGCGCCCCGTGACACGGTCGTCGAAGCGTGCGCCAAGCGCGATGATAAGGTCCGCGTTTTGCATCGCCAGATTCGCGTACGCGCTGCCGTGCATGCCGAGCATGTGCAGACTCAGTTCGTCCAGCTCATCAAAGGCGCCCAGACCCTGCAGCGTCGTAGTGACGGGAATACTGGCGCCCTTGGCCAGTCTCTTAAGCATCGCTGGCCCTTCGGGCGAGGACAGGATTCCTTGGCCAGCGTAGATGACGGGTCGCTTGGCAATGTTGATCAGGCGTGCCGCCTCGAGCATCTCTGGCGTGTCTTCCTCGGACAAGGCAGACGAAGAAGTTGACGCAGAAGAATTGGAGAACCGGTTCACCGCGTATCTGGATCGGGGCCGCGCAGCCGCTCGCGAGGGGATGGAGCTCATGTTGGGTTGCGTGCTGCTGTATGGCAGCGCTTGTCGAAGGATGCCAGCAGTGACATCTTTGGGCAGATCGACGAGGACGGGCCCGGGCCTGCCAGAGGTTGCAATCTTGAACGCCTCGTTGATCCTTCGCGGGAGCTCTGCAATGTCTTTGACCATGACGTTCCACTTGGTGCAACTGCGTGAGATGCCGATGACGTCTGCCTCCTGGAACGCATCTGAGCCGATGGCAGAGGTGGCAACCTGACCGCAGAAGACAACGAGAGGGGTGCCGTCGGACATGGCATCCTGCATGGGCGTGACAACGTTGGTAGCGCCTGGCCCGGAAGTCACGAGGACGACACCAGGCTTGCCCGAAACACGCGCGTAGCCCTCCGCCATGTGTCCTGCGCCGTCTTCTCGGCGCGGAAGGATAAAGTCAAAGTGTTTTGAGTTATAGATGGCGTCAAAGACGGGCAGGATAGCGCCGCCGGGGTATCCAAAGACATGTTTGACCTTGTGGCGCAGCATCATTTCGTGGAAGATTTCTCCGCCGGACATGCCGACAAAGGACTCGTCAAGGGCGTTGGGATCATGTGATCGATTTGAGAGTGTCGGTGTGATCGAAGATCTTTGGAATCCAGGCGATGGCTCCGGGCGGCTGGCAAGTGGGATTGTGTTTTAGAGGGAAAAAAGAAAGGAAAGGAAACACGAAGCCATTGAGTAGCTGGTTCATCTAGTTGCCTGCGTTCTTGACACTCACCTGGACTGGTCTGACGTGGGCTGCGCTGCTGCTGCTGCTGCTGCAGGTGCTGCTTGGGACCTCGCAACGTTGCTGGAGATGTGTCGGCGGAGCATGTGGGCAATAGGACTGGGGATGGCGGTGGACCGGCTGGTGTTGCCTGCCACCGCGGCCGCTGCGGCTGCTCTTCTCCGTACGATGTGTGCCATGCTGGATACCATGGTCGTTGTATTGGTATGGGCTGTCCAGTTTGCTCCTGTGTCTCTTGCCCTAGTGTTGCATGGAGAGGGAAGATGGGGAGGATGGAAGAAGAAGGATGGTTGGATGGAGATGGGGATCCTGGTTGCGGATGAGAGAGAAGTGACTCGGAACGTTACCATCCCGCTCAGCCGCACAACACTGCACCAGGCGGCCCTATCTGCCCCTCCCCCGGTCTTCGGCTCCACGCCCTGTCACAAAAAAAATAAGTCCGTCAGATAGCACAGTCCGCAGTTCCGCTCCCTAGTATCCACTTTTGAAGGCGAGAGCGACGGGGATCACACTTTTTCGCTTAGGCTGGTGGGGTGGAGAACATTGACGATCGGTCACGTGCGTGTAATAAAGAGGGAAAGGGCGAGGCGGCTTTGACCTGTACAGGTTGCTAGGACTTGTTGCCAATGCTCAGGACTATGTCGGCGCTGGACGATATCAAGTCCTGGCGGCCTTGCCAAAGGATTGCCGGCTGCTATACTATGTATTGCAACTCCAAGGGCAGCGAAAGATAACTGCTTAGCTATCTCTTTAACACCCCCCAGCCCATTCGGGAAAGAAGACGGACAAGTCGTACGAGCTGTCGGCGACTGGCACAGCTGCTCGTGCGGCGGGGGCGTGGGCGTCGACCTGCTGGGTATAGTCGTCCCAGATGACGCAAAAGTAGCTGAGGCGCTCGAAGAGCGCCTTGCGCTTCTTAGAGGTGTGTACATACTCTTGCCGAGGTGCTGCAGAAAAATACTTTTCAGCTCCCGGGATGTATCAAAGAGAGCTCCCGCACTTCACCTTGAATTCTACATCCGGAATGCCCCACGACGCATCTATCCAAGCATGGATTTGCTTGCTCGACTCCAGCTATCGACTCCAGCTATCGAATACCGCGTTTCCTTCCGTAGTGTCTCTTGGGCTCGGGGCGCGCAGTCATTTCGTCGGGTTTAGGCTCCTTGGTGTAAGCACACAACGTATATTTAAGCACCTCGGATCGTCACGCTGTGTAACCATTTCAACTTCCCAACAACTGCACCCCTTAGTGCGCGACCATCCTTATGCTCTTGCCTACACGCAGCCGCGGCTTCGAGTCGCGCCACCTTTTGGCGGGCTTTCGCGATTCGATCAGGCGTGTCCACCATTGTTGTTGGCTGTTGCTGCTAGACGTCGAGCTGATCGGGGCTACAGGTGGTGGATGCATGGGTCGGGATGCTGTTATATACAAGACATGCCATGGATAGAACACGTCCCTGGAGATGCTGTTAACAACGCCCGGGATGACGACCCTACCGATGTCGTTGCCATATTAGCACGCCAACCAGGAGCGCCCACCCCGGTGCGTTTCAAGAGAAGCCAACCACCAAAGCTACCGGCCAGCGACGAAAAGTGGACCTCCCCAAAGCACAACAATGACAGCTTGGCTTAGTGGGGGACAAAGCTCTAATGCACCCACGGCATGTATGAGCTAGATGATTCAGTCCGCTTCCTCCACGCATCAACGCTGCTGACTGGCATGCTTGCCGCTGCTCTCAAAGTAGCCCCAGAGGGCACAGCCACGATATTGTGGATCGACTTCTGACCAGATCTCGAGGGTATCTACTGCACGCCAAAGTTCGAAGCGTGCAAACCAAATGACAACAAAGCAATCAGGGTGTGAAGACAACCCTGGAGAAGGAGAATATCGGAATGAAGGCACTTGCCTGTTTGCATTGGGGTGTTTAACCGAGCGCTTCTGGCACGAGTGCCTGGACACACCAACACAAATAGCTAACAACGGTGATGACCTTGCTCATCACGACTGCCAACGCCAGCGTTCGCGATTGCGGGACTCCCCTTTGAGCCATGCTTCGAATATGATTCATGATGGCATATGCGACGCATTTGGGCTAGTACGTTCGTGTCTCCTTGAGACTTGTCGTTGTTGTATCTCAGTCACATAGTCACACTTCACACTCGGTATAGACGGACACTTGCACCCCTCGCTTTGCGACTGGAGGACGGCGAGTAAAGAGGTAGAGAATACCAGGCAGGGCAGCCTTCTGGGCAACTGGGTGGAGCGCATCCAGGCAATCTGCTGCTACCCGCAGCACGCATCTTTGCTCGCACATTCATCTCAACGCACGATGGCTCTCCCACAGGCGCCGCAACGGCTCCTCAGGGACCTTCATGTAGCCTACATCAAGTCGCTCGATGCAGTGAGTGTCAGACTAGACTGCGTCCCTTCAGAGTGCCGGCCAAGTCAGCTGCCGCCAGGCCATGCAGGAGCTGCAGTCGAGCTTCCTACTGCGTTGAGGATGACAGTGGCTGACCGAAGATCTGGAAACAATCTGACGCCGCAGAAAAAAGAAGGCCTCTCATACCACATGACGACGCACCTGCGCATGAACGGCGTCTACTGGGGCCTCTGCGCGCTCGAGCTCATGCACGCTGGCGACCTGCTCGCTCGGCAGGACCTCGTCGACTTTGTGCTCAGTTGCTGGGACGACCCCAAGGGTAAGGGGAAGCGCAAGGCCGAACTTGACCACAATAAGAACGAGCCTGCAGGGCAACACCGGGATCCGAGCGACGGCAGAGACGGCCAGCCGGGAGGATTCGCGCCGTTCCCGCGGCACGACACCCACATCCTCAGCACGCTGTCCGCATTACAGATCCTCGCCATCAAGGGTGCACTCGACGTGGTTGACCGCCAAGCAGTAATAGACTGTGAGCCGTTTTTCTTCTACCAAGCCCCTCGCACCGCGATCTGATCCAGCTGGGTTTCTGGTCCTCCTGCAGACATTCTCTCGCTACGGTCCACGTCGCCGAACCTGCGTGGCGCATTCTACGGCGACAGCGCAGCGCTCGAGCACGACACGCGCTACCTGTACATTGCGCTGCACGCTTTACAGCTACTCTCCGCCACGGCTGAGCTCGCAGAGATACGCGAGGAGAGCATCGCATACCTGCTGCGCTGCCATAACCGCGACGGCGGCTTCGGCACGTCCGTCGGCGCCGAGAGCCACGCTGGGCAGGTGTTCACGTGCGTCGCGGCGCTCAACATCCTCGACGCGCTCGATCGCGTCGACCTCGATCGCGTCGGCTCGTGGCTCGCAGAGAGGCAGCTGCCCAACGGCGGGCTCAATGGCAGGCCGCAGAAGCTCGAAGATGTGCGTGCTCCGCTACGGACGCACGGGGTACTTTCTCTCATCTGACTCGGATCGCCACATCTTCTTGCAGGTATGCTACTCGTGGTGGGTGCTTAGCTCTCTCAGTATGGTGCGGCGACTGCACTGGATCGATGCCGCCAAGCTGCGGCGCTTCATCCTGTCCGCGCAGGATCCCGAGTACGGTGGCATAGCAGACAGGCCAGACAATGTCGCCGACGTCTTCCACACACACTTTGGCCTCGCAGGGCTCTCACTGTTGTCCGGCTTGGATCGAGGGACGCCGCAAGCAAAGGGCCAGGGCGCAGCAGCAGAAGCAGAAGCAGCACCGGATGGCAATGAGGGTGATGGGCTTGCGAACCTTGAGGAAGTCGACCCGACGTACTGTCTGCCTGCCCACGTGGTCCGGAGATTGGGTATTGAGAAAGGGTACCAGTCGTTTCGCCCCGCGAACAGGTAGCATTTCCATTGCACTGCAATTTTAATGTTATTTCATTTGTCTGTTGGTGCCACAGCGCCCCGTGGGCCACAGGCCTCCGCCTTCCTCTTCAACCGTACGCAGTGCATCGAGGGCAGTCGTCTCTCGAGCGTCCAGCGAAGAACGTAAAGCCCTCCCACCAAAACGAAGCGGCAGCTGGCAGATGGGAGGCACTGGGCGGCAGTGTGGTGTAGCCCACCCGGGTATACCGGCGCACCGGTCGGCCGGATCATCTCCCCCCACCCCTCCCAGTCCCACACCCAACACCACTTTCTTGAGAGCTCTAAATGCATATTCCCTGTCCACTCCACGAAGCCAAGCGTAAATGTGACCAGGATCCGTCCCTGCGAAGGTGAAGAGGGCTGCTAAGGACGTGTCAGACACTTGCCTGCAAAGAGTCGGACGCTGGGACGAAAGGCCTGAGGGAGTTCCGACCAAGGCGATCGCGTTTGATACCCGGCCATCGGCTTCGAAGCGAATTCCTGACGAGTTCTTTTGTACCTGACGCCTCAGCTCCATCATGTCGAGTATGCTGAGCCCGCCCTCGGTGGGCGAGCACTTGCTCGTGACTGTGCCTGCGCCGCACGTGCTCATGCTCACGCTGAACCGTCCCAAGCAGTTGAATAGCATGACCAAGGTGAAGTGCCGAGGTCGTGATGGAGGGCGACAAGGCAAGTTAAGCTTACACTGCTTCTATCCTCACTGTCCACGCTCATAGGACCTAGAGTTGGACCTTGGACGCGTTTTGGACTGGTTCGAAGACGAGCCAGCGCTATGGGTGGGCATCATCACGGGGCGCGGCCGCGCATTTTGCGCCGGACAGGATCTTAAATCATGGCAAGACGAAGCAGCCGCACGGCGACGCTTGGCCTCGTCGTCATCGGAACAGGAGCAGTACGCGCAATTAGCCGACGGCACGCGCGTCCCGCTGCAGCCGCTTTCAGAATCGCAGATCAGCGTCGACCGGCTGCGCAAAGGCGGGTTCGGGAGCATCAGTTCGCGGCGCAGCAGCAAGCCCATCATCGCTGCCATTGACGGAATCTGCATGGGCGGAGGTATGGAGGTCCTGCTCAACTGCGATCTCGCCGTCGCTACGGACCGCTCGCGCTTTGCGCTGCCAGAGGTCTCGCGGGGAGTCATCGCTGCGCAGGGTGGCATTGCTCGGGTGGCCAAGGTCAGCGGGCATGTGAGTGGATAGGGAGAGTGGCGACACGGAACAAAGCCACCGCTGTGATGCTCGCTGCAGCAGACGCTGAACTTGGAACTGTGCCGCCGTGATTTTCCTCCCAGCACCGCGCCTCCGAATTGCTGCTCACCGGCTCGGCTGTCTCGGCCGCAGAGCTCTACTCCAAGTACCAGCTGCTGAACAGCGTCGTGCACCTCCCTCCGTCTGCGAGCTTGGAAGCAGGCCAAGTAGCCGTCGAACGCGCCGCGGTGGCGCTCGCTGCGCGCCTCTGCGAAAACTCGCCCGACGCGCTGCTCGTCACAAAAGAGGCGCTCAACGCGGCGAGAGATTACCCAGGTCCCACCGGCGCGAATGCTGTGCTGATCAACGGACAGAAGCGCCAGGGCAATTTGGAGGATCTGGCCGTCGAGGCATACACGACCACGCGCGCTCGAGCGCTGTACGTTGGCGAGAACATCAACGAGGGCCTCACAGCGTTCCGAGAGGTAAGTGCGACGCCAATTGCAGACCGCTCTCGAAGTGACGTCGACGTTCTGACATACACGGTCCTGCATAGAAACGCGCACCGCGATGGCGCGATCCTGTCCAATTCCAGCGGCAGGAACGCAATGCGGGCAAGCTGTGAGGCGCAAGAGAGGGTATCCGGCGAGCAAGCCAGGCGTTTTGCTGTCTGTAAATCAAGCAGTGCAGGAAGCAAGGCAGAGCGTAGTAACGCTGACTCGCGTAGGTGGATCATAGCACAATACGATACACAGCACAAATGCCATCTGGTACACAAACCAAAGCCTTCGTCGCATTTTTTTTTTTAATTTCTGCTTTCGAAAGTAAACAAATCTTCGGTATATTGTACAACTACAAAAGAATGCCAGCGATGACGCGCAAGTATGTGTGCGGATGGACGGGGAACCGATTTGACTCTGTCTTCGTCTGCCTGCCAGCCAGGCAAATCTGGTCGGCAGGAAGATGCACATCTACAAAGACGAGTGGCAGACGGCAGGCGGCAGGAGATCGAAATGAAAGGCGCGCTCGCCTATTGATGGTAACAGACAGCGGGCGCCTGGGAATACGAACGAAAAGGAAAAAAGCAAGCAACGGCAATGAAAAAAGCGTAACAGTTTACGCGACTGGGCTGCTAACCATGCGTCCGCTCATCGCCGCACCGGCAGACGTGGCCGCAAGGCTGCGGCTGAGCAGCCTGCCCATCGCCTCGCGGCGGACTCGCGCATTGGCGCGCGCGGAAAAGTTGAGCGGCGCCACGTCGCTCGGCGGCCCCCGTGGCTGGCGCACCGGCTGCTGCATTTGCATCTGCTGCGCGTGCGAGGGCGCAGACAGCGACGAGGCGGCGGAGGGAACAAGCAGCTTGGCTTCGGACGTGAACGTGCGCGAGCGCGGCGCAGCCACGAGCTGGATGGGCGGTAGGCGCGGGCTGATGCCTGCGCTCGCGTACTTGTGGTTCGCTCCGCCACTGGAGCTTCCGGAAGCGGAGGGTTTCTTGGTCACGGGCGTGCTAACGCATTCCTCGTAGGCTTCAGCATCGCCGCCGGCGCCGTCTGCGGCGCCTTCAGAGGAAGACGCAGCGCTCGACGCGGGCGTCACCTCGTCTGCGTCGCCCTCCTGCTGGCAAGCAACATCTTCATTGTCGTCACCGTCATCAGACAGGACGGCGCTGCTCGCGGCATTGCTGCTCGTCTCGCTATCGTCAACGACGATGCTTGGCGTCGGAGTCGAGCTGGCGCTGCTTATGCTGGCGCTGCGCCGAGTGGCGCCGGCGGCAGTAGATGGCGTTGGCTTGCTGTTGCTGGTCGCGCCGCTGTTGCGCGAGATGGAAGACGAGCGCCACGAGATGGCGCTGTCGGCCGTGGAGACGGTGCGCTCACGCTTGCCAGCAGCGGCAGCGGCAGGGTTGATGGGCAAGCCGCTGCCCGACAAGTGGCGCAGATCGGAACGCGTCAAGGAGCGGCTGGTACCGTCGACGTTCCATGAGGAGCGTTGGCGCTGCTGCTGCTGTTCAGCCAGCGCCTGTTGCTGTTGCTGTTGCTGCTGCTGCAGAGCGTGAAGGAGCAAGAGCTGCTGCTGTTGTTGCTGCAGCATCAACTGCTCCTGCAGCGCCTGCTGCTGGTGCTGCGCAGCCAGTTGACGGTTGCGCATGTTGGCCTGCAGCGTGGCTTGAGCGGCGCTGCGCTGCTCGCTGGCGCTGGCGTACTGTTGTTGCTGTTGCTCCTGCTGAACCAACTGGGCATGCTGCAGCTGGAGTTGAAGCGCGAGCATCTGCTGCTGCTGCTGCTCGAGCGCAGCGGCCACTTGGGCAGATGCGAGCTCATACTCGTCCTGCTGCTGCTGCTGATGACCCTGTAGATGCATCTGCTGCGCCTGCAGTGCCTGCAGACGCATCAACTCAAACTGCTGCAGCTGCTGCTGCAGCGCGAGCTGCTGTTTGAGCTGCTCCTGCTGTTCGCGCACGTGCGCCGCGCTGCTGGCCGCGCGGAAGGCCGCTTGGCCCTGGCGTTGCCGAAGCATATTGACTGCGCTCTCGCGCGCGCTGCTGACGCTCGCACCGCCATTTCCCTCTTCAACGGACGTGGCGCTGCTGGGGCTGGAAGCACGCAGCTGTTGCTGCTGATCCCCCGCCGCCTTGTGCGCGGCGGCGGCCTGTGCGGCAGCGACGGGTTTGGCGGGCAGGCCGGTGCCGCTCAGGCGGTTGGTATTAGTGCTGTTGCTGCTAGCGTAGGCGGGCGGACTGCTCGCTTCGTTGGTCGCACCAGAGGCTTGGCCGTCCGCAAACGATGCGTTCATGCCTGGTGTGAAAGGAGCCGCCGTGGGCTTCATGGTGGACAAAGTAAAAGCTCAGATGAAGTTCAAACTGTAGGCGTATTGCGGAGGAAGGAGAAACAGCTGTCAGTGACGGGGTCCATTTTGGTGCTCAGTGCTTGCCGTGCTCACAGATTGGGCAAATGTGCGAGGGTTGGATGCCAGAGCAAGGGACGCTTGAGTGGGCTCTAAGGCCGAGGTCGATTGTCTGTTGCGAATGTGCTAGATGAGTGGGTTGGGTGTATGAGCGCGGGCGCGTGTGAAGTACGGCCGCGTGGAGTACTGGGGTTTATCGAGTAAGCTGGGACGCACGGCAGTGCCGTCGAATGCAGTTAAACTTGGTGATTGGGGGGTGGCTAGTGTGGGTAGCCGGATCGAGCAAAAGCGATCGTCGCTCGTCGGCTTGGGTCGCTTGCTTGTTTGCTTGCTTTGGCAGTTGGATGAGTCGCTGGCTGTTGGGGAGCGTGATGAGTCGAATCAATCGACGGGTACGAAGGACCTGTTTGTTGGTAGGGTCAAAAAGAGGCTTGGTTGAGTGTGATATCGACAAGGGCTGCCTCTCAGAGGGCCTTGCTTGGGGAGGCAGAGGTAGGTGCTGTGAGCTTGGCTGGCGGTAGGCGGTGGAGCAAAAAGAAGAGAAGCGGGTGGAGCTGAAGCGAAGGATATTGATGCTATCTGCTTCTTGACAAGCTCTGTACATTGGATATGACACGCGAGATGTGGTTGAGAGTCAGTTGCTGTACGTCTCTGTACTCCTTTCCACAGTAGCGCCCTTTGTGGTGTTGAGTATGCGCGTATAGACGCGCGACCAACAAGAGACCGTTGGGCTTCGGGCACCGCCTCTTTCTCTCGGTTACCCCCTTGGGGCGTTGGCCATCCACCCGCTCGCCTCTGATTCTCACCTTTTTCCTGTGGCCTTTTTGGTCTACAGTGGCTACGACGGCGTGCACCAGGTGCTGCTGTTCAGCACTTGATGGTGCGTTTGAGGCAAGTGATATGACTGGGAAGAGTGGACAGGGCGAAAGCGCTGCGCTGCGCGCTCGTTGTTGTGAGGAAACAAGGGGACCGGATTTTTTTTTCTGTTTTTGGGTTGGATTATGTGCTGTATTAGAGACGGGAGACACAACTGGTCGGAAGTGGAAATGGTCGAAGCGAAGGGGAAGGTAGAGAGAGAAAGAGAGACGGAACGAGGCGAGGCGAGGTGAAGCGAGGCGAGGAGAGTTGAAGAAGGGCGGGCGAGATGAAGATGGGATATATATGGGGGGGAAAGGGGGCGATGGTGATGGCGGTGAAGGCTGACTGGCAGGGTTGTATCGAACAGGCTGGATGGGCTGCGGTGAGTGTGCGAGTGGCGCGCCACTCGCACACTTGACTGGTGTGAGAGCCCATCACAGTGAGATGCGACAGATCGAGTGGAGCGCTGCAGTGGAAGAGACAGACACGCCAAAGAGTCAGACTGCACTGCGGCAGCACGCGCAGCGCACTGAACTGCAGGGCGGCGCTGTGGCTGTGTGCCTGGAGGGAGAGGGAAAAGAACCCTGTGTCAGCAGTACCCCAAAGTCGCGCGCGGCAGCAGGCCCGGCAGGATAGTGCAGAGCGAAGGCCGATCTCCTGTGCCAGCCAGACTGGCACACTTGGACTCTTGAACGGACAGTTGACTGGTGCGGGACCAGTCTGTCTGTCGCTTGCATGCAGCCGGGCGGGGCATGTCCCCGCAGGCGCAGAACACGGTTAGAGTGCTGTAGCCCACTCATCTCTTGACTCTCGAGGTTGGTAGCACGGCACGAGTTGAGCACAGACGACGGAGGCTCCGGCAAATGAATCAATGAAAACACCTTTCCGAACTTGGAGGGTTGATGCGCCACTAAGGGATCCACCCTCCAATTGAATCGAATCAGCCAGCGCATGCGTATGCATCCGTCTGCCAGCTGCCAGGCCAAGCAGTGGGTGAGCTCAACGTGCCCACCCTGGATTAGATGCGCTTGGTCCGTGATGGATTCGGTCGGCGCCAGTCGAGTGGGAAGGGCAACGCCTTTCGCTTCACTTTACGTCCAATTTGGCCCTAGCGTCGCATGGAAGACTTCTGCGGTCCTGTTCACACACACATGCATACATATCTGTATATAATTAAATCCATGCCACCAACATTCATGGTCGTTTGAGGCTGATCGAAAAGAGAAAGAGGGTATGCCTCGTTCGAAAACCCCGACCCCTCCCCGGCTCGCGTTCGCGCGTCCACTCCATGCAGAGCCAGCCGAAGAGGCACCATCTGCAGACTTCACCGCCAGCCTCGGCTCCTGTCTTCTTTGAGCAGTTGACGGGACACGCATGTATACACAATAGTGCCGACCATGCACGTTGGGCGAAAAAAGTACTTCACGCGTCTCTTCGACCGCACTCACACCACCAAATCGTGTACCTATCCCATCCATCAATCGAATAGAAATCCCGCTTTCTGCCGTACCCATCGCAGCACGTGGCCCTCCCAGAAGATCGACACCTCGTGCAGGTACAAGAAGCACTGACACACGCGCTGCAGCTCTCTTTCTCTTTCTTCTTCTCCTTTGCCCACTCCTTCTCCTTTGCCCACTCCTTCTCCCTCTTCTCATCTAACTACGCCACCCCCGCCGCAACTTCCGCGTCGCTGTTGCCGCGAACAGACCGTCACCGGCATCCGCAGGCGCAGTGCTGCTCGTCGTTGAGAACGGCGCGATGGAGAGCGGCTGCAAGCGGTGTCCGCGCCCGCTGAGCCGCGTGTGCGGTACGCGCAGATGCGCCACTCGAGTAGCTCCTTCCTTCCACGCCGCCGTTCGTGCTGCTGCTGCGCGAGGTGGTCGCTGACGCACTCCTTCGTGTCCAGCCTGCTGCAGGATGACGCACCCGGCTGCTGCTGCCGACCGTGCGGGCCTTGCTGCTGTGGCCTCCCATCACCCGCTTTGTCCCTCAGAGGTGGGAAGAACGCGCGGTACTCCGGAGTGCTCGACTCGTGCCCCTGTTCCTTCCCATGGGACCCACAGTAGACACTGTCCTTCACTTTCAGCCATGGCCCCACCCCGCCGAGCAGGACCACGTGTGCGTCGAGCGTCATGGCCTGCAGATGCAGCGTTAGCTCGCTCTCCTGGTGTCGGCGCCGTAAAGCGCCTCGCAACCGATTTCGGCGGCTTGTCCATATACCAGCTGGACAGAGACAGGCCCGGGCGGAAGTACGAGTGGATGTGCCGCCCTTTCTCGATCAGCGGCGGCGGCACCGTCGGCGATACCTCATCGCTGGGCGAGGGTGGCGATGAGGAGGAGGAGAACAATGACGACGCAGTATCTGCAGCAGCTCCTGCTGCTGACAAAGAGGGTGAGAGGCAACAGAGGCACCACTGTTGCCGTCGCCAACCCTGTCACTGCTTCCGGCCTCAATCTTCTTGCCCTTCTCAGCAAACGGGTCTTCGCAGATGCGCGCCTCGCAGCTCACGCACGTGTACGTCCCCGACAGCACGCGCTGGAGGTGAGGGCAACTCTTCGACGCCGCAAAGCGACCGCCCGCCCGCTTCCAGCTGCGATCAGCGCAGCAGCCCAGCGCAGATGCTAAACTGAGATGACGGCAGTCGTGTGTTCGGGCTGGGTCTGGGCACTGGATATGCTTTCTGCTTTTCCGCGCTCCTGGACGCAAGCGCTTGCCCTTCCGCGTTGTTCCATGGAACGGGCTGCGCCGAAGCCTGTTGCACTCCTCCCGCTGCCCGTTCGCTCAGCTCCCGCTCTTGCTCTTTCCCATGCCTGCATCTGCCCCTGTCGCTTTGACCGGAACGCCACGGCAATGTCGAGAGCATTGTCACGATTGCGCATGTTCATCCTGGCCAAGCTGATCAGACCGTCAGCTACCGGCGCAGCGGTTTGGGACGTACTCCCTGCGGAGGTGCATGTACTCCAAGTCCTTCAGCAATGGCATCATCGGCGGCAAGGCCGTGCTGTGCATGTTGTCCAGCAGCATCGCTTTGCGCGGGAGACCGCCACATGTGGCGCGAGCATTCGTTGCGGGTGATGTGCTGCTTGTGCTGTTGGTACTGCTGCTCGTCTTGCTACCGAGCTGCCGCACCTCAATGAACTGCGGCAAGGACAGCGCGTGCAACTCGACGATGGTAAGATTGAGTAGGTTTGGTAGGAACTCTGTCAGCCCGGCCATTGCCGCACACCATTCTGCCGGTGAGCCCAGGATCGCCATCCGATGGACAGTGTAGGGCCGCGCTGATAGCGTCAAAGGTACCGTTGTCCAATGGACGCCTTTGCAAATGATCCGATGAGAGGTTCCATGACGAGCCAGAGAGAATCTTTGCAAGCGCCCGCACGACAGAGATTGGGAACGTGCGCTCCCCTGCCTCGTCGCACGGCTTGGGGGGACGAGTGGCGAGTAGCACAAGGCCGTCGGCATATGTTCCCGCTGGTGCATGCCCCCCGCTGCCATGACTGCTGCTGCTGCTTTGGCTGGAGAAGCCAGCTTTGGATATGACGAACGCCTCCAGAGAAGTGAGAAGCGGTGAGTTGGACGTTTTGGTGACGCTATACCACGATGATGGTTTGCCATCCTCCTCAAGGGCAGATTGATTCCCAGCGCTGCCCTTCGCCCATTGTCCGCGATGGTTCCTTGGCTTTTGCATTGGCCCCGGTTGTGGCGCCGTCCGCAGGCTCTCCATCATCGTTGCCAAGCTCTCCTTCTGGCTAGCTCCGGGCATCTGGACGGGTCCATCAATGTCCATGACATGTGCAGACATGGCTGAGCGCCGCAAGCAACCAGGAACAGTTGCAGCCAAGCCGCGGCACAGCTGTATGCATGCACTGAGCGATTTGGATTGGTCATTGGACAGCGCATATCGTTGGTATGCTTTGGAATGCACGTAGATTTCCTTGTCAAGCACCAATTCGAATGCCGTCACACTCGATGTGATATACTTTACGCTCGTGTGGGCATGGGGTAGCCTTGCTGTGACACCAATTGCATGTGTGTACGCATCTAGGTCGACACTTGCTTTTGCAGATGCACTTCGTTCATCGCTGGTCAATGGTTTGCATGGGCTCTCCTTACGTGTGTCTGGAATGGTTAATTTGCTTTTGGAGCACCCACGCGGTGCAAAGAAGAGATGCAACAGCCTTGTTCATAGCCGCTGAAGTGATGATGTGAAAGCAGCATCCTCAGGCCTCGAGGTCACCCTTCAGAGCCTGCGACTGCGATCGTGTGTCCTGCTCTTCCCTTTACCGTTCTCTCCTTTACTAGGGAGCCCGTGATGTTCGACGAGGCATCAGCATGGGTCGCGGGAATCGTTGAGGCAAATGCGTCGATTGGTACCCTCGCTTCTTTAGCTCTTTCAAACACACATGTAGCGCGTTCCAATTGATAGCTGGTGGTCCACGCGCAATCGGAGCGTCTCTGTGCGTCACAAATGGAGGCCCATCAGCTCTGTGCGCAACCCCGAGGAGATGCAGCAAAGCGAAAGCAGAATTTTCAGCTCAGTGAAGACCATCCAAAGCACGGTGTGCGGCAATCAGGTAGCCAGCATCTTCGCCCCACCGATTGACCGTGTCATTCCTGGACGGACCTATGAAGGAGACCATGCATAGAGCCGAAGAGGAGAGAGTAAGCGTGTTCGCTCCAGGGTGAGAGTACGTTTTTGCACTTGGGTGATGGTCGTGAAACCAGCTCAGCTGGCCTTAGGTCCGAACGGCTGCCGAGGGGTAGCTTGCACCAACGACAGTGAAAGCTGCGATGTAATCCTCGACACTGCTCGGCAGTGTAGCATCGTTCCCTTCCCGACGCTTGCCACGCCTCGAGCGCATCTGTCCTCGCCGATGCTGAGAAGACGAAGCAGACAGAGGGTGACACCAGAATGTCTCGATGGCCAGCGTGTGGCGGCGCAGAGTAGGCACATAGTCTTCGCTTTCCGGCGAGGAAGAATATGAAGAAGACAATGAGGACGAAGGACTTGGCGATGAATTAGACATGAATGGGGGGAGCCGTCAAGACGGTTCTGTCACATCTATCGTCGCCGGTCATGTCAGGACCTACCTGGCCCACTCCCCGGCGGCGCGCTGATGGAAAGCATCAACCATCATAAACTGGCTGGGCGCTTGGCGCGTCGGACACGCTTGGAAGGAAGCACTGGTGCCGGTTTACCCGTATTGATACGGCCCATGGCCGATCAAAGGCAAAGTACTGGCAACACCGTGACGTGACCTGTGTAGCAAATAGCATCACGCCGGCTTACAATTACCGACAAGCGATGGTTGCACTAGAGGCAATGAAAGAAACGCAGATGGTGTTCCAGATGTCCGTAACCCTAGAAGGTGGATCCGCCCTTTTCATCGCTTCACCACAAAACTCCACTCCCAGCTGCCAATCGGATATGGAATCCTCATAACTCCCACTCGCCTGAATCTCCACCTGATGCGAGCACACGTTATGATACAGGCTCGTGTACACTGGGCGGCAAGATAGATACGTGCTATACAAATAGACCGGGGAAGAGTGCACGCCCACTGCCTACGTGCTTCGGATCCGACGAAGAGGCACACAGGCTGCACACTCTGCTTCTAGCTACAGCTGCGGGACTGCGACGCGGGTGGGGCCCCCATTGTCCTGGAAGCATCATTGCAAAGGGCGAAGCACACTGACTCGTAGAAGCTCCTCTGCTTGCTCATCGGAAAGCTCATTCAACTCGGTAGCGCGTTCAGAATGAGGTCTGCAGACGCCAAACGAACCGCGACACTGCTCGGTCGCTCGTTGCGGACGTGTCTGCAGCAGCAGCAACAACAACAACATCGTCATCATCAATTGCACCTTTCGCAGGAATGCAGAGTGTTCAGCACACGGCAGGTGCTACCAAAGCTGCCACACGACCATGCTGGCATGTGCACCTCACAGCCGGCAACGCAAGTGCTCCTACCTTGGCAGATACATCAGACGCTGGTGCCGCAGCAGCGCCATGCACGTCCGCCAGTCCGAGGGTACATATTCGCGCTCAGAGGACCGCCGCCGAGCAGGCGCCATTACGGCTCTGACGCGAGCGGTAACTCTCAAGATCAGCAGCAACAGAACTCACCTCCACGGCCGAAACGTGAGTGACTTACCCTATGCGCTTGCCACACGCCTATCAGCTTATTTCCTCTTACACATGCTCTGCTCCTTTCCCGCATCCAGGCACCCTCCGCCAAGCGTGGCACTCGACACGAATCCGATGGTACCCCATCCCGATCCTCCTTGGCGCCTGCGTGCTTGTCGGTGTGCAGGCGCGACGGCAGTACCTCGCCGAGCGTGATGGCAAAGGGCTCGGTAGCGGCGGCAAGATCGTCGATGAGAATGGCCAGGTCGTCAAGATGGACGGGCCGTGGACCGTGTATGTCTTTGCTGCCTTGCCGCTCAACAGCATCTCGCGACTCTGGGGCTGGGCCAATAACCTGACGCTGCCCATGTGGTTCCGACCGTATGGCTTCAAGTTCTACTCGTACCTTTTCGGCTGCAACCTGGACGAGATGAAAGACCCGGACCTGACGCATTACGCCAGTCTCGGCGAATTCTTCTACCGCGAGCTAAAGGACAGTGCACGTCCAATTTCCGCGCATGCTGAGCTGGTAAGAGGCTATTTCCAAGCGTAGTAGCAGCGCGTGATGCTTACGTTCCATTTCGCACACTTCCAGGTCTCTCCTGCAGACGGTAAGGTCCTCCACTTTGGTTCCGTGAAGCAACGGCGGGTCGAGCAAGTGAAAGGCATCACTTATTCGCTCGATGCGCTCCTGGGTCTTTCTTCCGACCCTCATTCATTGGAGCCATACGAGCAATCAGCACTCTTGGGATCTGTCAGCAAGCGAGAGCGCAACTTCCAAATCAAGGACGAGAAGAATTTTGCGCGAGTCAACGGGATCGACTACAGTCTGGACCGCTTGCTTGGCGGCGGTCCGCGACAGCAGCACTGGCGAGTCTTCAGCGCGACGTGGTGGAGCAGGTGGATTTCCGACTCGGTCGACGCGGTCACTATGCGTTCAGGCGGGAGGAAAGGGAGCAAAGACAAACCTCTCTCGTGCCTGGCGCTCTTCTCGCAGAAGCGCGAGTCCCAAATTTCCGAGGAGACGTCGCTCCTGCGGAACGAAGATAGCGTCGCGGAAGAGGCAGGGATACCCACACCGGATACACCAGAGGTTCTCGGCAGGTACGCAGATGTCGCGTTGGATGTGGGCAGCAACGCTGTGCCACCCATCTTGGAGCCGCATTCACCGGGGCACGATGGAGTCAAAGAGGGCAACAAGCTTTTCTTCACAGTTGTCTACCTCGCTCCTGGCGACTACCACCACTTCCACAGTCCTGCAAGTTGGATCGTCGAGCGTAGAAGACACTTTAGAGGTGCGTACTGTGCAATCCTCAGCCTGATGAGTCTCAAATGCTGACCTTAATTACATTTTTCTTTTATTCTCACAGGAGAGCTCTATTCCGTTTCTCCCTACATGGCCCAACGCCTCGCGAATCTCTTTGTCTTGAACGAGCGCGTCGCGCTCCTGGGTCGCTGGCGGCACGGCTTTTTCAGCATGATCCCCGTCGGCGCGACCAACGTCGGGTCCATTCGCATCAACTTTGACCGTGCGCTGCGCACCAACCTGCGCGACCAGCGCGCTTTGGCCGGCACCTACTCCGAAGCTACGTACAGCTCAGCCAGCAGAATCCTCGGCGGGCAGCCGCTGAAGATTGGCGACGAGATGGGCGGCTTCCTTCTCGGTAGCACCGTCGTGCTCGTATTCGAGGCGCCTGAGACATTCGACTTTTCCATCCAGGCTGGACAGAAGATCAAGATGGGACAGTCATTAGGGAGCATCCCTATACAACAGCCAAAACAGCGGCCAATCTTCGGTTGGTGGCATGGGCAATACTGATGCCGCAAAAGGTACATGCCATTGCATCAACGCTCAATGCGTACATGCAAAGCAAGGTTGTACAAGTCAAATCGATTACAAGAGAAATAGCGAAATAGTTCTCAGGAGCGGAGCAGCTGCGTCTATGTTGCGGGCTACATGGCGAGATGGGAGGGCGGGCGCGATCAAGCGAACATATTGTGAAGTAAGCTTGCAGCCCCTGCGTTGAGGGCTGTGGATTTTAAATCTAGAATGGCACCGAAAGCCTCTACAACGTTCGGGTGCCTAGGAAGCAGCTTCGCGCTGGGAAGCTTCATGGCGTAATATGCTTGGATACTAGCGGAGATCACCAAGAGCAGACGCGGGGAGAATTTGGCCTTTCGAGCTTCTAGCATCATGCGAAGGATGCTCAGGTCTGTCCATTTGGGCTGGAATGAATGCATCGTATCGCCGAGCGCCAAGAGGACGACGATCTGGTGCATGAGCTCCTTGGCGTCCTCCTTGGACACCATCGGCAATTTACGAGAGTTCAAATTGCGCCCCTTGTCTAGCAATACTGCCACGAGATCGGATAAACGCTGTGCTTTCTGATCCATCGACTGGGGATTGAGGCCAGGCGGAGATGTGTGGCGGGTCGTTTTGTTGACCATGTTTTGCAAACGCCGCGTCCACATTCGCTTACTGATGGCCTTAGAAGCCTTGGTAATGAGCGGAAATGGACCAGCGTGCTGCGTCGATAGGCCCAGGTACTCCGCGAGAGCCGCACGAGCCTCGACCAAGAACGGAGATCGTTCCGGTCTGCCGCCTTTGAGCAGGCGCATCTTGAGGATATCTTCGCGAAGTTGCTCTCTGTGCAGTGTCCATTGCTCGGTGCTCTGCGACAGCTTTATGAGTACACGAGCTCCCAGCAATGAGTCGTCAGCCAGCCACATGAAGGCTGCGATCTGCCTTGAAACGAGGTCAAGCAGAAACGGGTGCATCGCCCTGTTGTCCAAGATGGACAGTAACGACTCGATGCAAAGCTGGGTGCGCAAAGGAGCAGGATGGTGTTAGTGCTCAATCCCGTGTGTGTATGCAGGCGGCGACACTTACCCAAACTGCTGAGCGCGATGCGTCTGCGAAGTGGCTGCGGTCAGAGGGAGGCAAAAGTCTCATGTCCACCTTGTCGTTTGCATCCTCAGCGGGATTGCCAACCAACGTCGAGTCGAGATCCAAGAGCAGACTGCTGCGTGGCGTTGAAAGCTCGATGAAGCGAGAAACAGCAGCAGACGATTCCGTTGGAGGCGAATGTCGCTCGAATGGGTGTTGCAATGACGACCGATCGCTTGTTGGATGAGCGACCGCGGTGGATTGAGCAGATGATGGAGATAGTGCCAACTCTTCCCTGATGTCATTCCCCAAGGCCCTCATGCCCATAGAGCTCTCCAGTATCAATGGCATGACGAGTGACGAGCGTGGGCTGGACGCCACATCAGGACAGGCAGGAAAGGGAATAGAGCTGCGCTTTTTCTTGAACGCGAGTTTTGACGCCTCGGGTGGGGCTGTCCATCGGCCCGCATCGTTGGCTGTCCCGGGCCAGTCTTTGCGGCTTACTATTTCAGATGAGGGATCACTCCGGAGACGCAGTCCTTGCGGCTGCTGTGGAAGATGCAATGACGAAGCAACTTTAAAGGGGAACTCGACGCGCTCATGAGAAGGAGCTAGTCCAGTTTCACTAGCTTGAGACTCGCGCGCGAGCACATGTGCTTCTTCCGATCTCATACGTATCCTCTCAGGCTCCCACACGTTTGAAAGCAGAGAGTGAAATTCTGGAGCGATAAGGCTTTGATCTGACTCGCCTTTCCTTCTCGCAGTGCCGGTAGCTTCATGAGCGGTGAAGCCGAAAGGCAGCAGCTGAGGGCCATCGTGCGTAGCCTTACTCGTGGGCTTCGTCGTACCGACCGGTTTGTTGGACTGAGATCCGCTGCTCGAAGACATGCTGGCCACTGATGAGGCAGGGGAAGATCTTGGAGTGCTGCGAGGTAATCGCATCGGTGGGATCGTAGCAGGGTAACGCGTGCTGACTGGCGTGGGATCAAGGTCGAAATTCAGGGTGGATATGCTACTGGTTCCACGTGAGAAGCACGATGTGCGCTGGTGGAGGCCGAGGCTAGAGCTTGAAGCCTTGCTCCTGAAGGATGCAGAGTTTCAGATCCCATGTCCAGGAGTCGCGCTCTCTTGGGCTCACCCTTCGCGCAAAGCGTGTGAGGAAACCCGTCCGGCATCGTCTGCTTTAACCACCCTTGCCTCGTTGCCATTTTCCCTCTGCACGTCGGCTCGGCATTCTTTCAATGCTTCGTTCTCCTCTGGAAACGAGCTGAATGATTCGGCAGACACAGTCGTAGGGCTGCTCGCCTCGCTGATCTCTGCTCCTCGCTCAGCACCACCGCCGCGCATGAGCCACCGCGACAGTTCTTCACTGGTCAGGTCCATCGGCGCTACCAACAGATCGATGGTGGCGAGTCCCTGTGCGGTGTTAGCACGGTTGGCGGCTAAAGTGGCGCGCAACGAACGGAACTGGTTAGACGAGGCAGGCGATGAAGTATTGGCTCTTGAGGTGACTTTGGGGTGGCACTCGAGTTCATTTGATGCGACAGTTGGCGAGGATGCGGGCCTTACGAGGTCAACGGGAACAGGTTGCTCAGCTCTCCTTGTCGACTTTCCCACCAGGGCCTCCTTTGATTGAGCCGAGCCGTTGCGAGCGATCAACCGTCCGATGAGCATCGTGCTTCAAGTCTGAGGGCTTAGGTGTTGCAATCTCAAGCAAGTCAGCCGTCAGATTCGCGTTCACGGAGACGGGCATGACCAATCTGCGTAGTCGGAGCTGATTATATGCCAGCATCTTTCTCAGCTCTGCCTTTCCAATTGAATCACAACAGCAAGAACTCTGGAGACAGGAGAGATTAGCAAACAGGGAACAGAGAAGGCAGTGGATGCAGCAGAGTCGTTTGCAGAAGAACTTCAGTGTCGCACAGCAGATCGATTGCTTGAAACGGAGTATGACAATCACGTTTGCTTTGAGATAACCCATCGCTGTCGATGTGCAAACATCAAACAACGAAAGGTTGCTGAAAGCCGTCGGCACGTTGACACCGCTCCAATTGAACCGACGTTTGCGCGTTTGTGACGCGACTGGGCTTCTTGCAACACGCATGTTTGAGCTTAGCGCAAAGGTAAAGAAGAGGAAATGGCCGCTGAACCGCAGACGCTGTCACGAGAATCAAGCAAAGCGGTGAGAGAAAGGAACGCCAGCCTTGAGGTCGTGCCAAGCTTCTGCTGGGGCAAACGAGAACTAACATGTCACAAAATCCTGGTTGGACGACATTCGACGGCAGGTCAATTGAATGCCACTGGAATGGTGGCCGATGACTTCCAATCGTTACTAAGTCGAAAAGAATCGAAACGTGGGAAGATGTGTAGAAATACAATAGCCAATGCTTGTTTCATTTACAGCTTGAGAATGTCCACTCTCGTCCTGCCAGGGATATCATATCCGATACGGTCCCTCTCCGACTGTCCAGCACACTTTGCCTGCTCGATGATCTCGCGCAAATCCTGCTGCGGTCGAATGGTGACCATGGCGACTGTTCCGCCACGGTCGCCCTTCCTGCCACCAGCGGCACCTGGATTGACGCAGATAGTTGGGTCGAGCAGTTTGCTGCATGGGTTCAGCACCGACGGAAGGATGAGAATGTCAGGCGTGACAGTGACAAAGTCCGCCAGGTGTGCGTGAGATATGTCGAGCGGCAGGGGAGGATTGGAAGCCGGGGAGGACGGGTAGAGCGGGTAGAAGCTGCGAGGTGGACAATCAGCGACGACAATCAGATCAGCTAATCGAAATTTTTACCAGGAGAACGATGCTGCGCTTGAAAAGGCAACTCACCATCGCTGGCTGATAATATGACCACAGACTCTCAGAAGAGGGTCAGGTGTAGCAGTCTCAAACGCGTTCGAGCTTTTGATATCTTCGACCTGGATTACCATCTCCTCTGACCGTACATCTCTGAGCACGTCTGCCGTCGACAGACCGACAAAGCATTCGTTAATCCAGACTGCGCACGGGTTCGGCAAGCGGAAGAGACGCTTGTCATCCTGTACGCACCCACAAGAGAGCAATCAACCAACTGTACATGACAGGGATGATCAACTATGCGTACTCACAGGAAGGCTTGTCCTCTTGTCAAACATTCCTAAACTTGTATCGCTTTTCGAATTGTGCTCGAACATCGGTTGTGGGAACGCAGCATGCGCCGATACAATATCCTTTGTACTTGGCACCAGCGCAATCCTCAGTCCGCTGCCTTTGGTCGCCTTCAAAAGCTCGTCCAAACGATCGCTGACCCTCTTTCTGAAGATATCCTCCGGGAATTCGTCGACATGACCGGATTGAAGTATAGGATGGTAGCGCGACAAGAAGGGGCCAAGGAGGATCAGGATATCCGGGGTGTCTCTGAGAGCTTGCTGAATGATGGCTTCCAGCGGACCGAAGGTTAAGTCTGAGTCGGAAGTGAAAGGTCCTGCGGCAACCATCATCTTCATCGGTTGGCCATTCATGCTCTTGGTGCTGTACTGAAACTTCTCTAGCTGTCTCATCTCTTCTGTGCCTTCGGGTAATCTAGGTGGCTGCGAGGTCGCAGAATAAGGGACCTGCCTCAGCACGCGAACATGACGTTTTTGACTTCTCTCAAACGCCCACTCACCAGTAAGACCTCTTGCACGGAAAACGCGTCGCCCGTCCCATTCCGTCCCTTGAGCCCGACGAGCATACCGGGAAAGATACCGAAGCGGTCCGTTCGCAAAAGTCCGTCATCCTCATCACCGAATTTTGCCCCAGGCGCCGGCGGACTACGCCTGACCTTGCAGTCCGCTTCAAACATGAGCGAGACGCGCTCGCCATCACCCATCTTCTTGCTGGTCTCTAGCACAACTCCAGCCTCGCTGAGCTTCGGTACGCCCGTCTTCGCCCACCGAGCTGTCTCCATGACGGATGCCACCTCCACTGGCGGCGGCACAGCGGGACAGATGCGGCCGACGACATAAATGTCGTCCTGCGATGGCACCGTGGGGTCGCCAAATGGGTTGGGTCCTAGCTCGTAAAATTCTTCGATCACATCGGCCATGCGATCGATGCGCTCGTCAAGAGCTGTCGAGGCCAGCTAGTGACTCAGCTTGGGAGGTTTCGATGAGATTTTGCTTGCTCGACACCCACTCACCCGCAGTGTAGGCTCTCTTCTGCTCGAACATGTACCGATACGCCCATTTTTCCGGCTCGATGCTCATGCCTAAGAAGACCTTCCCCTTCCTGACAGCCGGATCGACGTGGGTGTCAAGATGGGCATTGAGAGTGTCAATGACTTGGAAGGGGAGGTGATGGTGTCGGTCGTCAGCAGCGGCTTTGATGCCTTCGACTTCGATCGCTTGGGATTCGAGAGATGCATGTTCACGCCGCAGAGTCGCGCCTCGAATGTCGGCAGATTTGTCGCCTAGGTCATACCTGTCATCCATGTCGATGTCCATGCGCTCTTGTCCTTGTTTTGCTGGATATTGCATATCAGTCAGGACGGCATACAGATCAGTTCTCGCTTTCTTCCATGGCAGAGGTAGGTCTACATCTGGATGACGCTCCGAGACGACTCACACTGTGGGAGGATTGTGCTGCGTTTCACCAAGTTCTCGCGTGACGCAAGAGGAGTTTTGGAAGTGTCGTGCTTTGACGAGCCACCACTGCTACTGACGCGGTGATGAGTGCTGCCGTATGTGTGCGAGGGCGGTCGGGAGGGGGTGATTGGATCTGTACGTGGACTGCCAGAAGTGGGGTCGCCGCCAAGTCTGCAAACGCGTTGGCAATAAGCTGTGCAATCAGCGCGCCCTTTCGCGACCACTATTAGAGCATGGCCTGAGTAAGTACTCACAAGCTACCAAAGCTGGCTCTCGCCTTCTTGCCAGTGCTCAGTAATCCGTTTTTTGCTGACTTGGCCCCGGGAGCACCAGCGCGGGGTGTAGCTTGCGCTTTTGCTAATTGGCGCTGCTCCACCACACGCCTGAGCGAGCGCATGTTCTCGCTGCTGAGCGCCGCATCGTCGTGGTCCATGCTGTACGCCTCCCACTGGAAGTAAAGATCTTCAGGGCTAATAGCCCATTTCTGGCATATGGACAAAGCTGTTTGGGCAAGCGGACCGAGGCCGATGAAATATGCAAGTCAGATACCAACCAGTGGTCTGTGCAAGGTTCAGGCCAAAGAGCGCGCTCACCTTCATCGAGAACCGCATCCATCTCTCTCTTTGACGGCAATCCCTCGAGCTGCTTGTGGAACTGCTTCTTAATGTCAAGCTTCACCCTCATCCCGGCGGTCGACATGCTGGCGAAACAAGGAGAGGAGCAGGTGTCGTCGAGTGCACCCTTTGGCTCGCTCGCACGTGATCACGACAGCACTGGAGGCAGAGGAGGGTCGGGGGATATGGCGCCAGCTTCTCTTTGCTCGTAGCTTCCTCCTCTGCGTTTCATCCACGTCTTGACCAGGTAACAAGAATATACGTGGTTGAGACTGGGACGAGGATAGGAGGGGCGTGCCATCGTTTCGCAAACGCCGTGCATAGATTACTGACTGTATGGATGGCGCACTCTATCACTGCTGAGAGTCGAGTCGCGTCGCGTACTACGCGACCCACTTTGCGACGCGTCACGAGGGTCGAGGACGCAAGCAAGCCCTATCGGCCGAGAACGACCCCACCGGAACACACGCCATTCACAATCTTCTATAAATAGTGGCAATGTGGAGCTTTCAGGATGTCGCAACCCATATATCTCGTTTCGTGTTAACATCCATATCGGCTTGGCAACATCATCGTCAAGATGGTGCATAGTGAAGCACCATGGCCACAATTTCTGTGATCAAGAACACAAGCCGGCCTCGGCAGGATCAAGAACAAGTACATTAGCGACCGCACTGTATTGCAGACAGTAATTCGGTGATGAGTAGACATAAGCCCGAGCGGGTATTGCAAAGCAGCATGAGAGATTGAAGAGCATGCCAACTCACTCGAGGCGACGTTTTGGGAGCTGAGCGTCATCCCAAATTCTTCGAGCCAACTGGTGGCCAGACTCATCCCAACGGGAAGCCCGAAACGCTGAAAAAGGAGGACGCCTGGATCGGTGACGAAAGAGCGTAGCGACGACCAACGCAGGCGAGATCCTTTGAAATCCGTCAGGCGAAGGACTCCAGGAGACGGCGATCGTCGGACAAGTTGACAACAAAAGGTAAACTAATGAGAGACCTTAATGATGGATAAGAGGTATGGACGCTTGAGTCTATAGGAGCGAGCAGTGCATGAGCGGAAGGCGCAACGCGCGGCGCGAGCAGCCGCCCTGCGGATATTGACTCACTTCATACACGCTGTTTATTTCTCTTCATTTTCAGGCTCAACATAAATTTCAGCTCTGTAGGGACTCTCGAGGACGTAGAGGCTGGCTACAGTTGTTAAGAAACAATGAAGTCTCGTGCAACGCAGGCTCTGTCTCGCCCACAACGCTGGTCGCTCCGTCGCTTTCCAAGGTCAACCTGTTCGCAAGCGGAGCAGTTACATTGCACACCATTCAGTTGGATCTTCCATTCGCCTCTAGCCTGCATGCCGGGTCAGCGTCAGCCGTTCGGGGATTTTCGCGCTCCACGACATCCAGAGGTTCAGCTGGGCCTTTGTGACGCCTGTGCCGTAGGCACCGATGACCAAATGGCAGTCACACCTGTTACGCATGGGAATGCTCAGTTACGCCGAACACCTGCGATTCTTCATTGAGCACTATGGTGGGAGTGTCGTGGTGGCACAGGCGGGCTGCAAAGGAAAAGTGAAGACCGACTTGGCGATTAAGCATGGCAGTTCGACTAGTGATGGGGCAAAAACTGTGCATGCGTCGTGTTCTCGTCAACTGCCCTAACGCTTCGCTATGGCCTGGAGTACATTCGCATCAATCAAGCCATGTCTCGAGTAAGGGCTAGCGGAAGAAAAGAAAGAAACAGATTTTCATGCTACGTATGGCGCTGTACAGACTCGGTGAGCCATCTGGATTTTCTAGCTGAAGCGGGGTCAGCAGCTCCCGTATTCTAAAGGATGATTTCTGGTGCAATGCGTACAGTGCTATACGCAGTTTCATGGGCTTTTCCCGTCATTCTCGCATACAACGTTGCACAAGAGAGTCTCTCGAACCAGTCTCAGAAGTCGCGGTGAGCTGACGCAGGGTTCAAAGGCATGGGTATTGCTCGTTAAACGGAATCTCTAGTGTACATATGCTTGATTTTGTAACTTTGCCGTGCAATGAGAAATGATCATGATCAACTTGCTGAGATGTGAGCAATGCGAAAGGAAAAACTGATGGCTTGTGCAGTGGGGCGGTGGCGCCTCTCGAGTCTCGGCGCCAACGTCACATATGTGCAGTGGATTGGCGGGAGGGTTAAGACTTGACCGCGTAAGTACTCGCCTGGGCGCGTTGAGTCTCCATGTCCGTTCTCAGTCCACTTGAAAGAAGTTTGCGACTCCAGGGAGCCTTGAAAGCTCCAAGACTTCAGGCGGCGATTCGGAGGCAAGCGTATCGGAGCTTTCCAGATTGGTTGTAAGGCTACTGTCGCTCGACAGATCGGGAGAAGGCAAGACCATTTTTGAGCTCGATGCGACGGCTGAATCCGTCGATCCGGCGCCATTGGCAGCGCGAAAAAAGATAGACGCAGAAGAATCTGTTGCATTAACACTTTCGACGGCGGCCTTCATGCTGGAGAGGGTCGAGCGCAGCTGAGCAGATCGCATCTTGTCGCTCCGTACCCGAGCGATGATGTCGTTAATCATCCTCTGGACGCCTTCGAGCTCATCACGTGCCTTTCGTGGTAGGGTGTCGAAGCCTTTGAGCGAGTTTGGCGGAGGAGCCTCACTTGTCGATGCTACCTGATGTTGAACGAGACTCGCCTGCACGATCTCTTCCACCTTGTCGAGCGCAGCGCGAGCGAGCCGGATCATCTCTTCGCTCTCGGATAATGAATCGTCCAGCATGTTATGTCGAAGCTCCAGCGCACCGATGCACGCCTTTCCCAGCTCAGCTTGGTCGCGCCCGCCCATGTTCGCTGACAGGCTAATGACTTGCAGGCAGGCTGTCGATTCGGTGCTGTTGCAGCAGGTGGTCGGGTTGAGCGCCTGCAGGTGAACCTTTCTGACACTCGTAGGCTCTAGGTGTGCGTGAGCCGAGGTTCATTCCTCGCCTGGAATGAGCGCGCCCTCGACTAGCGAGGTATCAGGCTGAGAGGCCCGTGTTCGTTGCTTTTGGCGCGATCCTATCAACAACTCCACGTTGCCACGGAAGACTCAACAAGCGGCGGCATCAAGTATTGCATGTCATCTAGACTTCTTCCCCTCCATGCACGCTCAACACTGCATCCGACGTGAGCTTGCGGAGAGAGAATGAGGCCAAGCTGTATACATCATTATAAGATGACCTTGCGTCCGAGAGTGGGTTACGTTGGGTGACCTTGACTCGTGTTGTTGAAGGATGCGTGCGCTAGCATTATCGGCGATTAACTGCATAGTGGAAGTCACCGACGGGGATGCAAGTCGCGTCGCGCTTACAAGATATATATATGGTTAAAGCTTGGTGTAGGACAGTCCCACTGCGGCCCAAGTAGGTGGAGGTGAAGCGGCTGTGCGCAGGGTTCGCCAGGCTGAGCGCTAGCGAAGCTGTCTGCGAACGCAGCAGCAGGGAAAGCGTACAGTATGTCTGGACAGCGTTCCACGCGAAGCGGGAATGCCGAAGAAACTGCGGTATCGGCAGGCGCTCAAGGCGCAGTTCGCTCGTTGGATGGTCTTTCGCCTTCGCCAAGTGCCAAGACCAATGGCAATCGCGGTAGCGGCACCGCCGGGAACCTTCCTGGTGTGGAGGAGCAAGGAGCAACAGCGAATGTTGATGATAGGGCTGGTCGAGCTCGTCCCCCGTTGGCTCGTGCTGCAATGTTGAAACGACAAGCACGCGCAGCTCAGAAGGGCATTTCATTTTTCGATGAGGAAGAAGAGAGGCTCTTGAAAGAGGCTACCCAGCAGGCCCGTGAAGCTCACGAAAGCAATAACGGTCTGCCGCTCTTGCAGTTTAGCACCCTCACCAAGGACAAGGGAAAAGCCAGAGCAATTGACGCACCGTCACAAGCGCACGCGCTTTCACTATTATCGAAGAAGGGTGGAGATGAGCGGCTGAACGCACCTTTGCAGAATATTCCAACGCGAAACATCTTTTCCATTGAGTATCCCGGTTTCATTTTGCCACCCGCGGAAAGGCATAAGCCAGGCCCATCAGGTCTTGAACGTGCTCTGGCAACACTCTCGCCTGATCCGCCACCGCTCAGCAACCCGCAAAGCGCTCTTGAGCACATGGCCAACCTCCTGGACAGGCGAGCGGAGGTAGTCGAGTGCAGACTTGGTGCAAAGTATTACCCACCTGTGCCCAAAGCCGATGATACTGCGCGTAATGGCGCCCATGGCGCGAACAAGTACAAAGGAAAGGGACACGCACGGGATAGCGAGGCACGACACGATCACGTATCGCAACATGCAGTCACGGAGATTGGCAAGAAGCTGCCCCTGGCTGCTCTCAATACTCCATCAGAATTCCAGCTCGACAGCAGCCTCTACAAGCACCCGATCCTCGGCAACGTGGTCGCCACAAACAACCCTATCATCCGCATCCGCCGTCGCAAGTGGAAGCGGCGTGGAGCGACGGGTATAGACGGGCAAGATGCTGGAGTGTGCAAGGAATATATGATCGAGCTCGTCGGTACGGCAAAGCAAACTGTCCGATTCAGGACGCTGGCGGAATATGCATTCGAGCCGGAGGTCGGTCATGTGCACCTTGGTGATTCAGAGGTGCTCAAAGCGAACGCCCCCATTGGTCTGCCGTTGAGGCAAGGGACCGATTGGTCAGATGAGAATGCAATCGCAGCGGGAAGGAGGCAGCACCGAGATGACGAAAGCTGTGACAGTGAAATGGATATCGGCGAGCAGTTCGAAATGCATGAAGAGCTGAGTGCCGCACGCACGTCCCGGCCAAGATCTAAAGGCAAGCGGCGCGATTCCGCTACTTTGAACGCAGAACAATATGCAGCTTCGATGCTGGACAACGCTCACGGTACGGTTCTTCGTCGCAAAGCGACACAGTGGCCCAGCACGGGGAATAAGACACTCAGTCTCCATGCCGCGATGATGACGATGAACACGCAGGCTTTGCGTGCATTCCGATTCGACCCTGAGCTGCAAGACTATCTCGTAGAGGTAATGGTACCTCATAAGGACAAGAAGAGGCATGTTGCAGATCTCAGGAATGTGCCCTGCGCGACGGCTCAGGATGCAAGATCGCATGCTGCCGCAGGCCCCGCCATGCTTCCTTTCATGAAGAGCAACCTCAATCTCATTCCTCCTGCGAGGTTCCTGAAGCAAAACCCACCTTTCCCATACTAGTAAGTCCATATTCAGCCAGTCCCTGACGCTTGCTTGTCAACTGCTCACCGTCCATATCTCGCCTGAATCGCCCAGCTTTCGACAAAATGCCTACGCCAGCATCTTGGAAACACCACAAGGTGACGGTACGGTCCGGCGTCGCTGGGTGAACGAGCGTTCGTGGAAGGGCTACTCGGCCATCGCTTTTCAATTCGCCAGGCCAGCACGCGGGAACAATTGCGAGGAGGCATCAGACGGCGAGGAAGGCAGAGGTGAAGGTGATGATGAATATCAAGTTTCGGAAGGAGATGCAGACGAGGGTGGCGAGGATGAAATGGGCAGACAGTCACGGCCTGTTGGCAAGCAAGATCTCGTCCTCAACACAGCACCAACTCCGTTGAGCCCTCCGCCACATGTTGAGGCTCAGCGCAAGAATGTCCAGCAAGACTTGCTGAAGCGTTTGGAAAGAATGTTCGAAGAGCAGCCCATCTGGTCTCGCGCCCGCCTCACTAACCAATTCGAATCGAAACAGGATCGCCAAGCGCTCACGAGTAGCAAGCTGCTCATCCCTCTCGTCGCGTATCAGATAGTTGATGGACCGTACAAAGGTTCACTGGTTCGTTTTGGGTACGACGTCCGCGCTGATCCGAACAGCCGCTTCTTCCAGCGGCTTTCATTCAGGACACTCAATCAGCGAAGGCGTTATCGGCGCTCTAGAAAGATTACGAAGCATTACGGGACAGAGGAGGCGGAAGACGCCACCCCGCTTCTGGAAGACGATGAGGACGAAGGGGTGGAGGGTAGGGATGGTGATATGCGTGAAGAAGAGGACCAGGCCGTCGATGGCGGTGGCGATGGCGATTATGATCGTTACAGGACGATGGATGCGGATGGCGAAGCTGGCTCCAGGCCAGGCTCTTCAGGAACTTCGAAGTGAGTCAACCTCTTTCGATGAGATCATCTGCTCAGAAAGCTCAAATCTCATATCCCTCCCCCTGCTCTTTTGCTTGTGCAGCAAAAGCCATATCTTCGACGGCAAAAAGATTCACGACAATATGGCCTCATTTTTCTTGGTGGACATCACTGATCCGTCAGTGCAAGAGCTTGTCAACGACACAAGTCCGCGAGCATTGAGGCAGGGGATCGATGTGAGTAGCTTCTCTGATGAATAAACTGCGACGTGAGCTCAGTCGTCCTATTTCGGGTAAATGCCACGATGCAGGTGCACACTGGTTGGTACACAATGCTACAGTGGGAGCTCCTCCGCGAAGTGACCAGTCTCAAATACCGATGCGTCTCCATCGAAGGAAGGGAAGCGGCGGAGGACGAGGTGAAGTTCTGCATCAAGCAAACCAAGGATCGACTCAGGCGAGCTGGCGCGCTTTCCGTCGGAGTCGGGGAGGACTGGGACGTCGACGAGTACAAATGGGACAGCACGAGGCCAGGAGCCTTTGAGGAGCGTCTTGCCGAGGCGCAAGAGATGATGGCGGACGAGATGCAAGGCGCTGGAACAACCGCAATCGCGGGGAGGGGCAGGGGAAAGGGTAGCGCAAAGCCTGGGCGCAAACCGAAGATGAAGCAGAAACAGACTCGTCCAAAAGGCAACGTTTTGTAGTGCAACATCGTTCACGATGCAAGCGCTCCATACTCGAATGAGGTATGAGAACCATAGCTTTTATACGCACGCTACTGGGCGCCACCTTCGAGCAAGATCGTGATCGCCCCTTCTACACTCCCGCCGCTCATGAGGAGCGCTCGTAAGTTCCTCGCCCCATCTGTGAAACCCATACCCTGATACACATGCCCGCGGATGTGAATAACAAATCAGCATGAGCACACAGTGGATATGTTCCGCATAGCATGGTTGACACTCACTTGCATCTGCTCCAGTTGCGTCGCGTAGCGCTCCTCGGGCAGTCGAATGTCGCCTGCTCCTGGGCCGGCGCCCGCACCGAAGAGCCCCCCCGCGCCGCCCATGCCACCCATCAGGCTCCGCATCCTGTTTGAAGAACAATGCTCTCGGTCAGCTTCGTACGGTCATGAGCATCATCTGCTGACTTCCTTTAATACTCACAGCTCCGGGTTCATCCCTCCAAAGGGATTTGCACCGCCCACACCAGCTCCACCTGCGCCGAGGCCACCCATTTGGCCCAGCATCTCGAATAAATTGGGCGGCGCTCCGCCTGCAGCGCCTGGAGATGGAGCAGCACCCGCAGCAGCACCCGACCCAGCCTGAGTCCCAGCCCCGGTCCCGGTCGTGGGGTCACTGCTTCCTGTCCTAGGCGCAAAAGCACCGACTGGTGGCCATTGTGCGGCTGCTCCTCTTCCCCCTGCTCCGCCGCCAGCACCGCCAAGTCCACTAAACAAAGCCCCGGCGCCAAACCCTCCTCCGCCTCCGCCGCCAAACATGGCCTGCATCTGCTGCGCCTGTCGCATCATCTCCGGATTGGTGAGCATCTCCCTGAATCGCTCAGACTGCAGCATCTGCTGTAGTTGCGGGCGCATGCTTGCTAGTTGAGGGTTCAAGGATACTATCTGCGATGCGGAGGCCGAGCGGTAGTGGAGATCGAATGATCATGGCATGATCAGCACACTGGAGCGATCATAGGCAAATGATGCCGTTTGGCTCAAGTGCACCCCGCGCCGCTCACCTGGTCCACAACTTCGGGACTTGCAAGCGCACTGCGCATTTGTCCCCTGAAGCCTTCATCTTCCAGAAGGTTCATCATCATGTTCGGATCGTTCAAGTTGACACCTGTTCCAGCGAACGGGTTGAAATTGGCCATATGCGGTCCCGCCAGGTCGGCCCTGTTCAGAGCCGAGAGCGGGTTGTTGGTGAACTGTTGCCCTGCGCCGAAATTGGCCGGCACACCTCGTGCTTCGGCGCTGGTCGCTGCTGACGTTGTCCCTACACCTGCGCCCGTGCCTGCTGCGCTTACCCGTGCTGAGCCCGCTGCACTCGCGGCTGGCTGTGCGCTCCCGCCAGACGGAGCGGTATGCGCAGAAGCAGCGGACCGGACCATGTGGATCGTATGCCCATCTTGCACCTTGTACTCCTTGACCGTTTGCCCGTCCTTCAGCACCTTGCCGCTGTAGATGAGCCGCTGGCTATCCGCTGGGAAGTCCTCGCGCTTGCTCGCGATCTCCTCCTTGAGCTTGCTGATGTTTGCATCGGGCGAGATACTGACAGAGAGCGAGAGTCCGGACGGGCCTTTGATGGTCACATTGATGGGTGGCGCTTCGACCTCGTTGTCCGCCATGGTGAAAGTAGTGTAGTTCCCAAGAAGTCCTTTGCAAGCTCGAACAGTTGTATGTGCTTCCGAGCAATGAGACCTCATGGTTAAGTTGTACAGACGCGTAAGTGTTCGAAAAAGTGTAAGTGATGGCCGTGTAAGCCACCGCATGAATGATCGAAGGTCACTCATATGTCATCACCTCGGCACACAGTGCCCCAGTGCCTTGACCTGAGCCACTCACCTCTCGGCAAGAACCCATGACCTTCTGTCCCTGATGTCTTAGCATCTTTCATCTCTAGGGATCCAAATCGCAACCAAGATGACCGCCTCTGATCAGACGACACGAGCTTTCATACGACCGCTCAAAGACACCTACGCAGGTTCTAGCGATGGAGAACCGGCCTCATGGAGCTCGGAGACAAGCGAAGGCTCAGGCGGACGTAGAAGATGTGCACAGACACGCTCACACCCTCTGGGAAGCCACAACATTCAGTAGCACTTTCACGGTCTTTCGTTCTGCGGCGGAAAGGGAAGAACGCAGCACAAGAACAATGGTGCGCAGTGTACCTCAGAGATGAGGATAACTAGCATGTATTACGCCTATTGTGGCCTTGGAACGAAGTAATGTCTAAATCATGACGCCCTAGGCCTTCCTTGCGCTTAACATCCGCCTTGTTTTCACAATGCCGTAAGTACCCAATATGACAAATGTGGAGTCTACTCTGCCTTCTTCTCCTCTGCTGCCGCTCCCTCCTTCTCATCAGCTTTATCCGCAGCAGGCTCATTCGTCGCTGCCGCCTCTGCGGCTGCTGGTGCTGCGCTGGCGTCATCGTCGTTCTTGGTCGCATCCTTGGCTTCTGCTTTGCTACTTTCGTCGTCAGCCGGCGGCGGGAGGACGGCGCCCTTGCCTTGCTGCGCAGCTTCGAATGCAGTCTTGAATTGCTCGGCGTCTTTACAGTAGGAAGGAGAGAGTACGGACTAGTCAGCTGTGTGGGCCAGAAGACATGTAGCGAGTGCATTTTTCGGGACTGACTTTCAGAATTTGCAAATCGAATGGCAAGCGTCTCCGCGGTCGCTTCGCCATCTGAGACGTCGGCTGCAACGTTGTAGACCCACGAACGATCCGAAGAGACATTTGGCGCCAGCTTGATCTCCGGCGTGACTGAAAGTATTAAAAGGTTCAGGTCAGTTACCTATAGATACGCGGAATTACGTGCACACAGGCGAGCTGTTGCATTGCACTATACGCATGAGAGTGACTGAGACTCACTGTAGTGGTTGGCGCAGACTTTGAGCGTCTTGTCCCGCCTCATGACGACTCGGACCTTCTTGGACTGCTTGTGCTCGAGCAGTCGGACGTCACCCGTCCCGCGCTCCTTCCACTGCTTGCTGTCCTTGTCGAAGCGGAAGAGCTTGGCACGCCTGCCATTGACAGTCGAAGGAGGTCACGATCAGCATACATGAAGGGGGACCACAGAGTATCGCGATCGAAACAGGTAGGAGTTGCTCCCCCTTTGACAGCGACAGAAGCTGCAGCCGGTATGAGCATGCTGAATGCAGGATTGAAGCCCTTAGGCCAAACCATAGGTTTGTAGCAGCCGTGAATCACCTATCAACTACTCACATCTTGAAGAGAACATTCTCGTCCTCCTCCATCGTCTTTGTCTCGACCTCCTTCTCGAGCTTGATGACCGGCTCATAGTGCGGGTCATTCTCCTGCTCGCCGGGGTCGTTGCCGGCGGAAGCGAGAGGGTCGTTCTTTAGTTCTTGGGAAGCCATTTTCGATTGTTTGTCTGCTTTGCTCCTCCCGAAAGTTGTGAGGTTGAATGTAGCAGTGGGCCGAATATACCTTTCGTAGCAAGTGTTGTACTTCGCAAAAAAATGTGAAGACCCCGTCCAACGATGAGGGTTAGAGTCCCACAACGGAGAGGGTTAGAGGTGTTCTTGTTCTTGTTCTCGTCTCTCGTTTCTCCTCGAGAAGGGCCTGGGATCTGGTGCTGGTGTGCCATGGTCCTTCGTTCTGGCTCTGGGGCAGTCATGGAGTTGTATCCTCCCTCCCCTTTGGTCTTTGCTCTGGTACTGTGCCAAGAAGCCGGCGGGGGCGCACTCTCCACGCATTCCCAAGCTTGACTCTGCGCGCGCCTGCGCCATGCAACCCCCCAGGCTGGCCGTAGCCCGCGGCAACCACTCAACAGCGCGGCGCGCTACGCAGCAGCCCAGACAGGGCTTGACATACATTGCGAACAGCCACTACTGACAGCAAGCATGGAAAGCTCCTTCTTCGACACCGCAAGCGTCGCATCACCGGACGACACTGCTTCACAAAGGTCAGAACAAGAACAGCTATTGATTGGACATCTAGCTCCTCACCTTGCGTGGAGTTTTACCTAGGCGCGCGCTGCTTCTACAAGCTACACCGCCGTACGCGCGCAGGCCCGGTCGCCATCCCTCCCAAAATGGAAAGTGACGGCCGCATTGCATCCAGCTCGCGCTTACCCAGTACGACTTCGCTCCAAGGGGGCCGACGGACGTTCTTGGAGCCGTCATCCAGATGCGTAATGAGCAGGAATACTGCAAAGACGTTTAGCAGCAGGGGGGTGGGCGGCGCCTCGGGGAGATCGCTGCCGCCGCGAAGAATGTGGTCTGCTTGTTTGGCGGTTGCGCTTCTGGCGTGCATCGCTTTGCTGCCGGCGCGGGCACACATGATCGAGCTTTTGCCGGCTTCGAAGGAGTGCTTCTTCGAAGACCTGCACATCGGGGACCAGGTGCGTCTGTGGTCTTGCATCATGAGCGTGAGTATTTGAGCATGCAGCTGACATTTACACCTGCGCTTTGTCTTCGTTTTGGCTGCAGATGACTCTGACCTATCAAGTAGGCGGTGGTGGGGGGCATCTCGACATTGACACGACGCTCACCGAGCCATCTGGTCAGCGGCTGTACGAGCTGTACCGCAAGGACACGGGGACATACTCTTTCACCGCGCAGCACGACGGGCGATACGAGTACTGCTTCTCGAACGAGTTTAGCACCGTCAGCGACAAGACGGTCAGCTTCAACGTGCATGGCATCATCTATGTGCCCGATGACGGAGAGATGCAGCCGATAGAACGGGAAATTAGGGATCTGGCAGCTGGACTGCAGGCCATCAAGGACGAGCAAGAATACCTCGTCGTCAGAGAGCGCGTGCATCGGAATAGTGAGTCAGATGCTCTCGCACCTGCCTGCATACGCCGCTGACATCGAACAACACGTTACGATTGCTTTCTCCACAGCTGCCGAAAGCACAAATACGAGGGTCAAGTGGTGGTCCATCGCCCAGGGGATCATGCTTCTGGGTGTCTGTGGCGTGCAGATCTTCTTTGTGAAGAGGTGAGAGAAAGGCAGCAGGCTCACAGAGCAAATCGTGTATGCGAAAGACGACAAGCTCACACACGCCCACCCACCTTCCATCCTGCACTTGCCCTCTCACACCTACTGCAGGCAATTCGAGGTTCGCCGTGTGGTCTGAGGCAGACGGGCCACGGATGCAAAATAGGGAAAGAGCCCTTCTTGGCTCAGCCAAGATTCTGGAGCGCACCGAGATGTCTGAACACAAGGTGCAGCCTCGATCGCTCAAATGTAGCTATAGCACAGCAATCCAACCCTCCATCCCGTAGTCGGCTACCGCGTTGCATAGGCGGGAGGAGTTGCATGCATGTGCATCTGCCTATCATTCTGATACGGACAAGGACTGTTTCTCATCGACGTCAATGATCTGATATACAGGAAATGAATCGCCGTCGGAGGCCACAGTATGGTTTATAATTCGGCAAGTAACCTGCCGGTCCGAGCGAGAGTTAATGCTCGTCAGTGCACGTCCAGCGGGAGACGCTTCCAATGGCGCTGTGGAATACTCACATCGTGCCCAGACTCTGCACGATCTGGTCGCCCATGGCCTGCTCGACTGCGTCTTCGAGATGTCGCTTCGGGTCTTGCTTGCCGACATGCCGTGTCTTTAGCTCGTCCGCGCTCATCGTACTCTCCTCCTGCACGCTTTTGTTGTACTCTTCCGACAGCTTCAGCATGCGCTGGATTGCCTTCTCGTTCGACTCCTTGTGCTGCCCCCAATCCCGGAGGCGCAGGCCCTCGGTCCAGTTGCGCTTGTGCAGGTTGTTAAGCATGCTTTGCTCCAGCTCTGTTTTTCGGTAGTTGATCGCGATGCTGTAGTAGTGCCGATTGAGCCCGTGGATCAGACTCTGAATGCTCGGCTTGTTGAGGTGTCCAATGTTTGAGGTCGTTTGCCGCGGCTCCTGCCCGAGCATCATGCTGCTCGGATTGATCAGGCGGAACGCGTCGATGACGACTTTGCCTTTAACAGATTGGATCGGATCGACGACGACGGCTACAGCGCGCGGGTTCAGCTGCTCGAACGATTGCTGCGTATTGATGTCGACACTAGACAGCCAGCAGCCAAACCCAGGGTGAGAATGATACCAACCTACGACCGCCTCTGGTCGCCCTGTCTGTCTGAGCATGTCCAGCATTTTGGTCTGGTACACCGGATCTACTGCCTGCAGCGGAGAGGCAACCTGGATCAGTTCGTGCATTGATGATGAATGGCCCCCGCGGCGCTTTGAACATACCTCAACCGAAACTCCTGTACCGCTTTGTGGCATACTGTGTGCAGGCGCCAGACATGGTTGCATCAGTTGGAAACTGCCTGCCGCAATCAGGCGGGAGGGTCTATGAACTGACCTGAAAACATCGACAACCGAGACGGTATAGTCATCTACAAATTCTCCAAGCATGAGCCCCATGACTTCCATTGGCACACCTGCTCGGCCGTGCTTGAGCATCTTGAGAAGCGCCAGCGAGGAGATGTACACCGTCTCCGAGTTGTCTTGTTGAGGCATGTCTGATACGGACGCGTTGCCACCGCCTCCTCCCATGTGCTGGGCGCGGTTCATCATCGATTGAAAGTCCATTTTCGATGGACGTGTGCGGCTTTTCCGCAGGCCGTCTGATGTACGAGTCTGGCTCCGTGAAGCTTTGCAGAGGGTGCGGTGCTATGAACCCTGCTCGTGACCCGTCAACTTGCGGACGTTGGACCTAGTGAGCAATCTCACATGGAGTTGGAAGCCGCGTAACTTGTATACTCAACTCACCGAACGGGTGATGGATTGCTGAGATGACGACGGCACTGCGTCGCTGTGCTAGGTTGGGTGGGCGGAACGCGTCTGCGCGACTTGCTTGCAGGGAAGTGGACTCCCACACACTGCCACACTTCTCGTCGAGCTGAGAGGAAGAATGCTGGGATCCATCTGGCTGTTTCTTGATAGCTTTTGTTCACGTAGATCCATCCCTCTCTGCACCCTGCGCGCATCCAGCAGGTGCAGGAACACGTTCTGCTTGGTCGAGTGCACGAACTGAACGGGCTGCCAGTAAGACCTTTTTCGCAGTTCTGATTTGCAAGCGACTGGTGAAGCCAGCGCAAACCGGACTTGCCACTGACCGCACCGCAACTGCTGGAGACGCTCATCTGCAACAGCGCAGCAGATATCTTCCTACAGCGGCAGCAGCAATCGCCATCATGGCGGGCCCGCCACCTGGATTCAATGGCCCTCCGCCGAGTGCACCAGCCGCGATGCGTGGCCTACTTCCAGGCATGTCCAATGGCGCGGAGCCAGCGTGCATGGATGCTGCCACATTGGAAGCAAAGGCTCGAAAATGGAAGCAGCACCAGGCACGACGCTTTGGTGATCGCAAGGGGAAAACAGCCATAGTGGACACGGGAAAGCAGGAGATGCCGCCGGAGCACCTCAGGAAAATCATGAAGGACCACGGAGACATGTCGAACCGCAAGTACAGGGCAGAGAAGCGAGTGCATCTTGGTGCTCTTAAGTACGTGCCTCACGCGATGATGAAGCTTCTGGAGAACATTCCAATGCCTTGGGAACAAGTGCGAGAGGTTCCAGTGCTGTATCACGTCAGTGGTGCTTTGACCATGGTCAACGAGATCCCAAAGGTGATCGAGCCGATCTACCATGCTCAATGGGCCACCATGTGGCTTGCGATGAGGAGGGAGAAGCGTGATCGTCGCCACTTTAAGCGGATGCGCTTCCCGCCCTTTGACGACGAAGAGCCGCCGATGGACTACGGGGACAACCTGCTGGACGTCGAGCCACTCGAGGCGATACAGCTCGAGCTGGATGAGGATGAAGATGGAGCAGTCATCGACTGGTTCTATGATCACAAGCCCCTGGTCGAAGATCAGAAGCACGTCAATGGACCATCATACAAGAGCTTTTCTCTGGACCTGCCGCAGATGGCTGCGCTGCACCGTCTCGGAAAGACGTTGCTCAGCGACATTTCGACCGGTGACAACAACAATGCTTATCTCTTCGACAAAAAGTCATTCTTCACCGCTAAGGCGCTCAACACGGCCATCCCTGGAGGTCCCAAGTTCGAGCCTTTGTTTAAAGACACCGATGACTTTGATGCTGATTGGGACGAATTTAACGACATCAACAAGGTCATCATCCGCAACCAGATTAGGACAGAGTACAAGGTTGCTTTCCCGCATCTGTACAACTCGCGTCCTCGCTCCGTTCACAATGCGGTCTATCATGAACCAAAAAACGTCTACATCCACACAGACGACCCTGATCTACCCACTTTCTACTACGACCCTGCCATCAATCCGATTTCTGGCCGCACAATCTCCACAAAGGACCAGTTTGACGGGTTCTACTCCAATGGTGAACCAGTCTTGGACCACGAGGAGGAAGTCTTTGGCGGTGCTGATGGAGACGACGACTTGGAGGACGTGGTCTCTGTCAAATTACCCGAGGGTATCGAGCCATTCTTGGAAGAAGAGGAGTTGACGAACGACCTCACGGCCGACGCCATCGCGCTGTGGTGGGCTCCGGCGCCTTACAATCGCCGCAGCGGCAGGACGGTGCGCGCGATTGATGCGCCACTGATCAAGACCTGGTACACCAAGGAGCATTGTCCACCAGGCATGCCGGTCAAGGTTCGAGTGTCGTACCAGAAGCTGCTTAAGAAACACGTCGCCAACCTGCTGCACGCGCGGAATCCCAAGGCTGGCACGAAGAAGTACCTGCTTCGTCAGCTCAAGGAGACCAAGTTCTTTCAGACGACCACCATCGACTGGGTCGAGGCGGGCTTGCAAGTGTGCAGACAGTCATTCAACATGCTCAACCTCTTGATCCATCGCAAGGGTTTGCACTACTTGCATTTGGATTACAATTTCAACCTAAAGCCCATCAAGACGCTGTAAGTTTCATGCGCTATGCTCATGACCGATTCGGTCGGCTGATTTTGGGTTACTGCTCTTCCACAGCACAACCAAGGAGCGGAAGAAGAGTCGGTTCGGAAATGCATTTCATCTTATCAGGGAGATCGCGAGACTTGTCAAGATGGTCGTGGATGCGCACGTTCAATTCCGCCTGGGCAATATCGATGCGTTCCAACTCGCCGATGGCCTGCAGTACTTGCTCAACCATGTTGGACAGCTGACTGGGATGTACAGGTACAAGTACAAAGTCATGCGGCAAATCCGCGCATGCAAAGACTTGAAGGTAAGCTCAAGCATGTCCGCGGCGTTCGACAATTGAAGCTTATCAGTTTTTTCATTCTGTTTAGCATGTCATCTACTACCGTTTCAACAGTGGTCCAGTGGGCAAAGGCCCCGGTGTCGGTTTCTGGGCCCCCAGTTGGCGCGTTTGGATGGCGCTGCTGCGAGGGCTCACGCCGCTGCTCGAACGCTGGCTTGGCAACCTGCTGGCGCGTCAATTCGAGGGACGCTCGAATAAGAACAAGTCCATTCTTGTGACCAAGCAGCGCGTAGAGTCGCACTTCGACCTCGAGCTGAGGGCAGCCGTCTTGCACGATATTCTCGACATGATGCCGGAGAACATTCGCCAGAGCAAGTCCAAGACGATCATGCAGCACATGACTGAGGCCTTCCGATGTTGGAAAGCCAACATTCCGTGGAAGGTGCCAGGCATGCCTGCGCCGATCGAAAACCTTATCCTGCGATACGTCAAGTCGAAAGCGGATTGGTGGACCTCAGTGGCGCATTACAACCGTGAACGCATTCGCCGCGGCGCTACCGTTGACAAGACGGTAGCCAGGAAGAATCTCGGACGTTTGACACGTCTGTACCTCAAGGCTGAACAGGAAAGGCAAAATTCATACCTCAAGGATGGGCCATACATCACATCCGAGGGAGCTGTTGCAATCTATACCTCGACCGTGCACTGGCTCGAGTCTCGTCGGTTCCAGCCAATTCCATTTCCATCGCTGAACTTCAAGCACGACTCGAAGATTCTCGTGCTTGCACTTGAGCGCTTGAAAGAAGCTTACAGTGTCAAAGGGAGACTCAATCAAAGCCAACGTGAAGAGCTAGCGCTCGTCGAGCAGGCATTTGATGAGCCAGCTATGACGCTCTCTAGGATCAAGCGTCTCATGCTCACGCAGCGCGCATTCAAGGAAGCTTCGATGGAGTTCTTTGACACATATGAGAAGCTCATTCCGTGCTATGACATCGAGCCGATTGAGAAGATCACCGACGCCTACCTGGATCAATACCTCTCCTACGAGGCGACCAGGCGCGATCTCTTCCCAGCCTGGATCAAGCCGAGCGACACGGAGCCTCCACCTTTGCTGGTCTACAAGTGGTGCAACGGGATCAACAACCTGCAGGATGTCTGGGAGACCAAAGATGGAGAATGCAACGTGCTGATGGAAACGACGCTCAGCCGAGTCTACGAGAAGGTCGATTTGACGCTGCTCAACCGCTTGCTGCGCCTGATCATGGATCACAACCTGGCAGACTACATCACAGCGAAGAACAACATCAACATTGTCTGGAAAGACATGAGTCACACAAACACGTATGGCTTGATCCGTGGCTTACAATTCTCCGCGTTCGTCTTTCAATACTACGGATTAGTGCTTGATCTGCTCATTCTCGGCTTGCAGCGTGCCTCGGAGATGGCAGGACCGCCGCAGATGCCCAACGGGTTTCTTCAATTCCGCGACACTGCTACGGAGACACGCCACCCGATCAGGCTTTACTCTCGATACATTGATAGGATCCACGTCATGTTCCGCTTCACCGCCGAGGAGTCGCGAGATCTAGTTCAGCGGTACCTCAGCGCCAACCCCGATCCGAACAATTCGGGTATGATCGGCTTCAACTCGAAGCGATGTTGGCCGAGGGATTGCCGCATGAGGCTTATCAAGCACGACGTCAATCTCGCACGCGCAGTCTTCTGGGACATCAAGAATCGCATTCCGAGAGCGCTCACCACAATCGAGTGGGAGGACACGTTTGTCAGCGTCTACAGCAAGGACAACCCCAATCTGCTGTTCAGCATGCTCGGCTTCGAGGTCCGCATTCTACCAAAGATTCGCGCGGGCGATACGCAGGAGCAACGAGACGGTGTTTGGTCCCTGGTGCAAGCGTCGACTGGCGAGCGCACGTCGCAAGCGCACATCAGAGTCAGCGATGCTGGCGTTCTGCACTTTAATAACCGAATTAGGCAGGTGCTTATGTCCGCCGGTGCCACGACCTTTTCCAAGATCATCAACAAGTGGAACACGACATTGATTGGTTTGATGACATACTACCGCGAGGCCGTCGTGTACACAGAGACGCTGCTCGACTTGCTCGTCAAGGCAGAGAACAAGGTTCAAACCCGGGTCAAGATTGGTCTCAACTCGAAGATGCCGTCCAGATTCCCGCCCTGCGTGTTTTATGCGCCTAAGGAAATCGGTGGTCTTGGGCAGCTGTCCATGGGTCACGTGTTGATCCCAGCCAGTGACCTGCGCTGGAGTAAGCAGACTAGTACTGGCATCACGCACTTCCGGTCTGGTCTCTCATCACAAGAGGACCAGCTCATTCCGAATCTCTACCGCTACATTCAGCCGTGGGAGGCTGAATTCATCGACTCAGCCCGCGTCTGGCAGGAGTATGCGCAGAAGAGGAAGGAGGCAAATGCGCAGAACAGACGCCTCACGCTCGAAGACCTCGAGGATAGCTGGAGCAGAGGCATACCCCGCATTAACACGCTCTTCCAGAAGGACCGAACCATCCTGTCCTATGACAAGCTCTGGCGTGTCCGTAGCGAGTTCAAGCAATACCAGGTGCTCAAGTACAACCCCTTTTGGTGGACCGACCAGCGGCACGACGGCAAGCTCTGGCAGCTCAACAACTACCGTGTCGACGTCATTGCAGCCCTCGGCGGTATCGAGACGATCCTCGAGCACACCTTGTTCCCCGGCACAGGTTTCCCTTCGTGGGAAGGGTGAGTTGAAATCTTCCCGGAAGGCCCTGGTCTAGTCACGATATTTCCAAAGTCCTCGAATTTGCTCATTTCTTTTTGTGTTTATCGTTTCCTATTGCTCCTTGTCCTTCCTTCACTGTCGCCATCAGGGTGAGTATATCCGTTGCAGCATTCTTTCTGGAGCCTGTTTGCTGACCACGTCTTGTTCATGCCTTGCAGCTGTTCTGGGAAAAGGTCGGGCTTATTGTGCCTAGCTAGGTTTGCCCTGCAGGAGGCTGACGCACGCGCTTTTTCTTTTCCGTGGGCAGGCCTCTGGGTTCGAAGAGTCGATGAAGTACAAGAAACTCACCAATGCGCAGCGCTCCGGTCTCTCGCAAATCCCCAACCGCCGCTTCACGCTCTGGTGGTCTCCCACGATCAACCGTGCCAATGTCTATGTCGGCTTCCAAGTCCAGCTCGATCTGACCGGTACGTCGCAATCCCTTGCGGTGTTCACGCGACAGGTGATGCTGACATATTCGACTCTTCTGCTTGGTTATGGCGGCTGCAGGGATATTTATGCACGGTAAACTGCCAACACTTAAGATCAGTGCGTGCGAGGATTTTTGGCCATGAAGTGGTTTTGCTGGTGCTGATGTCTTGCGTTGCCTTCCAGGTTACATCTCCATTTTCCGCGCGCACTTGTGGCAAAAGATCCACGAGTCGGTCACGATGGACCTGGCGCAAGTTTTCGATCAAGAGATGGAGGCGCTGCAGATTGAGACGGTACAAAAGGAAACGATTCACCCGAGGAAGTCGTACAGGATGAACGCTTCCTGCGCCGATTTGCTTCTCTTTGCTTCTTACAAGTGGCCGATGAGTCGACCTTCGCTACTCACTGAGTCGAAAGACGTGCTCGATGGCTCAAGTGCCAACAAGTGGTGGCTGGACGTGCAGCTCAGATGGGGCGGTGAGTCTCGGGTCTTCTTGTGTCGAATGCATTTTCTGACACCACCGCCCGCTTTCTTTATTCTTGGACAGACTTTGATTCCCACGGTGAGTTACGCCGAAATGGCGTTGACGCATCGGGGTCAGCATGCTGATGCCACGGTTGCCATCTTACAGACATTGAGAGGTATGCTCGAGCTAAGTTCCTTGACTACACAAGTGATTCGACCACGTCTATCTACCCTTCAGCCACGGGCGCACTCATCGCGATCGATCTTGCCTACAATCAACACTCGGCGTACGGCAACTGGTTCCCAGGCAGCAAGCCTTTGGTTGCGCAGGCGATGGCGAAAATCATGAAGGCCAATCCAGCGCTCTACGTCCTGAGGGAGCGTCTCCGTAAGAGTTTGCAATTGTACAGTTCAGAGCCCACCGAGCCGTACCTTAACTCGGGCAATTACGCGGAGCTGTTCAGCAACCAGGTTATTTGGATGGTTGACGACACGAACGTCTATCGTGTCACCATCCACAGGACGTTCGAAGGGAACCTGGTGACAAAGCCTATCAACGGTGCAATCTTCATCCTCAATCCGCGCACGGGTCAACTCTTCCTGAAGATCATTCATACCTCAGTTTGGGCTGGTCAGAAGCGTCTCGGACAGTTGGCGAAGTGGAAGACAGCGGAAGAGGTAGCAGCATTGGTACGCTCGTTGCCAGTCGAGGAGCAGCCCAAACAAATCATTGTCACGAGAAAAGGAATGCTTGACCCGCTTGAAGTGCATTTACTCGGTAAGTATGATCCCATCTTTGCCTCTGCTAGTACCCACATACTGATGCTCCATGCGACAGACTTCCCGAACATCGTCATCAAAGGAAGTGAGCTGCAGCTCCCCTTCCAGGCGTGCATGAAGCTTGAAAAGTTCGGCGATCTCATCCTGCGTGCAACGCAGCCGCAGATGGTGCTGTTCAACATTTACGACAACTGGTTGTCGGAGATTTCGTCGTACACAGCATTCTCGCGGTGCATCCTGCTTTTGCGCGCTTTGCACGTGAACCAAGAGAAGGCAAAGATCGTCTTGCGTCCAAATGTGCAGACCGTCACCGAGCCACATCATATCTGGCCGACTCTCACTAACGAGGAGTGGATCAAGGTTGAGGTGGCTCTTCGCGACCTGATCCTTCAAGATTATGGGAAGCGCAATTCCGTCAACGTTGCTAGTTTAACGTCGAGCGAGATCAGAGACATCATTCTCGGTAAGTTTTGATAACACGACAGAGAAATGCAACAGAAATGCTAACTCTTTTGCGTTTCTCCTTTCGCAGGGATGGAGATCGCGGCACCCTCTGTGCAACGCCAACAAATGGCGGAGATTGAGAAGAGCGCCGAGGCTGCTCAACAGGTTACCGCCACACAGACAAAAACGACCAATGTGCACGGCGATGAGATTCAAGTCATCACCACGACCCAGTACGAGAATCAGGTCTTCTCGTCGAAGAGTGACTGGCGGGTGCGTGCACTCAGCTCGACCAACCTGTCGTTGCGCTGCCAGCATATCTACGTCTCTAACGACGATGTCAAGGAGGATGCTGGTAGCCTCACGTATATCCTACCGAAGAACATCCTCAAGACGTTTATCGTCACGTCTGACCTGCGCACGCAGGTGGCCGGGTATCTCTATGGTATTTCCCCGCCCGATGCACCAGCCGTTAAGGAGATCAAGGCGATTGTTTGGGTCCCGCAACGCGGCACACAGAGCAGCGTCGAGCTGCCAAGCGACTTGCCTCAGCACGATTTTATGCTCAAAGGTCTTGAACCGCTGGGTTGGATCCATACTCAAGCTCAAGACCTTCCGCACATGGCACCCACGGATGTCGTAGCGCACTCCAAGGTGATGGCGGCGCATTCGGAATGGGGCGCAAGCACGATTTGCATCACAGCTGCTTTCACGCCCGGCTCTGTCTCGCTCACCGCATACCAGCTCGCCGTTTCTGGCTTCGAATGGGGACGCAAGGCGACCACCGCCGAGGTCGCCTCAGGCAATTTGCAAGGCTTCAATGCGGGCATGGCCGACAAAGTCCAATTGCTCTTATCCGATCGCATTCTCGGCTCGACCTTGACACCAGCCGACGGACCGTGGAATTATGGTCTGTCGCTCTCCGCGCAGTGGGCGCCGAGCATCAAGTACAACTTGACCCTGGATCGACCGCCCGCATTCTGGGACGAGCTGCATCGTCCACAAAACTTCCTCACTTTTACTGCAGGCGAGGACGAAGGAGAAGGCGCAGATGTGGAGAATTCATTCGCTTGAATAGCATGCAGTCAGCATGATTGTGGACACATACTGTATAGTCGTCTTGAAAACTATCAGAACATGAGTCTGTGCTTGGTGATGAATGCCCTGGCATCTTGGCCGCGTGCGCCTCCATCTTCCCCCTCACGGCCGTGATTGAAGCAGAGATTGGATTTGCAAGGTATCTGGCGCGTCCGACGAAGAGACAGTGGATGCGTACGCTGTTGACCTGAAGCTTGAAGGGGAAGCACCAGCTTCTGGACCGGCTTTGGAGGGTTTTGCCCATGCCGCACAGCCTAGAGGGAGTCAAAAGGAGTTCGAAGACATGTGTACATTTTCTTTTCGCCGGCGTCTTCTACTTTGTACTTGCACGATAATCATGCTCACAGTGTGAAGTTTCAACCAGGTTCAAAAACGCCCACCCTGCTTTTGGTGCACAATCATTTATGCAGGCTGGCATTCAATTTCCTGAAGCCTGAACCACCGCAATTTCCAAAAGTGCCCACCAGACATTTACCTACTTGCTCTCGGCTGTTTAGGAGTTAGACGTTTACCAATTACCCACAGCAGTTACCTCGCCCTATCACCTCAATACCTAACGTGCCACCTTCAACGAAATGGTCGAGCGTATTTATGTTGTCCGACATGGCTTTCGCATGTGAGGCCTATTTCGTGGCACCTCGCATCGCGGTCCGTGCTTGCTGATCTGAAAACTCATGTTACTCACTCTTCAAGGAACTGGCAAGGCAACGAGACCTTCCCTATCACGGGACGGCCCCGTGACCCCGTCCTGACTGCTCATGGGCTTGTGCGTGGGCTGGGCCCCCGCTGAACCCCGTCGTGAATGGCCTCACTGACAACCAGCGGACTGCTTTCGCAGGACCAAGCGCGATGTCTGGCTCAATACTTTCTCTCATTACCCGAAGCCGAGCAACCTCAACTGGTCATCTCCTCAAGGTACTACCGGTGCATGCAGACAGCCTTCCCTACCGCAAAGGCGCTCGGCTTACAGTTGCTGCCTGAGCCAGGTGAGTCTCCCTACGCCCTTCAAAATAAAGTCGAGATCAGAGGGCAGCTGCTGACTGCTGCCTATGCTTCCTACCTTGAAGGCCTCTCTGAATGGTTTCCACCTGCATGGCCACCAGATAGCGGCAAGCACCCCTTTCCTCCCTCGGTTGAAGACCTGGAAGAACAATTCCCCCCGAACGCCATCTCTCGGACGTGGCGACCGCTGCTCTACGCCTCCCCCCAAGGCGAGACAGCTGAGCAGCTGCACAAACGAACAAAGCGCTTCCTGTCCCTACTTGAAGCACGCTGTGAGCAGATCGGCGTTAAGCGCGTGCTATTATGCTCGCACGCAGCGACCATCATCGCTTTGGGTCGCAGCATCCTGGCCGAAAGCGCAGGCACCGACGGCCGCGGGTATCCTATCGGCGCCGGGACGGCAAGTCTGAGTCTGTACGTGCGTGGCGAGCAAGGAGGCGATGCAGGACGTTGGACACAGCTGCTCAATGGCTCGGCGGATCATCTGCCCGAGGGCGTCGAGCGGGAATGGAACTTTGATCACGTGCCGAGCAACGTCACGGAGCCGGGCATGGGGGCCGATTGGGTCGACTCTGCGCAACCGCTGCTGGAGGACAAGGCGGACACGGTTTGGATGGAGGACGAGCAAGACCCATATAGAGAAGACGCTGGGCCGACGTTCGAAGGAGCCAAGCTATGAGGTCCGATATTGCACTCCTTCAGCGACTTTAGACGCTATCGAAAGTATTTATACAATACGGTGGGGGCTGCACGCAGTTACGATTAGATCCATTCTGCGTACACAATGTATCCTTTGTCTGCCAAAATCCCACGCTCTCGGATCACAGTCGAGTACTTGGAGACGTGGACGGAGAGGCACAGTCTAGAATCAGTCGCGAGAGCTTTTCAACGCCCCAGAATACTGTTTCTGTTGTCAACTCACCTTGAGAACCCACCGCGGACGCAGCCGACCTTCCACAGGCGCAGGATGTGGCAGATCGTGCTCGAATTCTTGCAACAACGCTGGTAACGTTCGTGCCGGTAAGAGGTCTGTGCAGAAGAGACGTCTAGTATCGCATTCGCACGCAATCGGACTGCAAGTGCCAGTGACACACCTCTTTGATCATTGTGCGCAACAAGCAGCATGTCCTGCTTCTCACACCACGCATTGAGCTCCTTGTCTATAGCACAGGGATTCCCCTTGACGTTGACAGTGACGAGGCGAGGCTTCCGCGCCGCTGACGGAACCGTTGCGTCTGACGGCAGCGCCGTCTCTCCTCTTGAGATGGCATTCTTTCCAGACGTCGAAGCATCGGAGGAGGATAGAAGCTGCTGCAGAGCGGGAAGAGAGATATCTGCGATGCCTAGGGAGACAAGTTGTGGATTTGGCGAGATAGCCTTTTTGTGGGGTTGAGTGCACGGAAGAACATCAGTTAGTACTTATACATGCATTCATGGCTGTCCCCGATTTTAGTGCTCGCAATGAAGCACACACACCTCCCAAACTTGTTTGACGGCCTGTATATCCTCTCGCAGCTTGTGTGTGTGGTCGGAAGACGATGCGCGCCCCGATATCACGCCTACTGTTGCTTTCGAATGATTGGCCAGTGCTGCGCTCCTAGACAAGTTGGTGCAGGGCGTAATACCACATCCATCGGACGGCAATGCCCCCGGCGTCGCGGACCCTGCTGTGCACGTTGCGTTCCCACGTTGATCATCATGGGCGGAGCCGCAGCAGGACTTCGATCCTCCAATATCGAGGCGCAGAGTGGGGAAGGAGACGATGAAGGTGTCGATGGTGATAAGCGACGTGCTCATCGTCAAGCGCTTGAGCGCATCATCGATGTACGCGACCGGGAACCGCTCCTCTCGTGCGTCTTGACCGCTGGCGTGTGCATCATCGAGGTAGAAGAACTTGGCAGTGACGTCGAACTCGGACCGATTTTCTGGACTGCAGGGATCTTGCGTTGTCGGGTTCGCTACTACTACTGGATTCGGGAGCGTGAGCGTTTGTGAACGTTCATTCCAAGCATAAGAGATGTATGGTCGCTCTGGATTGGAGCTTAGGAAAAAGCCCGATCGAGCTGGCGGTAGCGATTCATAGTCTTCTTCTTCTTCTGCGTCTGCTTGAGGATCCTGCGCTGACACGCTGCCGTTCACACCTATAGTGGCACGCCCAGATGCAGAGTTGGGTCCATTCCCGCTTGCGGTGCTCGGCCCACACCGGCGTTCGTCCTCGTCATCTCTGATCCCCCAATCTTCCTCGCGGCCATCGAGCGCAAAGTGCAGCGTTTCGTGCAGAGCATTGGCCAGCTCTCCATCGACAGACGGCTTCAACGAGCGCGCGACATCGTGCGTGTGCAGGATGAGCGCACGCATTGGCGTCGGCGCTATCGTTGCTGCACGCATGTTTAGTAAGGTGGTACTACGCAGGGATGCTGCACGGGGTCTGCTTCAGGTTGTGCTGATCGATGATCGGTAATCGCTGCGGTGCCTGTCGACCCTTTGAAGGGAGCGCGCCGATCTGTGGAGATTCTCTCGAGTCCCGAGAAACGCTTTCCCACGGTCGCCCGCGTCCAGAAGCGCAGGGTAGCAGGGTCGTCCGCCTGAGGTTGTCCAGAGGGGATCGCCCAGCTAGTAGCAAGGCAGGACGTAAGTTGTTAACAAGCACGCTGAGGACAGCGTGTCGAAGGGCGACGAAGTAGATGTACGCCGTATTGCCCATCATCGATGGATACGAAGTCGTTCGCTCCAATGCTTCTTCGTTTTGCCTGCTTGCTAGGCAAGCATCGTCTGAAATTGTGGCTGCACCGCGCGGCTCTTACATCCGCGTTGGGAACCTTACATAAGGTACGGAGCTCCAGCTAACGTGCCCCAATCTCTCACGTTGGAACCCACCCACTTCTCATCGGGGTAGGCAGTCCTCAATCTGCAGATTGCACCATTCTAGGTCCTCTCAGCAAGAAGTACTCTGCCATCAGAGAGCTTTGCGCCTTTTTGGTGGGAGCCAAGCTGGCGCAGCAACGCTACCTGATGCCCTCTCCCACAAGCCGGGAAGCTCTGCGCCTCTTCGTCCTCTAGACGGCGCCCGCGCCCGGATGCGCGTACGTCACAGCTCTGCCAGGCTGACGCGGCAACATGCGTCGTGTCGCCCACGCTCAGATGGCGGTAGGTGCCGTGGGCAGATCACAGAGACTCAAGATTCCCCGGTTATTCTGTTCGAGAGCTGGGGCAAGATGCAGCGCTGCCTTTTGCCATACATCGGTATACTGGGCCCTGCTGGGCCTTCCCGTACACGCTACACTCTGTTCGCTTGCCAATCCTTTCTCGATAACTGCCGCAGGTGATTCACAACCTGCGCCGCTCTGTTCTTGAAACCACCATCTGCCGAAGGTATTGCTGCGTCTCGATGTGTAGGCAGAAGCGCGAATCACGCGCTCGTACTTGCACATCACCCAACGGGGACAAGGACAGTGAATGCTTGCCTTGCGACGTCCGAGAGCAAGCTGTCGGGTCCCTCTACCTGCATCTGAGAGGGCCATTCCCGACAGGCCATTTCCCTCGCCAATACGTGACTGCATTCCACTGAAGGATCAAAGCAGCAACTGACACCGGTAATGGCGAAACGGGCATGATGTCTGCAGGATCCGCTGAACACAGGGCGAACAATGGACACTACGTTGACTCTGCACCTGCGGAGGACCACTCTCTCCGTGGCCGACATGGGATTGATTTACCAGCGCTGTGTCATCTCCTCCCATAGTATCTGCTGTTCGCACACGTGCGACGTGCGTTTTTTTGGGGCGGGGGTGCTGCGCTCTGCATGTATCCCCATGTTAGACAATTAGTATCTCGAGTCAGTACACTTGGGGAGCGCATTGTAGTGTCTAGCCTTTCACGGCCAGTACATGAGCATGCTTGATTGCATGGTCACCTACCATGTTCAAAAGTCATTTGACTCTTGTCACCATCCGTTGAGCTCCACAAGATCCAAGATTGGCATCACGTGTATGGGGCAAGAAGGCGAGCTCTCGATCAGTGTCACATTCACATCACATCTATATCACACTGGCCGCATGGGCACGACTGGGCCACAACGAACGACTGTCGCTGGACTGGGACCGGTCGCGAGCAGCAACCGTCATCTCCCTACTGTCCTATCATCCACCTCTTTCCTAGCCAGCCGGCGCACTGTTCCAACCTTACTTACGTGCCAACATGGAAGCGGGCAAGGAGCCCTGGACCAGCCGCACTTGGCTGGCAATGCCACAGCCCAGCGACGACTCTCCGTCTCGCTCTCGATCGTCACCTGACTGGTCTCTTGGCAGTACAGCCTGGCAGCTCGCTGATCACTGGGCCTCTCCTGGAGCCGCAACGTGTGGGCGCCTGGGGCCCCTTCGCTGGCGAACAGTTCTCGCCCACCTCTCGAGAGACGATCATGAACATGACGATTAGGTTTCGCGTCGCGTCGCGCCACCCCAGGTCGCGTGTCTGTGGTGTTGTGCTGCGCGTGTTCCCGCACCAGATCGCTGCTTTCCGGCACGGCTGCTGTTGTATATATACATGCACACAGCACAGTCCACAGGAGAGAGGATAGGATATACATATATACATTGTGCGTATGCTGTGCGTCGTAGGTCTCTGTACATATGGGCAACATGTGCATGGCTGTGGCTGTGCATGCTGCGTTGTTTGACGTAGGGAGCTCGCAAGGGAACATCTATCCTCCCGCGTAGGCGTGGGAGGACTGTGGTCGTCGCGTGTGTGTGTATGTGTGCTAAAATTAAGAATAAGGTTCAGCTAGTCTTGAATACGGCGTCCATCAATCACATCCTCGTCACATCAGTCGAGTTGGAGAGGAGAACGGACGGTTACGCATGCGCATCGGCACCTCGCACCTCGCACCCGCAACTCGATGCCATCCTCGATTGCCAGTCGTGACTCATGATATTCAACGGCGTCGCTACTCGGCCCGCGCCATCGTCGTCGTCGTCGCCGCCGCCGTCTGGACTCGGGGGCTGTCAGCGTCAGTGTGGGATCCGTTTGCATTGCTGTCATTTGTGCGAGTGCTCTTCCGGGCTTTGGCTGCTAGGAGGAGAGTCAGGGGTCCAAAAAGTGCGAAACCTTGACAAAGACAAGCTTGCTAGGTTCGAGATACAAGGACATATCTTTTGTCGAGCATCCAAACCCAATCCGGAAGTGAAAGGACGGCGAGGGAGGCTGCTTTGAGGTACACGAACACGCCGCGCAAACTCGTACGTTTCTGGGTGTATAACAACCCCATCAACCCCGAGTGACCTCATCCCCATCCCCATCGCACCTGACTCGACTGCACCATCTTGCTGGATTTCATCGTTCCCTCCATCTCATCCACCCAGTAGCAACGCACCGATCCTGGCTATCTACTCCTGCACCTGCTCCGCATTCTCCACACATCCACCGTTGCGAAGCGACCATCTCTCATCAGGCGGTGACCACCTGCCGCTCGGAAAAAGATCCGTTCATATGTCTACCACCCGTCCCTGTGCCACTCGTCCTTTCCAGTTGATCTTTCCGAGTGATTGCCATCCCCGCGTAGGAACAGGGGCCGGTATCTAACACTCGCAGCATATCCATTTCGCATCAGGGTCAACAGCACCTACGGCGAACAGATATATTCTGTTCGAGGATCCCACACGTGGAGTCGACTCGTCGGCACTCACCGTTCCCTCAAAGCCACTTCCCTTCCCTGCGCGCTTGAACAGGCCTTGCACTCCCTGCCATGGCCTCCAACGCCGACATATTTGCCACGCTCCTCTACGCGGCCTGCGAGGGCCTGCCGCTGTGGAACCCGTCCGCGCTGCGGCTCGGCGACGTCGGCTTCTTGCGCGATGGTTCCTTCCACGTGCTCTACAACGCCATCGACGGCCCATCGCTCACGATGCTCTCGGACGCGAGCCAGCCGGCGCTGGCCATGCGCACCACGCGGAGCAGCAGCATCCTGAGCGCCGGCGCTGCGGCTCATGCCAGCCCACTCGGCTCGCCGGGGGAGGACGCACTTGCGCAAGGCAGATGCGCGTCCAGCACAAGCATGCTGACCAGCAGCAGCTCTACCGACACAAACCAAGCGTCCATCGCCGCTGCACTGAATAATGCCTTGTGCCCTGCGTCCACTTCGTCGTCTGTAGCGACGTCACCCCCGCCGGCACCACCGCCGCTGCCGCCACCGCCGGCGAGCACGACTGCCGCATCGCCTCCACAGTTGCACCGCACGTCTCTGACGCGTAGTTTACTGAGCCGCTCCGCCTCACCGCCCGCCGCGGTGCCGCCGCCGATGCTGCGCACCTCCCCGCCTTACAGCCCGCATGCGCCGAGCGGCTTCGAGGAGCTGCGCCCGCCGCTGCCCCTGGCGGTGGACCAAGAAGCGCCACGGGTCTTCACAATGGGCCCGCGCACGTCGAACAACTTTCGCGCGCTCGGCTTTGAGCTCGGCGCCGAGGTCACGGGTAGCCCCGTAGGCGGCACGATCAGCTTCGAGACCAGCGGTGGAGACGGTGCACTGCTCGTTCCGCGGGACCCGGTGGAGAGGACGCTGCTGAAACATGTCGGTGTACTCAAAGGTGAGACGAACCCAACCCTGCTCTACCCCCTATTCATCACGCTGACGCGCATCCTCACTTCTCTCCTTGTACCGTAGCCTACATCAAAGCACACCGCCGCTGGATCTTCTCGACCTTCGGCGAGGCAGAGGACATGGAGATTGACGAGATCGCTCTCGTCTATGGCCAGGATCGCACAACGGACTGGGGCGTCTCGGTCAGTCGCGACGCCGCGCGCGGCACCAAGCTGGCCTTCGAGGTGTTCAGCATGGGCAAGGCCGGCGTCTGGGGCGACTGGCGCTCCAGCGGCTCCGCCAGCCAGCGCGGACCGTACCGTGACGGCAGCCAGTACAGGGACCTGCTGCAGGAGCGCGCCAGGAGGGGCACCACGCCTACCAACCCCGCTGCTGCAGCGCACAATGGGTCCCGCGTACCTGGTGACCCCACCAGCCCAGGGCCGATGGACGTTGATACAGACCTGAGTGGGCTCCATCTCGGCCTCCATCTCGCTATGGGAGCAGCAGGAGGAGCCGGAGGAACGGGCGAGAGCCTGAATTCACACGGCGCCAAACCGGTATCCTCAACGTTGCATTCACAGTCGCAAAACGTCAACGCTCTGCAGACAAATCTCGGGTACGGTAGGGACTGGGAGTGGATCAAGCAGAATCGTAAGCATGTCAAGACGACCATTTTATGGGTGGGAAGGGCAGGAGCTGTCTGTCGCTGACATCGCCTTCCTTTGCCTTTGCACTGACCCGCTTGCCATCGGGGCATGTGCCGCAACAGCCTTTCCGCGCGACCAAAGTATCATCTTGCGGCGCATCACAGCCAAAAACCGCCTTGGGCTCGGGTTCTTACCCGCTCGCCTCCATGCAGCGGCCGGTCCACGTCGTGAAGGCCCGCACGGACGCGATGGCTCAGCCGCCATCTCGCCGCTGCGTGCCCGCTGCTCCGGCGCGAGCCACAGCGGCATCTATACGCACGTGGACCTGCTCGACTTCCTGCATGCCATCCTGCTTGATGCAGCACCGCAAGCACACACGTCGATCGCGTCGGACGATGATTGCCTGGCACTTCTGCACAAGATCCTTGCCGATCATGCAGACCTGCCGGCGTGCAGCCCATTTGGGAAGCTCGAACAACTGCTCAGGCTGCTCAGGCAAAGTGCGCAGCGCTGGCTGGACGTCACATGCGACGAAGACGGCTTTGCGCAAGCCGAGATGCGCCGTACGCCGCGGGCTTGCTATACCTCGCGATGCGTCGCAGATGTGACTCAAGGCGAACAGGGCGCGCCTTCGAAGGCGCTCATAGACTCGATCATCAGGGGCATTCAAAAACTGACACGCAAGCACACCTACCGGATACAAGCTTTGCGTACCCCTCAGAATACCCTGTGCGAGCAGCATGCACGAGCAGCGAAAGAGCATTTCAACCACACCTGCAGTCACACCGCATCCGACGAGGGTGCTATCCTCTCCAACGGACTGGCTCCCAAGGTATCCCCTATCAGCCCGGCGAGCCGCCGTGCGGTTCACACGCCGAACAACAGGCGCCATTCGGGCGGCTCAAGGTAGAAAGCGAATAGATCCTTGCAGATGTTGTCTCAGATTGTGTACATGCGCGCTGGTATGATGATAGGTGACAATGCATTCTCTATTGCGGTGCATGTAAGAAGGACACGTCACAGATTTGCTAAAGGTAGACACTGCGCTCGTCTGTCAGAACCGAAAATGGCTCTTCATAGCTCTTGACCTGCAAGTCGTATGGCCGCCCCGAGCGGTCGGCGCCATTCAAAATGGCAATGAGAGTCCACCAAGCCTGAGTGCGAACGAAAAGAATTTGCGGAGACTGAGCGCGCCCGTTTCCGGCGGCTAGCAGCTACGGTTAATCGTACTCACTTGCCAAGCGACAGCCGGAACGAGAATCTGTCCTTCCTGTACGCGGCTCAGCCATCTTCGCCACGACGCACTGCTCCAGACGCCATTGGGCGAAGGCATGGGACACACATTGGCGCGCGCGCGTTCTTCTGCGCTCTCTGGCTGGAGCGTCTGCTCGTCCATTACTGCCTTGTAGCTTGGTGGTGGGAAGCGATGAGCGATGATCGGGGTGTGGAAAACGCACATCTCCAGATAGTCCAGCTCCCATGCAGAACGATGCGGCCACTCTTGAGTGGCAAGCTGGGAGACGATGTGCTCGAGAGATAGACACATGTGGGCTAAGCAAGGAATCCGGATCAGTCCCAACCACAGTGCGCTTCCGTGACGAGGACTTACTCAATGGAGTGGAAAAGTGCCTGGCGTCCAGGTTTTGCTTCGACCACCGATAGCTCGCCAGCTCGTCTCCGTCTGGTCCGGGCGGAAGGCCATCTGGCACTCCGTGTCGACGCCTGAAAGGGTTCTGCACATTGCTAATGTCCTTGAGAAGCGAAGGAGCAAAGAGAGAGTTGTAACCTTCGCCATCAGGTGCTGTCCACACCAATGCTGTCTGCTGTTGTCCGACTTCGGTGGCTAGCCCAGCCTTAACTCTAGTCTCCTCAAATGCGTCTATCCAAGCCGCAATGCTGCGGAAAAGCTCAAGCCAGTGCTGCCATGATCGCTGCGTGGCGATGCCCGTCCCTGAAGCTTCTTTAACTTCAGGCAAACGGTGAGGCAAGCTAGTCGCCCCTTGTAGACGACTTCGAAGCTTCTTCAACCAACTGCCCAAGCTCTCTGCAGAGCCTTCCGATTGTATGACTTCAGCTTCCGGATTCAAGCGATCGAGATCATTGTCCAACGCGTCAGCTACCGCCGAAGGCAAATCTGCCAGTCGGGTCTCTGGAGTGGCGCCCGCAGAGGCAGCGACATCCGAGCGCCAAGCAAGGACATTCGCGGAGTTGACTTTGCTCTGTTCGTGAAGCTCAGCAGCCCTACCGAGAGGGATGAAATCGCCCGCCTGCGAGGAACCGCTCTCGACGCCGTAACAAAGATTCATGATACCTTCCCAGCCAAGGGAGTGGCCAAAAGCTGACGCGATAGCTACGGTCATCGGATCGAAATCGCCAGACAGCCAGCATCCCGCTGTGATCTCTGCTAAGCGGAATGCACGGTTCTCCTTCTTGTGCTGGCGCTGGGGCTCGATCGAGCCCGGAGGTGTCAGCACGCCGACTTCCGATTCGCGGGGGCGGACTGAAGTAGGTATGCCTTGTGTAGCTGATGACTGTGTCGGTCCTTTTCCATCTTCGGACCATGCAGGTGAATTGCTGGGCGTAGCCTGGCCAGAGTCCCTCGTTTGAACTATTGTTAGCGCAGCAGCTGCAGCTTTCCGCAACAGCGTGACAATATCTTCCCCTTCGTCGAAATGTAAGTCATCGTCAGGCCAGATCAAGTCGTCACAAAATTCCGCTTCATCAGACAAGCTGAGCGCATCCGAACGGTCTCCGTCATCAAAGTTAGTATTTTCTTGGACGGCGCCGAGGTTGGAGCCTTCGAGAAAATGACGCGCATTCATGCGAGCGCTGGCGCTTCCGAAGCTTCCCGCATTTTGCCTTGACCTCATTGGCGATCCAGGTGGTCGCAAGGTTGAGCTCAGATTGAGGATGGGGCTCTGTAGTGCATCTTGCGATATGGCTGAGGGCGACTGCGACTGAGCTGAATCAGAAGAAAATAGATTGGGGTTCGCAAAGGCAGCAAACCCACTGCCCTGACTGTCCGCGTTCGAACCAGAGCTCATACCACTGGCGCTTCGCGCGCGGGTTTTGAATCCCAGATCCAGCACGCGCAGCAGGAACGATGGACGGCGGTCTTTTCCCACTCCCATGCTGGCGCTTTCGTGCACCTCGCTCGTTGTGGGACTGTTTCCTCCTCGAACCTCATCGAAGAGATCGCTCGGTAATACACCTGGCATGCTGCTGCTCGTCCCTCTACGTACTTTGGGTGGAGAGTGACTCCTCGCCTTTGCGAGCACATCCAAAGGCGCAGGAGACGTAGAAGGTGTCAGTGGTAGTCCTCCAACACCGGTGGCACCAAAGGAAGATTTCGACGAAACGATGGATGCAGGCGATATGACCGTTTGAAGGTCCATTCCCCCATTGAATGCGCTATTGTCTCCCCCTGAGTGATGAACATGTCCTTCCTCAACCGACGTAGCCGATGGAGAGCGTGCGCGCGAGACATGCAAGACATGAGAGGGTCTTCTTCTTGCTTTCTGAGAATGCTTGAACAATGCGCGCTCGGCTACGCCGAGTATATCGAAGAGGTTCAGTTGATTATCTCATGTTGGCATGAAGAGTTGAAACTTACCTTTGACGCGCTCCGGTACAGGAGCCAACCCGACATTGTGCAAGTCAAGTCTAACATTGAAATGCACATCCTTTCTGCGCTTCTCTGCACCGCAAGAACGGCCGTCATTCCAAGCAGTGAACACGCGGATGGGGTGTGGTGCCTCCTGGGCCTGTGCGAATGCCAATCTTGCATCCTGCTGCTGTTGCTGCTGCTGCATTTGCTTGCGCTTGCTTAATGACTTCGCTTTGCTTGCACGCGAGCCGCCTCGTATTGTTCCACCGCCGCGGGTGGTCCCAACACCTACTTCTCCCGCAGCAGCGCTGGTGTGCGACATGCTCCTTGCTCGCTTGAATGCATCTCCCAAGCGCGCAAAGGTATTACCATTGCTATTGTTGTCCTTAGCATCAGGGGAGACGCCCTCCGGACATAGCGGCGTGCCTCCCTGTACAATCCCAGACGCAGAAATCGTGACCTCCGCTTGGCCGTTCGAACTGGGGAAACTCATGATGCGCGTCGGTGAGAAAGTGCGCCGCAGAGCAGTGAGAGGCCTGTTCTCGGCTCCTTCGTCATCACCCTTGCCACCTGAAGACAGCAATTCTGATCCCTGTTCCTGTTTACTTGCGTACGCAGCACGTGTATGCGCACAGATGCCAACGCTTCCGTCAGGTTCTCCTTGCTTCGCGCTGCCGCTGCCGAGTCGCGCGTACAGAGGCTTGGCCGGATCGCGCCGCTCGCCGTTGTACGTGACGTTGAAGCGAGTATTGAAGAAGGTGCGCAAAGTCGTAAATGCAATGTCTTTCTCGAGTCCTTCTTCTTCTGGGTCCATCTCATCGATCGGCATGCGCCGGTTGCTGCTCGCTGCAGCTACATCGGCGGATGCGGCAAATGCATGTGCAAAAGCTTCATCGCGGTTGACTGCGTCGCCTGATGGCATTCCGTCCAGCGGAACGCCCATCGCGACGTATGCATTGGCAGTGTTCGACGGGTCTTTGCTTCTTCGCCTGGTGATCGAAGCCCGATCCAGCATGCGCATCGCTTTGCTGAGCGCTTCGATGCTGCTGAACAGGTCCGTCTGCTCGAGCAAGACACTAATTGTGTCGAGCGAATGCGGCGCATACTTGGTTGTCACTGGCCGCAGACGAGAGGCGCCGCCGGCCAAGTCAAATGAAGAGCTGGCTGATTTGTTGCAGCGCTCGAGGGAGGAACGGGTGGACGCATCCTCTGACGAAATCTTGTCTTCGTCTGAGTCATAATCATTTTCCTCGTACTCGTACTCGTCATCCGCATTGGGGTTGTCGTTGTCAGAGATACAGACGTTGCCAGCATTTCTCCCAGTAGCAATGTTATTGGCTTCGCGAACAGAGATCACATCAGCACCGCAGTTCGGTCCATTGCCAAACAACGACGAGCTGCCCCTCCTCAGCCCGGCCAACAATCCGCTGTCATTCTGCCCCGTCCCTCCTGCCGGTGGGGGCGAGACTTGCGTCGAAGGGGACCTGGTGCGCACGAGCTTATTGAGTAGGGGCGATGGCGAGAAAATCGACGCTGCTGAGCTCCTGCGTGCGCCACTACCTTCTGCTGCCACCGCCGTTGCTGCAGAGGAAGAGCCAGATTGAGCGGCTGCAACTCGTAGCGCCTCCTTAAGCTCCCGTCGATTTCGCCGTCGAGCTCGACGCGCAGTATCATCCCCCTTGCTTTCGACGACGTATTCAAGCGTCGGCAGTGGCGTTAGATGGAGGGCAAAGGGTAGCGTGAAGAGCTGCTCCAAAGCTGGCGGGCCCATCGTTGCGCCTTTGCCTTTCCTCACCTGCGGGGTAGCTGTGTGAGCTTGGCCGCACGTAGACAATCATGGATTGCGTGGTTTGAGTTGCTGCAGATTCAAGAATGTGCAGGTTCGGGGCTGTACGAGATTAAACCAGGAAATTACTGGCTTGCCTGCTCTGTAGCCATTGAGCGTTGATGACAGGTCGAGCGTATCACGCAACCAACACTGATCGTCGCTACCGGAATAGGTTGGTGATGGTCGGCAGCTCAATTGCTTAGAAATGCCAGACCCCAATGTATATGGGGGCAGAACGAACCATTCGATGATTGATCGGACCTGGCAAACAATCGACTTGAATTTGGACGTACGTCGGCCGAGGCGGTGATGTTGAAATGGTGAACTTCGAGGCGATGGTTTGTGAGCATTGGGGGGATTCATCTGATGACGCATTGGTTGCTCTGCGCCTAGTGTACTTCCCTTTCCCCACACGGGCACACGCAGGCACCTCCCCGCCCTCGCAGTGTAGCACACGGCCATTCTTTTTGGACCCGAGAAGTCTTCTCCGCGCTCCGCAGGCCATTGTCCCCAGTGCAACAAAGACAATGTGGTCATGTTAATACCAAACTCGCTGTACAACTCGTCGCATCACACATGTAGGCTCGCTCTGTTGTGAGCGGCTTGACCAGCCAATGCCCGCTTTAGTCTGTTCATTGCAAACGTTGGCACCATCTCTCGTCACTCGAGCCACCAGGCACGCTTGATGCGGCCGGCGGCAGCTGGCGATCTCAGTCCCAGCTCAACAAAGCCCATTACGTAACGTCCTTTGCCTCCCCGGGCAGAACTTGCGCAACATGCTGACGACAAGCTCGCTTCGATGAGTCTACCTTGTCATTCCACATTTTACGACGAAGGCGACAGTCATATCCTCTTTCGAGGCTCGCCTGCGGTTCCTGGTTGCCCGTGTGAATGGTAGCCGTGATCTAGAGGCTGAGAACACGAGAGAGGCAACCTGCATCCCAACGCCGGGCTCTGAGTGTTGCGTTCAGCCTGTATGACGCCTCGTGCTCCAGGCTCGTCCGGTTCCAGCTCGTGCAGTGTTCTCTAGTTCGCCTGGTGAGAGCTGAGCAGGAATAGGTGGAATGGCTGCTACGATACACTAGGATACAATGTGTATTGCTAGGACAAAATGTAGGAAGCACTAGACTAGAGGTGCGGGATGTGTGCAAGGGCACAAAGGCATGTAATGTGCATAGGTCGAATTGCCGAGGTGAGGAGGAAGAAATGATGCTGCCGACATGGGAGACGTTGTGACATTATAGCGTCAGTTGAAAAAAGATGTGCTGGGCATACTTCATGCTGCTGCCGCTGCTGCGTGCAGTTTTATTGCCTCGAAGGGGGAATGTCTATGATGTATGGGCCATCTAGAAGACGAAGGTCCGTCGACCGACTCCGCACCCGTCTATTGTGCGCCAGCCAGCGTACTTTTTCAGACAGACACGACGAACTCCCACCTGCCTTCCTGGTATCCAGCCGCCGTGTCGGCCAGCACGATTTCGCGCCTCTTCTGTACGTACACCATCAAATCTGTCACCTCTTGCCTCAGCTGCTGGATCGTGTCCTTCTGCACCGGCTTTTGCAGCTGCTCGGACAGCTGCTCAACCGCGCGCTCCAGGTCGCGCTGGTTGTCCTCGAACAGCTCGGTTTGGTTGTCGCACTTGAGATAGTAGGCCATAGCGTACGTCCACTTGAGCGTCATCCGGCACTCGGTCACCGACGCCGCGGCCTTGCTAAGGAACTGCACCTCTGACCACGTGAGCACGCCTGCTTCTTGCATGGCGTCCATCGATTTCTGCGTCTGCGCGACGAGATTCTCATCCAGGCGTGCTGATTGCTCGTGGTTGATATAGCGATTGTAGTACTGCACAAAGCGACAAGGGTAAGCCGCAAGTCAGCAGCTATTGTTTGTAAGGTGACTCGTGCGGACCAATAACGCTTCCGCTCACGTGCAGATACCGCTCGAGCGAGAGCCTTGAGCTGTTCTTCGAGTCCTTTGACTTGGCCTTGTTCTCATCGAATCGATTGCAGTTGTACCAACTCGTTCCATGCTCAGACCAGGGTCCTTCACAGATCCAGCAGAACTCGTATTTGCACTTCCGGCAAGTCATGTGGTTGCACCCGCCATTCTTTTCGATCACAGAGTTGCACTTTGGATTCGGGCAGTCTTGCGTATTCGCCTTGATCCAATTTGACTAGAAGTAGCAACAGAGTGATTTTAGCAGACGTGCCATGCGCAGCGTGTACTCAGGCCAAGCGCAACACTCACAGTCTCACTATCATCTGCACACTTCTTAAGCCAGAGCTTGACAAGCGGGCACACAGCTGGCGCGTGCGTCTCATTCCCACAGCCAAAGCAGAATTCGTGTCCTTGCCCACACTTGACTGATGGCACAACGCGGCTGAGCTTCTTCTGCGATACGTGGCACTCGACAGCAAGCTCGCAGTTCGGCGCGGGACACCAGCGCATGATGCCCGAGTCGTCGACAAATGTGCGATTTAAGAGCGTCCTGTACCTGAACACATGGATAAATATTGGGTTCGTGTCAGCACTGGCTTCCGGAGCGCCCGAGTGAATGCGTGAGTGAGCACGCAGAATGTCCCCCACTTTTCGAGTATGTCCGGCGTTACTAGCAAGCTAACAGTCCTCTCATCGACGACGAGCTTGCACTTGTCATCCATACACTGCACGCGCCTGCTCTCGCCTTCTTCCCTGATCTTGCGCAGCATGTACTCAGAGTAGCAGTTCTTGCAGAAGCGATGTCCACACCCGAGCGCGAGTGTCGAAACGAACGGCTGGCCATCTGGGGGTGGTACGTCAGCGCTTCTTGCCTTGCTTTTCGTTGCGCTCTTGCCCTTGGGGGTACTAGTGGCTGGTAGTTCATCGGTGGAGGTATAGCAAACTTCGCAGGTAAAGTCGTCGTCGTATGTCATTTGCAGGATACGTGGTCGCGCTGGATCGTCCATGACACCTGCTTCATATTTGACATCTTCTGGTGCATCCATGTACCGCTCGATGAGACGCTCCTTGTTCCAGCTCATGTGTCGTAGCAGAATTGCTGCGTCAGTGTCCTGGGGTAGGGTGGCGCATCATAGCAGATAATGCATTCATCAGCGACGGCCCCTCCTCGCAATGGCAATTTGGGCCACTTACCTTGACATTGAACATGGCTGAGATCTGATCGATCTCCTTCTGCTGAAGTGCTTCAATGCTGGCGATGGTGTGGCTTTTATAGTCGACCTCGTACGAAGCTTTTCGCGCCCGACCAATGTCTTGGCTGCCAAAGAAAACAGCATCCCCTTCATCTCCAACGCTAGGGCTGACCATAGCGTCACCACCATCTGCACCAAGCCCTCCTATATCGTCGTCCTCCTCATATTCGCCGAAGTCTTGCGCATCGTCGTCGTCGTCGTCCAAGCCAGTAGCGTGCGTGTCATCGCCCATGAAGGCGTCGTCGTCATCGTCGGAGAGATCGGACTCGAAGATGTTCCCTTCCGAGTCTTCGTCCATCGTGTCTTCATCCGGAAGCAGGTGCTATCAGTGCGCAGCGAAAAGCGAGAAAGGTACGGAGTGCGAAATGATCATGAAGGTAGCAATGGAACAACAGCACGGTTGGATCGCGCAGCGAGAGGTTTGGGTGGCGCAAAGTGGGTCGGTAGGTCCAGGTCAGCGACGCGAACTAGGGATAGAAGCAAGTACTTGGTGCGCTCCGATACGCGAGATTCATCGCATCGGACACGTCAGCTTCGACCCACCTCATCGCGAGGCGCCATATCGAACGTAGGCATGTGCTGCGGCTTGATGATATGCAGACTGACGCGCGCCAATCTCTGGGGTTCCCTTGGGGCTTGTGTTTTAGCGGCTTTCCGCAAATGAAGGGGCTGTATGGAGATGATGAATGCGTGGTCACTCGTAGGCTAACGCCTTGCAGTCGTTTGGATGCTGAGCTCTTGGTCGAGGATAGGGATGGAGGTTGTTGCAGTCGAGGAGGTACCAGTATGTAAGCAACTGCGAGCGTCCAAAGTTGAGGAGTTGGGTGATAGCATGGGGGATTGGTGATGATGCAGATGACTGACTCTTGCAGCGCCGTGTCCGATCTTAACTGAGCCTTGGGTGTAGACGTGTGGTCTTGTGCCTCGCTTGCCACTATTGGCTGCTCGGTGCCTCCGGTGAGTTGCGAGTCGCCACCCGCGAGACTGCGTTCAGCAAGCAAGCGGTGAGTGCAGCAGCGGTACTGGATGACACTATGCTGGGTTGATGGGGTGTTCGACGATGACAACTAGGAGACGATGAGAGATGAGACATGGGAGGCGGAATGCATGAATCGGATGCTTGTCGTGAGAGTCGCTTTGAGAGACTTCAACCCGAAAGAAGAAATTTCAGAGAATCAGCACATTGTTGAGCGGGTTTGATCAACCCATGTTTACGACAAGGCGAAGCCTGGATCACGGTTCAAGAGTACATTGTTACAGAGGTGCAAGTGTAAGGGTATTCAGCGGCCGCCACGATGCTTCGAAGCCACGCAATGGGTGGCGATGCCCTGCGTGGGCTGCTCTCATGGTCTTCGAGGCCGAGTCTCCTTCATCAGCCCTCCTCGCTGCGTGCAATATGCCCGCGGCTACAGCATCGCCAGGCGTCTCTTCCTCCCCGTGCACTCCCCATTCGGAGCTTTGGGTCTACTTCGAGCCAATCGGATGATGCTGCGTTGGCATCAGAAGTGGAAGATGCTGACATCCCCAGTGACAACCACGACAAATCACCGTCCCGCCGCCGCCGCCGAAGAAGCACCGCCGAGATTAAAGCATTGATTGACGCGGGCATCAACCCCAAGACGAACCGACCTTTCCGCACGAAATCCGCCGGGATCACCACGAAAGAGCTCAAGGAAAAGCAGGCAGCTTCGGACGAGGCTGCACGGGCAGAACTCAAGCCATACAGCAAGCTTGATAAAACGACGCTTCCACTCGACATTGATGACCCCCTGTTGCACGAACACCTGCCGCTTCCGGACTTCTGGCCGATCGCGTTCAAGCCGACACACAAGCGTGACTTCACGCACATGTACACCTTTTGGGTGTCCAACAGGAAGACAATCAACCGAATAGTGGAGTTCATGAAGCTTGATCAAGGCCCGAAGAAGACCGTCATCGAGGCATGGGCCGGTACGTACCGGTTGTAAGAGCCTCATCCCATTGCTGGCAGGCTTGCTGAATCATTTCCCTCTCTGCTCTCCACTGACGCAGGTGCCGGCACTGTGACCAACGCGCTGGTGCGGCATCCTTCGGTAGAAAAAGTCATCGCACTCGAAGACAGCACGTTTTACGGCTCCTGGCTGAAGGTGACTAGCGTTTTGGGGCGTGCATCAGAGAGTGGTTCTGACCTTTCGAGTTCTGCGCCATAATTACAGCGGCTTCCCGAAGATAGCCCCGGCTTTGACTCATCAAAGCTCATCCACTTACCACTCTCCGGGTTCAAATGGGAAACGTACACATCCATATACCACCAAGGCGCACTCGACCATCTGAGCGAAGATCTCAAGATCCCTCGCGTCGCGGGAGCCAGTCCGGACGCGCTGGAGGAGCAAGCAAGAGCGCTCAATCCATCGCTGTACACACCTCAAAAGAGCCACCATGACGCCGATTGGCAAGCAGACAGCCCACTTGTCTTCTTTGCTCATCTGCCCAATTCAGTGCACGGCGAGCTCCTCTTTGCACAGCTCACCGCTGCCATCGCCACTCGCTCTTGGCTATTCCAGCTAGGGCGCGTTAAATTGTGCTTCGTCTGCTCCGAATCGATGGTCCGCCGCATCCTCTCGCAGCCGGGCGACACGACGAACCGGTCCAAGATCGGGACGATCGCGCAGTGCATGACAGACATCGAGTGGCACATACCAGGACACGAGCTGCTACCTTTCAAGGACCACGTCTACCCGCCGACCGGTATCATCGGCTTGCGGCTGACGCTGGGAAGTTCGTACGGCATCCCCAACGAAAATGTCGCGACCGGCGTCGGAAAACAGGCGCTCAGCTTTGTTACGCTCGAGCCAAAAAAACAGCCATTGGTTGAGAGGGAGGTCTTCGAAGCGATGGATTACCTTATGCGCAAGCTGTACGTCCTCAAGGCCAAGCCTGTGCACGAGGCGCTCAAGTGAGTCCTTCCGCTGCAGCAAACCCGCTGCTGCGATCAAGCTTGAGATCGTTTGCTGAGCAGCAACGCACACATTTTGCCCCGGTCTAGGACTGCTGCACCCGGTGCGAATGATATCCTCAAGCGCCTGAGCAAAGAGAATCCTGAGCTTGCGCGTGATGAAGACGAAACCATTGACCCATCGACTCCGGTCTACTGCCTCACCAACAAGCAGTGGGTGGCCTTGGCGCGCGCGTTTGAGATATGGCCCTTCAGGCCTCAAATCCTCATTGAAGAGGGCTTACTGCCAGATGTTGAGCGAAAGGTGTAGTATGTTTCGTACATCTAGCGGCAGCGCTCTCCATGGAGAGCGTGCCAGACCATGCCAGATCAGGCCAATACCGTCCTGCATAGTATTGCTCGACACTCACTGCGTGAAATCTGTACATTTAGATACCTTTGCAGAATGACAGTGATACGCTCCCATATATGAGAAACCCTTTTGGGTTCTTGATACACATTTTGATGAGATTTACATGTCGGTCATGGTGACTATTTTAGGACGGGACTCGGATCTCGGGACTCGTCGCAACAACACCACTTGCGAGCCAAGAGTTGAATTTACAGAAAGAGCTTCGATTCAGCATTTTCAAGGATCCAGGTCGAATGCTCGTCATGCATAGCTCCTCTGTTGGGCACTTCACTTCAGAATACATCTTTCCCATCACCAGAAGTGTTGCTTACTGCTCAGAGGAGTCAGGACAGCACAGAATTGATTCATCATGGCGCCGAAGCCACCGGTACAAGAAAAGGAGCAAAGGATTGCCATTGGTGAGCGCTTTGGGGATCCTTGGTCGCGTGCAGCGTTCGCGAGGATGCCGTTCAGCCTTCCCTCACGACCGTCGCTGACTGGGGCTACTGTGTGCCACTTGCGTTCCTCCAGTCAACACTGACAAGTGCAAGCCGAAAAAGTGCAGACAAGAATGCAAGAAGTCATGTCCTGTCGTTCGCATGGGTACGTCGTGCTTGCGTTTTGCACGCGGGCAACTTCAATGTTGTTTCAGGAATCCTTACTTACTTCCCGGTCCTTACGTCGCCAGGCAAGCTTTGCATTGAAGTGACACCCAGCGATAAGATTGCGTTCATATCCGAACAGCTCTGCATTGGTTGTGGAATTGTGAGTGCAGTAAAGGATGTGTGCTTGAGGGCGCCTTTGCCAATGCGCAGCTGATCGCGTCCCTCCTGTCGCAGTGTACGAAAAAATGCCCGTTTGAGGCAATCACCATCATCAAGCTTCCCACGAACCTCGAGGCAGAGACGACACATCGATACAGCGCTAACAGCTTCAAGCTGCACCGGCTGCCGACACCGAGGGCTGGTCAGGTTCTCGGTTTGGTTGGGACGAATGGCATTGGGAAGAGTACAGCTTTGAAGATTCTAGCGGGGAAGCAAAAGCCAAATCTGGGGCGCTATGATGACCCGCCTGATTGGCAGGAGATCTTGCGCTACTTCCGTGGCTCTGAGCTGCAGAACTTCTTCACAAAGGTACTGGAAGACAACATCAAGGCGCTCATCAAACCACAATACGTTGACCACATCCCCAGGGCCATCAAAGGGAGCGCAACTGTTTCAGAGATGTTAGACGGAAAGGTAGAGATGAACAACAAGGATGATATTGTTCGCTTGCTGGATTTGCAAGAGGTTCTTGACAGAGACGTGAAAAACTTGAGTGGTGGGGAGCTTCAGCGGTTCGCCATTGGCATGTCATGCGTGCAGAAGGCCAACATGTAAGTTTCACCTGTTGATGTGCGTGTGCTGTTATGCTGACGATCATTCTTGGTGTCCAGGTACATGTTTGACGAGCCGTCGTCATACCTCGATGTTAAGCAACGTCTGAATGCCGCGCGTATGATCCGAACACTCTTAGACTCGAACACCTACGTCATCGCTGTTGAGCATGATTTGTCAGTTCTCGACTACCTTTCCGACTTCATCTGCTGCCTGTACGGTGTTCCCAGCGTCTATGGTGTGGTGACTGTGCCGTCACCTGTGCGTGACGGCATCAACATCTTCCTGGACGGCTTTATTCCCGCCGAGAACATGCGTTTCCGAGACGAGAGCTTGACTTTCAAGATCGCCGAGACTGCAGACGCAGATGTTATCGAGAGGTCCAAGACCTTTAGCTACCCCGCCATGTCGAAGAAACTGGGCAGCTTCGAACTCGACATTGAACCTGGCGAGTTCTCTGATTCTGAAATAATCGTTTTCTTGGGCGAGAATGGAACTGGGAAAACGACTTTTGTCAAGATGCTCGCAGGCAAGCTCGAGCCGGACGTTGGCAAGGACAAGATCCCGCAACTCAATGTCTCGCTCAAGCCGCAGACCATCGCGCCCAAATTCCAAGGAACAGTGCGCATGCTTCTGCTTAAGCAAATCAAAGCTGCTTTCATGCACCCGCAATTCCAGACCGACGTTGTTAAGCCGATGAGCTTGGACAACATTATCGACCAGGACGTTCAAACGTTGTCGGGAGGAGAGCTGCAGAGAGTTGCGCTTGTGCTCGCGCTGGGCAAGCCCGCGGATGTCTATCTTATCGATGAGCCCTCGGCGTACCTTGAGTAAGTATAAAATGAGGCTCAATTGTCTTCGATAAAGGTCTTATACTGAACTTTTCTTCGTCGCAGCTCCGAGCAACGTATCATCGCCTCCAAAGTCATCAAGAGATTCATCCTTCATTCCAAGAAGTCGGCATTCATCATCGAGCACGGTGAGTGATGCTAGTGCTTAGAGTGCCGTGCTGCCTGAATCAATAACCGACGATATTATTCTTCACCTGCTCTTTACCCAGACATCATCATGGCGACTTACCTGGCCGGTGAGTTTTAGCGTAACCAGGCTCTGCTAATATTGATGTTGAACTTTTTCCGTTGTTTGATACGCAGATCGCGTTATCGTCTACGAAGGTCAACCATCAGTCAAGGCGACAGCCAAGCGGCCTCAGAGTCTGCTGACTGGCATGAACGCGTGAGTGATGCACATGCACATGCACTCAGACCTGACTCGGACTCTTATTGATGTTTCATTCGATCATTGGCTATACAGCTTCTTGGCGACGCTGGAAGTCACGATGCGACGCGACCCGACCAACTTTGTGAGCTTGACTTCAGTGTGCAAAGCTGCGTGAGGGCCCGGAGACTGAAAGTAATTGCTCCTTGTACCAATAGCGTCCTCGCGTCAACAAGCTCAACTCAATCAAGGGTGAGAGCAGGCTTTGGCGTCCTTTCTTGCACTTGTCGCTAACGCACGATTGCCAACCTTTGCTGCTGCTTATTTTCCTCCTCAGACAAAGAGCAGAAGGGGTCCGGCGACTACTTCTTCTTGGGCGACTGATCACAGGGGTGATCTGAGCTCCGTAATCAATGCATTTACACCAACGCCCATCTGTCCTTTCATTCGCCTGCCGCATTGCAGCAATTGGCTCATGCGCTCAAGTTTTGCCTTCTCAGTCGATCATTCGGTTCTGGCTTGGCTGCGGAATCAAATTGTGCTCTCGGTTGAGGGTGTTGAGTGATGCTCTACCTTGGCTTCTTATCTCTCCCCCTGGTCGCGACACCTTCCAACGTGATATTGATAAGCTTGTTTTGCGCTTGAAAGATCCTGAGCGGATTGTATTTGTTAGGGACGCGCGAGTCGTGACTGTCAAGCGTCCTTGACAACTACCACCCCTAATATGCAGACAACGCGAGACCTGAGCCTTACCCCCATGTTGGCGAGTGGACCAAGACTGCCTCCCAACGATGGCCGGCAGAATGGCGCGACGATATACTCTTGCCCTGGCTGATACCGTGCAAGCTATCGTGATCAACACTCTTGGGGTTTCTCTCACGCTTGCTGTGCTAGGCCCAGCGCTCTTTCTGTCGAGCCCAATAGCTCCGTCGCCCCGCTCGACAAGTAGTTTTTGGATGCTCTCATTCACTCAGAGTAAGACGAAATTTCGCTTGGGCATGCAAGGTCATGATGCTCAAGGGCGACTCCTTTCTCTGATCGCAGTTGTATGGGATGCGATGGACTTGCTTGAAGATGCAGAGTACCCGATTTCGGCGCACTTTTACAAGAGGTCAGTCTGCGTGCTTCTGCGACTGTTGCATCGTCATGCTTACATCGTCGGCTGCGCAGAGCGTCCCATGTAAAGGCTGGCAAGACAAAGGCGGCAGGGAAGCCACCTGCACTGAGCAAAAATGACAGTAGAATCTTCATTGAAGAGTAACGAAGAGGGTCAGGAGAGACATCGTCGCGTCTTAAAGCTCGTGGACACTTGTAACATTAGTAGAGTTCGAGCCCAGTTCTGTACAGGCGCAACGGCCGCAAAGCCAAAGCCGAGGGGTACTTGCTGGTATCGCGTGTGCATTGCGGTTGATTATAGAAATACAGTGATACGGTGGAGTTGCGGATGTAATCACCAAAGCCAGTGCGCATCTTGAGGATAGTGCAGAACGTTGATCGTTTTAGGTGAATTAGAAGGCCTCCAGGTTGGTTACATCTTCGGGGTTGACTTGAGTGTTTGTGCCAGCTTTTCTTGATACTTCTGGGTCCTGGAACAATTTTTCGCAGTTGCAGCAACAGAAGAAGAGGATCATGCGATTGAAAATGCGCTTGCTCTGGTCCTGGAAGCACACCGCTCTGGATCATGTCCAAGCAGCAGGCGTCACGAAGCGCATCCATGCGGATATCAGCGACCGAGACACGACACGTTCCGAAAGAAGTTACGAGCTCACTCTTGGTTTCCGCAATAAGGACATTTCTGCTCTACGCGCTGTAGCGTCGGATCTTTTGTAATGTTGTCAATGACTCCTGGTTGCTCCTGAACACATCCAAGAAAAAAACGCGCCGTTGTGTCCTGTCAGCGCCAAACATGCGCATACCATAGCAGTTGCATCTGTAACAGACACACCTGCGTCACAGAAATCAGGTCATTGCGGAAGACGAGCTGGCTACCTGCCTCCTCCCGGTAGTCGCAGTTACGGCAGCTGTAGAGCAGAACATGGTTCGTCCGGTCCTCCTGGGTAAAAGACAGTAAAACTGGATGCATCAGGATCACGGCATCCTATTCCTACTGAGAACTTCCGTCTCGCTTACCTCTGGATACAAGAGATTGTTGCTGTTCGCATCGAAGGAAGACATCAGAAGAGGGTGAGAAACGTGCAATATGTCGCACGACGTTTGCGTAGCAGGCTCACCACTCCTGGCAAAATTTCAAGGAAGCCATGCTTCTTGTTGGCACAGAGCGCCACGCGAAGAAAGCTTGGCCGATTTCTAAGATATCAAGCGAGTTCTTCGGTGTCAAAGAGTGGGAAATGAGGTGCGGATGGTGCGAGTATCGGGCCAAGTTGGATATACCGATGAGAGTGAAAGTGCGAACATCTTGAATGCTGCGCCCCGGCCCCATTTCCCTGGCTGGCTGGCATTCGGTTGCTTCCAACTCGGTTGAACAGTTCTCCCACGGGCCACGCGTCGCGGGCAGTGGGGAGGGTCATCGCACTTTCAAAATCAGTAACTCACCAAGCCCATCTGTCTCTGAATACCTCCGTTGCATGACACAGTGCATCTACTCGCTGCTGGGCAGCATTCAGTCTGCCAGAGCGCCGCAGGATCTATCCAATCGCTATTTCTGGAAAGATGTCGCCAGCTGCTGGCGGTCCCGCTGCGCGGCTGCGCGATGAGCCATCGCGTCCCCCGTCCAGAGCTTCTGGTCGCAGGGTGTTCAGTACAATGACTGCCGGTGCACCTGTTGTGCTCTCATACTATCCGCCATTACAGGTTTCAGAAGAGCATCTTGTCAACTCTGAAATCATCGCTGTCACTTCCGCAATACGCAAGAGCGTCAAGAATCGGGCGAGCTCATCATACTTTTCGTCTAGCTCTGGAGCTCCAAATGGTTCCTGGGATCAGCTACTGCAGTCCACAGGCTCTTCCGCGCTCGGCCTCACGAGCCATGCTGCCGAGGCGGCAGAAAGAACGCTTGCGATAGACTACAGGAATGACAATCCCATTGTTCGGCATCAGCGGAGGCTTTCTTCGCTTGGTGTGCCTCTTGCCAAAAGGCAGCTGCCAGGGTCGGTCAAAGGGAAGGATGCCGAAGGTAGCGCGCCGAAACCGACGACAAATGTGTCCTTAGAAGCTGCTGGAAGTCTTGAGCGGTTTGCACGGGACGACAGTGAATCTGGTCTATTGGCTGCGTTCGCCATTCTGAAGGCGCAGCTTCATGAAACGCAAGGTGAGCAGTGACCAGCACTGGACCTTCACGAGGTGCCCGCTCTGACCTTCAGCTGTTGGCAGAGTTTGCAGAGTTCCCGCGGCCTTTGCTGGTCTCACCTTTTGTCAAGGTCATATTGTCGCCACGGACGAGCGGTGCCATCACATCAGCCGCTCTGCAAGCGATTGATCGTTTTCTTGCATACGGATTGATCCCCATTCCATCGTCACCGATTCCGGCAACTGGAGCGCAGGTCGCAATATCAGAGATTGCGCATGCGATCTCTCACTGTCGATTCGAGGCCAGCGACCCCATCGTTGATGAGCTGGTCTTGCTTCGCATTCTCTCAGTCATGCGGGAGCTCGTCTGTGGATCTTCACAACTGCTTTCTGCGGAAGGCGCTGCTGCAGTCTCCTTGGCCGACGCCCTGGGAAATGAGAGCATTTGCGAGATGATGGAGACCGGCCTAAGCATGTGCTGTCAGACCAGGCTTAGTGGTGAGTCCGAACTGCTCACCTTTTGCTCGAAGTGAGGTGTCAGCTTACACTTAGTGACACGTCACTCCTGCAGAGGTTCTTCGCCGCTCGGCAACACAGTCAATGATGCACATGATCCGCGCCTTGTTTGCCAAGCTGCAGCGCATCCCTCTGACAGTAGACGAGAACTTCTCTGGAGACGCAGAGCCCATACATGAGACCTTGGTCTCCGAGGTTGAGGAACAAGAGACCGAGCTGGACGAAAAGAAGCTTAGAAGGATGACGATACCCGATCCTAGCAGCTTGCAAGTACCCGCTGCAGGACCGTCGATGTCGCCTGGCGTGATTCCAGAGGAAGATGAAGCGGCTCAGTCGCCGTTGGATATGGCCGGCGCAGAGGCAGCGGCCCCCGAAGACGCGCAATCGGCTGATGTCCATGGAATTGCCCATGAATACGGAGACAAGGCGGAGGAGAAAGTGGCCGTGGCGAACGATCAGGCGGATCAAACAACAAGTACGTTCATCAAAGGCATTTGGAGGCCCGTGAGGTCGCTGACACCCTTCCTCCACAGTGTCCTTCGCTCCTATGGACGTCGAGTCGTTTGGTCTGCCAGCGTTGACTGAGATTTTGCGCGTGTTAGTATCTCTCCTAGATCCTCGCAACGGTCAAAACACAGACGCAATGCGGCTCCTAGCGATGACCATTTTGAGCAGCGTACTCGAAACCAGCGGCGTTGCTATCGCAGAATACCCATCTTTGCGCGCCATCTTACAAGATTCGGCCTGCCGACATCTTTTCCAGCTGGCGCGCTCGGAGAACCCAAGCATCCTCACATACAGCTTGCGCACCATTTCGACCCTCTTCGAAGTTGCTGGACAGCATCTTAAGCTCCAATTCGAGTTCTTCCTCAAGTATTTGCTTGACAAGCTAGCTCCCACCTTTGCCATGGGCTTGGAGCCTTGGAATGACGTTGCGGCAGCTGTTAGTCGTTCTTCCGATATCAATCCTACTCTCACTGGGCCACCTCCACCTCCACCTCCACCGCCACCGCCACTTGCGAAGACCTCGGAGCTAGCTCCCAGCACAGGCGAGACGCGCGAGCTCCTTCTCGAGACCCTATGCTCGCTTCTCGAGACTCTATTCTCTCACGGAGATGCTAATATCACGCTTTGGGCCAACTTCGACGCCGATACTGAGTGCGACAACATCTTGGAAAGGCTCATCTCTTTCTGGTCGCGTTCTGTTTTTGCCCAGGCTCCCGGCTCACCCGGCCAGGACAGCTTGCAGGTAATGGCCTTGGATGCCATCCTAACCATCGTTGGCAGTTTATTTGCGCGACAGGACCCGGCTTTCGAAGATCCAGCTTGGCCTCAGGGCCTGCTGGATGCTCAGCAGCTTGGTTTGCAGAAGAGCAAGAAGGCTGCAATCTTGGCCGGTGCAGCGCGTTTCAACGCAAGGCCAAAGGATGGTCTCGCCTATATGGAAAAGGAGGGCTTGATACAGACCGAAGGAGATCGCGATGCTGCGATTGCACGCTTCTTGAAGGAATGCCCGGGCCTCGACAAAAAGCTTTTGGGCGACTACCTATCACGACCGGCCAACGAAAAAATCTGCGAAGCGTTCATCCATTTATTTGACTTTAGCGGCCGCAACGTTGGAGATGCTATGCGAGAAATGCTTGAGTCCTTCCGATTACCCGGCGAGGCCCAACAAATCGCACGGATAACAGAGACATTTGCAAGGGCATACTTCGCATCTGGCTCATCAGAGGTTGCCAGCGAGGATGCAGTATACGTTCTCGCCTACAGCGTCATAATGCTCAATACCGATCTGCACAATCCTCAGAATCAGAAAAGAAAAATGACAGCCGATGATTATAAACGGAACCTTCGCGGTGTTAATGATGGCAAGGACTTTAACGACGAGTATCTGACGACCATCTACGAGTCAATCCGCAAGAGAGAGATCGTTATGCCAGAAGAGCATGCTGGTCAGTTGGGGTTTGACTACACCTGGAAGGAGCTGCTGCGCCGCTCGCGCACTGCGGGCTCCCTTATCCCTTGCTCCACCACCTTGTTTGACCGCAATGTCTTTGCTCGATCATGGCGCCCAATTGTTGCTGCGCTGGCGCACGCTTTTTCTACCTTCCAAGACGAGCATCTTCTTGAGCGGTCTATCGCAGGCTTCCGTCAATGCGCTGCTCTGGCAAGCACGTTCGGCATGATTGAACTCTTCGACTTCATGGTCAAGACTTTAGCTGGTGCCACCGGACTTCTGGATGACCACATCGCCCAAGGCCCGATCAATAATGCAACTGTCGATGTCGAAGACCAAAAGATCACTGTTGGGCCTTTGTCAGTCTACTTTGGCGTCAACTTCAAAGGTCAGATGGCGGCTGTCGTTCTTTTTACAATCGCGAACGGCAACGGTGATGCTATGTGCGCGAGTTGGAAGGAATTGCTACAGATCTTGAAAAATCTTTTTGCGCATTCCCTTCTCCCGCTCGGAATGCGCCAGATGTTCCTCTTTGGCAAGGAGCCGGAAGAGATCCCTCTCAGGCCAAAGCGGCTTGCCAACACTCCCATCCAGGACCCTCGTGGCCAAGGTGGCCTATTCAGCACGTTGTCTTCTTATCTACTCTCGCCAACTGGAGGTAACGTACTGGCCCCTGCTCCCCCAGAAGTGACGGATGAAGATATCGAGTCGACACTCTGCACTGTAGACTGTATCGCCTCTTGCCGGATCGATGACATGTTTGCCCAGATTCCGAGTCTCTCGTCAGAGTCGCTGCAACATGCAATCACTGCAGCCAAAGAACTCGCCGACAAGCATACGATTGATCGCCTGGCGCTTGCGCGGCGTGCAGCTGAGAGCGGCAGCTCAGGCACCTCGACACCTCAACACACTGTCCTCGTCCGCGGCCAGCTGCCATACGATCCTTGCGCGCTGTTCATGCAAGAGGTTCTTGCAGGTATCGTTGTCAGCGCAAAGTCTTGCCCTGATGAGTCCTGGATTTCTGCAGTGCAACACTTTTCGGCGATCCTTGCGGATGCTCCGAGGTACCATCCATTGATGGTCGAGCGAGCCGTGGTCAGCCTGCTCCGACTTATCCCTGTCGCGAAAGAGGCTGGCTCCGATCAGGCTTTGATCACGTTGGACACTATGCGTTCGATTCCCAACGATCTTAAGCCAGCTCTGGTCGAGCAAATTGCTCTTGGGCTGGCTTACGCATTGCGTGAAGGCGTTGCGGCGGTCAGCTCGGCTACCGAGTGGAACCTGGTGCTGTCTTTGGTCGCTGATTGCGGATTCTCTCACAACGCTAGCGCCGCTGGTCACGCGTTCGAGATTATGAAGTACCTCGCGGAGACAAGTATCACGATTGATAACTATATCGGAATCGTGGCAGTCTTGAGAGACGTCGCATCCGCCTCTGATGTGGTCGCAACTGCTCGCGCCGAACGCAGAGACATGCAACGGCGGACCCTCACTGAACGTAAGGAACAGACAGAGTATGACGAGGCATGCCAACGACGAGGAAAAGAAGCACTTGGAGTGCTGGAAGCTATCAAGGCTGAGATTCCCCGCCTCATCACGGAGTCGACTCGTCTAGATGGTAGGCCTGCGCACGATGTAGGACGTGTTTATCTCTGCATACTGACAGAGCTTCGTTGTCCGTTGTTACCAGGATGGAGACATTTCTGGTTACCGCTCATGGGCGCGCTAGCACAACAGTGCACCAATGGGTACCGGCCAGTGCGTCAGGACGCAATTGCGCATCTGCAGAAGGTCTTGCTAGCCCCCCAATTGCTTTCAGGCGAGCACATACAGCTTGCACTGATCTTCGAAGAAATCATCTTTCCCGCACTCGAAGATCTGCTCAAGCCGCAAGTCTTCCAAAGGGATCCGGAAGCCAGTGGTATGCAGGAAACACGAATGCGCATGTGTGCCATGCTATGCAAAATTTTCCTACGTTACCTTGTCGAGCTTAACGAGTCCTCCAAACAGCTCATCGGCCTGTGGGAGCAAGTGCTCGGGTTCTATGACCGCTTTCTCAATTGTGGCAAGCGTGATCAGCTTGTGAGCTATCGGGGCGCACTTTGCCTGTCCAGCATCAGCATTGGTGGACTGACGCATTCATTGCTCACGTACAGACTGAGTCGTTACCCGAGACGGTCAAGAATATTCTATTGGTCATGCAAGCAGCCTCGATACTCGTTCCGCCGCCTGCGGAAGGAGAGGACTCGCGATCCCCTGCTCAAGTCGAACTATGGGATGTCACTAAAGACCGCGCGAGCAAATTCTTGCCAGCACTTATGGAAGAGATCACGCCAATTCCTGAGCCGCCGTCGCAAGCAGCGCTGCTGCCTCAAGAATCGACTGCTTGAAGCAGTCGTTGTACATCCACCTGTCTGCTCAAACGTCTTTCTTTCAGCAAACTTTGTAACGTTTCGCTCAATAATGCACAATCTTGCTAAAATACAGTCGAGGTTCCTGACAAAGCTACAAGATCTTATGCGCTCTTCCCGGTAATGTCTACGCGAGGGGTGCATTGAAGAGCAGGGGTGAGCTGCTCATTCCATTGTGCCCCAAGACGCTCTCTACTCACACTCCGGTTGCTCGGCGGCACGGTACTCTGAAGGACAAATGGTGAAACAAGGGTCAGAAGGTCTTGGCCGTGTTCTTTCAAATCAGGCTCACCTTGAATGAGCTCCTGCGTTGTTTCCCGAGCCTCATCACTTTCATGGCGGAAGAATGTCAGTCAGATACCGAACCAATAACAAGGCCGTTGGACGCTCTGCAGTGGCGATACCCACAAGTCACTCAGGTCGCTCGAAAACGCCGGTTCTCTTTTGTACTGCTCGACGAAAGCTGATCGATTCCTCAATCGGTCATACTGATCGACCGTGCGCTTGAACAAGCTCGCGATGCCGGTATGATTGGCGAGCATCAGGCCGCTGACCCTATGTGTTGACGCCATGTATGGGCTGCGTTTGGCGAGCGCCACTTGTATAGACGCAGGGCCCCATGGGATGAAGGAAGCCAGGTGCCGCTCACGAATGCGTAGTAGCGACTTGTGCACGTCGCGTGGATCGACGTCGCCCTGGATGATGTTCATGATGGAGATGTAGCAGCTGGACTTGCTCGCACCATGCGTGGAGACCATGCGGTTCTTCGGTTGGAGCAGTCGCCGCATCACATCCAGGACGGACGTCTTCATCGTTGCTTTGCCCCGATCCACCGTGTCGGAGGTGAAGGGGGTATATGAGGTCATGAGGAAGTGCGCCCGAGGGGTTGGGATTAAGGACGCCATCATGCCGACCTGTTGGCAGAGCGAAGTCGTGGGAGTCAATCACGCATACTGAAACGGATGTCCTTAAAATGTGCTCACTAGGTCATTGTTCATGTAGCCCGGATACCGCAGTGTCAAAGTAGATGCGCCCATTACCGTGCTGATCATTTGGTTGATTTGACTGCAATCGTCGAGAGTGTAAGACGTTTACAGACTGCATTCATAATACTATTTTGCTCACCTGACGCTCGGATCATGGATGTGTAACCGATCGCTAGCGATCCGACTGAGGGCGGCATTGTCGAGGACGACGACGCTGTCCGCGTGATCTACCAGGCGCTTCAGTGTCAGGATCGAGTTGTACGGCTGTACGACGATGTCCGACGTTTCCTCCGAATTGGGAAACACCGAATAGGTCTGGATGAGCTTCTTGGGGTATGCGTCGTTCAGCGCCTCTAGCAGGAAGGAGCCAAGGCCGGAACCTGTGCCTCCCGCGATCGAGTGGAGAAGCATGAAGCCCTGCAGAATAATATGTGAGGCCGCTGTCGCGCAAAGCGATATCACAGCAGGAAGCTCGCTCTTACCTCCAAGCTGTCGCTTCCGTCTGCCTCACGTTCAATCATCTCAATCAGCTCATCCGCGATCTTCTGCCCAGCGCCGAACCCTTGCGCCCAGTTGTTGCCTGCACCGCCGCCCGTCTTGGACGAATATATGTTCTCTGGGTTGTACAATCTTTTGTACGGCCCTGACATGATATTTGCAAGGACCTATGAGGGAAGGTGCGGTTCCCTCGCACATTAGCGCGCAACTCAACAGGAATCATCTGCGCCGGGACCACTCTCACCCTTGGCTCCAAATCGACCAAAATCGCTCGCGGCACGTAGTGCTCGTCATCCGCCTGGTAAAAGAAGACATCCTTGCGATCGCCCGCGGCGCCATCTGTGGCGAAGTCCTCCAAGGTTCCGTCGCGTGAAATCCCGTGATCCTTGCAGAGATATTCCCAGAACTGTGAACCAATTTGATTCCTAGGTGGCAGCGCGAGTCAGGAGGCGCGTGTAAGAAGACAGGATGGGAGGACACCCAATGGACTCTCGCGCGTTAACTTACCCGCACTGCCCGGCTTGGATAGTGATAAGTTCGCGCGGCATCTCGTGCGGGCGCGGCGCGTGTTGCTGTTTATCCTTTCCTCTCTTGTTGCAGAACTGAGCTTGCGTACTATACGCGTACACGTTGTGCTACGGAGGGTGCGATAAACAGTTAGCAAACACAAGCCGTTGCGTTTTTGACTTGGCAGCGATGGTGTTGCTCTCTGTCTCGCGCGCTGTCGCCACTCGCGTCTCCCTCTGTAAATCCACGCACAACCACAGCAGTCCTCTTTTTGGGCCCGTAAACTCGGTCGCCAAATTTTTCGAGGAAAGGTCTCCGTTTCGCTTCCTTGACTTCGCCGACTGGCCAACTTCTTTGCACATGCAAGATGGATTGCAGGAGCCTCTTTCTGCAGCACTTGTACCACATCTGATTGCAAAAGTGCGGAGGCTACCGAGATTCTTCACGGCATTGCAGCGTCCTAACAAGTCAGTAGTAAAAGCTTGTGACCGTAACTGAAAGATACAAGATGGCATTTGGTGAGAACGAAGCGGCGCGAGCGCATGGCTTCTACACCGGCGACAAAGCTGACAATATGACGTGTGCTTTAATATCATTTTACTTTTTCAGGCGACCGAGGTGGCAGAGGTGGCGGACGAGGTGGCGGACGAGGCAGGGGTGGCCCTCCTGGTCGAGGAGGCGGCCGCGGCGGTGGCCCAGCTGGCAGGGGTGAGCTGAAAACGACAAGCTAGAAGACCCCGACCAGTCGATACTGACGTCTCATACTCCTTTCCCTTTTTCTTGCTCGCCTTTTCTTTCACTCGCTCAGGCGGCCGTGGTGGATTCGGAGGTCGAGGTGCCCCGGGCGGCCGTGGTGGTGCCCGTGGCGGTGCACGCGGTGGTAGTCGCGGTGGACGAGGTGGTGGTGCTGGCGGCGCCAGGGGTGGGGCCAAGGTCATCGTCAAGCCTCACCGACATGGCGGTGTCTTCATCGCCGAGGGCAAGGAACACCTGCTGGTCACCAAGAACCTCTCGCCCGGCGAAGCTGTCTACGGCGAGAAGCGGATCAGCGTCGAGTCACCATCAGAGGATCCCTCGGTGCCGGCAACCAAGGTGGAGTACCGAGTCTGGAACCCGTTCCGAAGCAAGCTTGCAGCGGGTATCCTCGGTGGCCTAGACCACATCCACATTGCGCCTGGCGCTAAGGTGCTGTACCTCGGTGCTGCCAGCGGGACGAGCGTGAGCCATGTGGCCGACGTAGTGGGACCCGAGGGGATCGTCTACGCGGTCGAGTTTTCGCACCGCAGCGGCCGAGATCTGATTAACATGGCCAAGAAGCGGACGAACGTGATCCCCATTATCGAGGACGCACGGCATCCACAAAAGTACCGCATGCTCGTCGGGACGGTCGATGTCGTCTTTGCGGACGTGGCGCAGCCAGATCAGGCACGCATTGTCGCGCTCAACTCGCACCACTTCCTCAAGGACAAGGGTCATGCGCTCATTTCGATCAAGGCATCTTGTATCGACTCGACGGCGGTGCCCGAGGCAGTGTTTGCGAGCGAGGTTAAGAAGCTGCAATCAGAGATGTTCAGGCCGAGGGAACAGCTGACGCTTGAGCCATACGAGAGGGACCACGCAATGCTTGTCGCGCAGTACCAGCGCCACGCCTGAGCGAGCGAGCCGGTCAACCAGCCAGCAGCAGCAGCATCATCAGGACTTTGATCTGCACCAACGCATCTCTTTGTCCTCATGCAAAAGCAGAGGGGCGGGATGCGTACTCCCCCCTGCAGGCCTCCACGTTTTCGTTTACAACCCCGCTTGACTGTCTTGTACACTAGTGATCCTACTGTCCGCGCAAAACCTTTTCCCATCGCTAGATCAAGGTGTCCACACTGCAGCTTGAACCATGCATCGTCGCACATTGACGTGCATTTGTCATTATTGGTGTAATCCATTCATCGCGCGGTCGTCTTCGTTCCGTTCTCGTCGCAGCACAGATTCTCTACTCGTGCGGTGTTGCCAGGTCACGTACGCTTTTGAGCGGTTTGCACCGTGCCGTGGCCACCACAATATCTTGTACTTGTCGGCTATTATTGAAAGCGAATTAGATAGTACGTAACCGAATATCATCCTCCGTTGCGCTTGTTTGATGTCCCATGATTGAGGTGCTGATGCTATTGAGATGTCGCAGCTGCTTCGTATTCTCTTCACGACTCTCAATATTCAATGGAGATCCTTAATTTTGACCCGCAGATATCCTAGATCATTCTTGTGTACGTCGCCCCTTGCTCCTTCCGTCTCCGTCGCATCATATTCATCGGCGGTGGCACATGGAATTGCAGACGTCTTCACGCATGTCGAGCATCTTTGATGCCGGTCAAGCATGTGTTGCGCAGACTTGACGCCACATAGCATATTGGGTAACACGGTCACGCCAGAGATTTTGCTACGTTAACAGTCAGTAGGCATCGCTGTCGTCCATGCTCTTTTCTCAATCTTGTTGCACCACGGTCACTGACACCTTTGCAGCGTTGATGGAAGTTGAGCAGAAGCAATGGTCTTGCAAGGCTGGTAAGGTGTGTCCTGGCTCAGATTTAAATTGCTCATAAGATTACTCGTGTCTTTGGGTCCTCCAACTATATTCTACTGTGCGATTCAAGCATTCAACCATAGTATCATGTCTGGTGTACGATGCCATGATCAAACTACCCTACCCCGGTGCTATTGGTAGAATGGTGCTGCCCGGGATGGTGTGAGGCACGCAGGGAACCACTGCCTTCACGCTGACTGCGTCATGCATTGGCGGGTTCGGCGGCCCCGGTATTGAAAATGATGCACCCCTGGCTGGCTCTTGCGCGGGCAGCGCGACACTGACAGCCCTGCAACGCCCTGAGGCAGGGACTCCCCAGCCGCGGGGCGGTGCTCGGCGAAAGGAACGCAACGGTGATCGCCCGCCGCTGCGCAATGATCATCATCATCATCATCGCTGTCGTCCACGGCCACAGCACTTGCATCGGATCATCCTCCAAGCACAGCAACGAAGTAGAAGTTATCGTGGTTGCCCAGAGCTCACCCCAAAGCCTAGCGTCAATCTGCTCACACGGCTCCAACCGCTTCATCCACGCCCATCCCCGCGCCCACGACCTTTGTGGAGGGAGATCCGAAACCGCTTATCGCTTAGAGCAAGAAGCTGTGCGGCCAAACCCTACCACGGTCGACACAATGAGCCAGCAGCGTGA